GAGTGACTGGGTGTCATGGAGACACTGGGTGCCATGGAGACACTGGGTACCTCAACAGTGGTGTATGGGTGCCACGGATACACTGGGTACCATGGAGAGACTGGGTGTCATGGATACACTGGACGCCATGGAAACACTGGGTACCTCCACAGCGGTGTCTGGGTGCCACGGATACACTGGGTGCCATGGAGAGACTGGGTGCCATGGAGACACGGGGTGCAAGGGAGACAATGCGGCGTCTGTGTGCCACCGGATACCCTGACAAGTTCCTCTTGCTTATTGTTCACACCCTTTTGAACACAATTTCACTTACATCAGGACGTGGGGGAGATGTCAAAGGTGTCGCGGTTCATCTTAACCACTTTGGTGAACCCCCGAAAATAAGTCAGGTGCTGACACTCCAATAATCCTAACTAGAATCTGGAATTCCAATCCACGATGAGGGGGTTAATTGTGCGGCTAACTGAAGCATCGTCTTGGTGCCATGGATACACTGGGTGCCATGGTGGCAGATTATCATGAAATATTCACAGAAATAACACAGCAATCAAGGCAAAAAAGACCTGAGGGGTATCTACATAAACTGTCCGGCAAAAGAAAGTTTACACTGAAAATTTGGATTCGACCAAAACATTACAAACGTTCACGAAACGTTACGAGGCCGAAAACAGTCGCCGAAACGTAAGGTCCAAAACACAACCATGATACCCGTATCAAATACACCGCCATGGAATAACCATTTCTTGTCTGTTTCAGTTTTAACACCATCGGGTGTACACTTTCTTTTGCCCGGCCGTTTACTTTAAAAACGTTCAGTTCTCTTTCACATGAAGCCTTTTGTTTAACTCTTTGATACGAACAGTACTCCTATACTTTTACATGGAGCAGAGGTATGAGAATACAGGGCTTATGGCCTGGTCCATCTGTATGGTTAGAAGTGATATTCCGTGGCGCAAAACAGTAAACATCGAGTGTTATGGCATATGGGGGAGTGAGAGAGTTTTTACTGATTATGTTTCTAGGTTTGTCAGCACCATACCCGTGCTCGTGGGTTTCACCGAAGTGGTAAACGTCTGAGACCTGCATCACTTCGGGCTTTCCTCCCATATTAAGCTGACACGCCGTGATATAACTGGAATACTGTTAAAGCGGCGTTAAACCCAACTCACTCACTCACTCACTCACTATATTTTAGCTGTACAAACGAGTCTATGTATAGTCCAATCAAAATCACGTAAGGAAATCGAAATCCTGTTTGTCAACTGTCGTTATACAACAAACAAACAAACAAGCTGCAGAGGTGCTTATAATCCACATTGCTTTAAAAGCCTCTTTTTCAAGTACATACACCCCTGCAAGAGTTTTTTTGCCTAAAGTTCCTAAGGTTCATCACATACAAGCTGCTGTCACGCAGCTGAAATATTGCAGACTATGGCTTTAAACACCATTTACTCACTTACTCAGTACTTCCTGGGTGACTGAGTCGGGTTTAACGCCGCTTTTAACAGTATTTCAGTTATATCACGGCGTGTCAGCTTAATGTTGGAGGAAAGCCCGAAGTGATGCAGGTCTCAAACGTTTACCACTTCGGTGAAACCCACGAGCACGGGTATGGTGCTGACAAACCTAGAAACATAATCGGGGCGAACCGGGATTCGAACCCACGATCATAGATTTCTGCCCAGGGGACGCAACTCTGCACAGCGAATCGCGGCGCCTTAGACGACTGGGCCACCCGTGCCCCCCGTACTTCCTGGGACTGAAGCGGAGTTTCATGCATGCCTCGATGTTAATGTAGCGTGGCTGCACTCCCTGTGCAGGGGGCCTGGGGGCCTAGCTGCAATTGGCAGATAACAATGTCTAAATTTAGACAAATTCTCGTTAATTTCGTTAAACTACCCTTAGGTTAATAACAAATGGCAACAGTTGGCGCTTTGCTATCACGTCCCTCATCGCGAGTTATCTTGGCGCTGCTGTCGTAGATCGGCTGCTGTCTTGGAATGGTGACCCAGCTCCCAAGTTTTCAACAGTCTGCAGTTGATGACATGTATTTTTAATAGCCTGTAAATAATGGAGTCTTGGTTGACATCATGAGCATCGATCCATGCAATTGGAAGACGATGACATGCATCAACCAAGTCAGCGAGCCTGACCACCCGATCCCGTTAGTCGCCTTTTACGACAAGCAAAGTCGTCTTTTATAGCTATTTGACCCTTTTTGAACCATGTCAGGTCATCGATATACCTATAGCTTAATTTTAACTTCTTGGCCAAATTTCCTTGTTTTGACTTGGCTATTCCAGCAGAAGTTTCTATTCATATACATAAAGAAACGTCCACAAGAAGGGGAGTACAATTGATGCCCATGGGGATGCCTACTTCTCGTCTAAATTCCTTTCCCCCAGATTTTACATATGTCATCACTGAGAAATCCAGCATTCGCATAGTGTTTTCTCGGTAAAAAGCTTCTGATGACAATTGCTTTCATTTTTCACAAATTGTCCTGAACATCTGAAGATTTGTTTGTTTGTTGTTTAACGCCGCACTCAGCAATATTCCAGCTATATGACGGCGGTCTGTAAATAATCGAGTCTGGACCAGACAATCCAGTGATTGACATCATGAGCATCGATCCATGCAATTGGACTCGATGACATGCATCAACCAAGTCAGCGAGCCAGACCACCCGATCCCGTTGGTCGCCTCTCACGGCAAGCATGGGTTGCTGAAGACCTATTCTACCCCGGATCTTCACAGGTAACACCTGAAGATATAAATGTAACTATGTCTATGGTCACCACGTTTTGTAATAAAAGCCCCATGTATCAAGGAACGAAGTTATCCCTTAAGTTTGCCACATGGGATAGTGGTGTAAAAAATGAAAAATCAAATGGCATGACAGATTGGCGATTGTAATATAAGTGAGTTTTTACGTCGCTTTTAGCAATATTCCAGCAATATCACGGCGGGGGGCACCACAAATGGGCTTCACCCACTGCACCCATGTGGGGAATAGAACCCGGGTCTTCGGCGTGACGAGCAAACGCTTTAACCACTAGACTAACTCACCGCCCCTGTAGTTATATGAAAGAATCAGGTGTTCTTTATTTTTATGAATAGTATATTCGTTTCTAAACTATCAGCCGTGAATCTGGACATTCTGGAATTGGCACACTTACAAATATCTAATGAAGATAAATTCCTCCAGTAAACTGTTTGACATGATGTATATTTAGCTATCAACTCAAACAACAAACTACATTCTGAAGATATCTAAAATAAGAATAGGTTTCTCTTCTGTTTGAAAAGAGGATATCGTTCTTGATTACTCTTGATAAACAGGATTAACAGCTCCTTGAATATTTACATTTGAAAATACAAAACAAATCAGATAAAGAATGTCAAGAATCACAAAATTCTGCCGGGATACCAAGATAGGAGCCATAACGGATAGCGTCAATATAGTTTGACAGCAAAGCTGTCCTCTTTATCTGAAAGAAAGTCCAGCCATTAACAAAAGCTGAATGGTTGCAAATATATAAAAGGGTACCGACTCGTTGTTCTTGTGCGAATGTAGCTGTCCCGCGTTTAGTCGAGGTGAGGTGAAATGGGGTTTAACGTCGCGTCCAAGATTATTGCACTCATATAGCGACATACATGCCAAAATGCAGCTTCCTAAGTCTGTGAATTTCAGAGATGTTTGCAGAGCCTAAAAAGCATTTTGAGAAAATATATGAGCATTACATTACATTATTTAATGGTCATAAATAGTTACAATACAGATGCTGGCGATCCTTCAAGTGTCATCATTGATGGGAACAGCAGCGTCAATGGTCCTGTGGTTTCAGAGATGATACTTACAGAACCTACAGTGCATTTGGAGAGAATTTAAGAGCATGGTCCAAAGACTAAGGTCAAAATCTAAAATATCACAAAATCATATTTTTCAATATGGGTGCAGATTGAACCTCTTGAACACATTGGTGTGTCATCACTGGTGGGAACCAGAACATGAAGCTTCAGCTTCTCTGATCCTGTGGTTTCTCAGGAGGTGTTGTTTACAGTGAAAGGAATTGCATTGTGAGAGAATGTATTGGTACGGTCGAAGTGCAAAGGTCAAATTAAGGTCAAAATTAAAATATTGTGAAATACATCAGATGTGTGTTGAGCCCCGCTGCTAGTGACACATACCAAATTTCAACACATTTGGAGTGAAAATTGCAGAGTAATAGCCATAAGTTGATTCTTAATATGTCTGTTGTGGCGGCCATATTGAAATTATGTACAAACCTGGAGCATATTCATATTTGGTGGGAACAACCATGTGAGGTTTCAGGTTTATTGTCCTGTGGCTTCTGAGGAGAAGGTATTTACAGACAACAAGACCAAGGTCACTGAAATCAACCATGTCAGGTGCCGACCGTTAGGTCATACGTGTCACCTGTGTGCAGTGGTTCATGAAGATACCTTCAACCATGAGAGTTCTGCTCAGGTGAGGTGAGGTGAAATGGAGTTTAACATCGCGATCAAGATTATTGCACTTATACAGCGATGTGTGTGTGTGTGTGTGTGTGTGTGTGTATGTGTGTGTGTGTGTGTGTGTTTTTGTGTTTGTGTGTGTGTGTGTGTGTTGCAGTCCAACATGAATACCCCACTCAGACACAGCATACTGACTCCGAGCTGACCAGTCCTTGTTTTAGCCTCTAAATGCAGAGCGCCAGACAGGGTAACAACAAGTGCCATCTTTTAACGTCTTTTGGTATGATAAAGCCTGCCATCAAACCCCGGACATTTCACTCTCCGGGCGGACGCTTTACCACTAGCCCAGGGAGGCTGTCAGTTCTGCTCAGGAAACGTGGCAGATGGACAGAGTTAATTTGTAAATCGTCTGGTGTGAAATCATTAGAACACCATCAAAAGTGAACTGTATATATATATATCCTTGAATCTTACAAACAAATTTTCAGAAAACACAATTAATAACAAAAATGGACAAGTTGTATCATTGGCCAGTTTATTTACACAAGAACTCCATCTTATCAACTGAATAAATCATTGATGTTTAAGTTAGGTAACAAAATGTTGCCTTGCAGTGACACAGTTATTATTGTTGAAAAGATTATCATGGAAACCAGAAAGTAACATTCCACCAGATAATGCCCAACTGGGACACGTCTTGTTGGGGTACCAATGTCAGCATTCTTGACCTTCTGTCAGTGAGATCTTCACCAAACTTCAGAAAGAAATCACGAGAAACAGCTCAACAGTCTTCTTATGATCGTGAAACACTTGTAGACCGATAATTCCATAAATATAACAACTTCTCAATCTCCTTAAAAAGAGATATTTTACTCTGATATCATACCTCTCCGTGTGAAGATCTGACGACCCCTCCATGTAGGTCGCATCAGCTGACATTTCTGATCAGCCAATCAGAGTCAAGGCTTCTTAATTCTTGGTAAGAGCAAGCACAGGTTTAGAGCAACATATCAAAATGAATATATTTGGCCTGTTATCAAAATAATCAAGGCTCGGCTATTATAATGCTGTGGATATTTTGCACACAACGTCATTTCTTATGTTGTGGCACCTACACCCAAAAAGTGTATTATCGAAGGTATATTCTTTTGAAAAAATCGTAATTTGAGATTCAAGGTGCAAAAAGAAGGAGGCTAAACTGTTTTAGAAAGCTGACATCTGATTGGCTGAAAAGCCCACACATTCTTCATTCAGATGAGGTGTCAAAGTTCACACCGGGTTCCCACGACCTCCTTCGACAGTTATCAGATATTCACGTAGAGGTATTGTAACAGAGTACAAAAATCTGATATTAATGAGATTTTCAACCTTATATCCCTTGGCTTCTATTTGTTGTCCTCATCAAACATTGTCATTTCAGTTAGCTTACACAAGTGTGTGAACGTTGCATTTTCCACACTCAAGGATGAATATATTTCCATGACCAAGAGATGAAGTCCAAAAACTATGTTGTATTGTTGACAGCACTGTTTCTCATCATACCCTGAAAATAAAAAATAAATTACTATTACGAAGGTAGATACAAACTGATATTACCTGTAAGGGTTTAAAGGTCAAGTTTGGGGTGATTGGTCATTTGCCACAAAATGACACCACAACTGTAAGGCTCTGAGTGAGTGAGTGAGTGAGTGAGTGAGTGAGTGAGTGAGTGAGTGAGTGAGTGAGTGAGTGAGTGAGTGAGTGAGTGAGTGAGTGAGTGAGATAAGTTTAACACTACTTGGACCATCATTGAGTCACAGTGTGGGAGGAAAGCCCTCAATAGTGAGGTCTTACATGTATACCATCACCCAGGGTAACCCAGTACCATGACATAATGCTGCTAAGCCAAGGATCATAATGGGGAGAAGTTTGGATTCGAACCCATGGAGTCTTCATACCCTGACAAGTCCAAGTGCATGTGACTATTGTGGTGCCTCAAATACAGAGTCAGCGTCACATTTCCGCTACTTACTTCCCAACACTCTGGATCACCTGACACTAATGTCCAAAGCAGATAATGAAGGAAATAATATGTTGGTTGGTTGGTTGGTTTGTTGTTTTACGCCGCACTGAGCAATATTCCAGCTATATGACGGCGGTCTGTAAATAATCGAGTCTGGACCAGACAATCCAGTGATTGATCTCATGAGCATCGATCCACGCAACTGCGATCGATGACATGCATCAACCAAGTCAGCAAGTCTGACCACCCGATCCCGTAAGTCGCCTTTTACGGCAAGCATGGGTTGCTGAAGACCTATTCTACCCCAGAAACTTCACGGGTCAAAATAATATGTACATTTATATCAACACATACTATAAAGCATAGGCATAGTAACTACCCTCAGTGGAAGGATATGTGACATTTCTATTCTCAGCTCCCTGGGGAGTATTCCCAGTACATCCCAAGTTCATGTTAGATGCTAGATTTGGAACCATTTTACCATCTCAATCTACCGGGTACCCATCACCTGCTGGACAGACAAAGTCACTTGTAAGATGTAAAGGTGATACGACGTGTTACCTATGTTTCAGTCACCCATCCAACGCTCTGCCCACAGCATTGGTCAACAGCGCCTCATGTGACAGTTCTATCACTCAATACACTACATCCCTACTGATTCCTGATCTATGCACGGGGCACAGGTGGTCCAGCCAGTCGTCGAAGGCGCCGCAAATCAGAGCAGATTTGCTTTCCTTGGGCACGCCTGGAACCTATGATTGTGGGGTCGAAATACTGTTCAAAGCGGCGTTAAACCCAAATCACTCACTCAGCTATGCACAGAAGCATGCACTGAGGCAGTGCGACAGGGAAGTTTTGGAAATTTTATGTTTTAGCTTGGGACTTGTTATGTGAAAAGGATATTGATGAATTCATCAGATTTGGAGAAGAAAGATTTTAAATTTCAGTGCAAACGAACCCACAGACGGACGATGGACAAAGATCCACAACACCAGCTCACCTGGTGTCAGAATGAGCTAACAACCATCACCCTGACTTCCCCATCAGAGGTGAGTGACGCAATTCTTCACAGCGCCGGCTGAACCACCCCCAGTGATATATACACAGGCTATCAATTACTGACACTTGCAGCATCTGATCACCATCATGTGGGGAGATTCTTATCAAGTACCATAAACACACTCTCCACAAGGAGCCAGGAGGCCGTAAACCTGGTTTTTGCGCACTCATCGTGGTTCAAATTAGCCAGCCATTCTGTCTCAACATAAATACACATTGAATGAGGAAATATTTTTTTCAAAAGTAAACGTTGCAAATTACCCTGGCACTGTAGGGACTAGGACATCAGAGGGCTATGTACAAATACTTTCATCTCAAAGCTCCTGCTAAGTTTGAGAAGATCCCAAAAGAAATTTCCACATTCTTCTGTCCACAAAGAATTGGCTGGGATCAGTTCTGCAAATTTCCTAAATATTATCAGACTGCTGAGATGATGGGAAGACCCAGCCTAACAGATCCACGCTGAACTACTTTTCTCATGGTGATCGAGAGGCAATTGAAATCCCACAACTGTCTTGAATGAAATACATGAGGACACCCAGCCTAACAGATCCACGCTGAACTTTTCTCATGGTGATCAGTTTACTTAGCCCTACTCAGAGAATGAGAATCTGGAGAGAACGGACAGTAAAATTTCCAAAATTGGAGCATAAAACGTCCATATTTATGTTAAAATAGTTACAATTAATGTTTAACATTACTGCATTGAACATGTTGAATGCGATGTTAAAATAACTCAATTTTGAACCAATTTTTTTTGTCCCAATTAACCTGGCAAGGGCACCTTGTTTGTGATCCCAGTCACTATTTTCCCCATCAGACAACTCCTCGTGGAATATGCTTAGTTTCTGCAACAATTACCCGCAGACTCATTTCCCATCATAACCGGCTTTCATTTTGTGAATCGTTTCTCCCTGATTGAGAAGACAGCTGTGACGAAGCCACCCAGGGACGTCAGACTCCCTCGTCAACATCGTCAGCACATTACAGCACCTCAACTACTTACTTCTTCACCACCTGGACAACGTCTTCGTCGTTCAGCACATGCTCCTTGCCCACCTTCTGGGGCTGGTGGCGGGCGGAGGATCCCCACACGAGGGCGCTGGAAGGAGGGACAAGGCATAAACCACTCAGAATACACAAACCCTGTTTATTAGCAAAGGTGTAGAAGCCCAAACCTGGGTTAAAAAGGCAATTTACATGTGTGCTGCAATCAAGTGAAATCCATTGCCTCTTAATGACTTTTTCAGACATTGCTGAAACAGTCTACGGGCATTTTACGAGTGCTTCATATGTTATCCTTAAGTACCCGAAGAGTTTTAGTTCTAGACATGAGACTTTAACATACACTTCACTGTCTTCTAGTCTAACGATCCAGTTGATAACAGTTCTATGTATTGTGACCATATTTTTAGATATAATGTCTGATTAATTGAAAGTAGACATGTACACTGAAATGTTTTAATTATTTTACAAACTTTTCAGAGAAAAATATGATATTTTGGTACAGTCCCCTCACACGGTGATTTTTACGGAAGTATGATGCCAAACGTCTTTATGACGTCACAGCACCCATATATCCTAGCACCCCTGTATCCTAGCACCCCTGTATCCTAGCACCCATGTATCCTAGCATCCATGTATCCTAGCACCCATGTATCCTAGCACCCCTGTATCCTAGCACCCCTGTATCCTAGCACCCCTGTATCCTAGCATCCATGTATCCTAGCATCCATGTATCCTAGCATCCATGTATCCTAGCATCCCTATATCCTAGCATCCATGTATCCTAGCACCCCTGTATCCGAACACCCATGTATCCTAGCACCCATGTATCCTAGCATCCATGTATCCTAGCACCCATGTATCCTAGCACCCATGTATCCTAGCACCCCTGTATCCTAGCACCTAGCACCCATGTATCCAAGCACCCATGTATCCTAGCACCCCTGTATCCTAGCACCTAGCACCCATGTATCCAAGCACCCATGTATCCTAGCACCTAGCACCCATGTATCCTAGCACCCATGTATCCTAGCATCCATGTATCCTAGCACCCATGTATCCTAGCACCCATGTATCCAAGCACCAATGTATCCTAGCACCTAGCACCCATGTATCCAAGCACCCATGTATCCTAGCACCTAGCACCCATGTATCCTAGCACCTAGCACCCATGTATCCAAGCACCCATGTATCCTAGCACCTAGCACCCATGTATCCTAGCACCCATGTATCCTAGCACCTAGCACCCATGTATCCTAGCACCCATGTATCCTAGCACCCATGTATCCAAGCACCCATGTATCCTAGCACCTAGCACCCATGTATCCTAGCACCCATGTATCCTAGCACCTAGCACCCATGTATCCTAGCACCCATGTATCCTAGCATCCATAAAGTCCCTTTTCTCCTCTTGGGTGACATTTGTGCTTTTACTGAGCCTCACGTTGAAGACAGTTTTGGATGATGAAATTATTTCTAATACTGACACCAGTTTAAGTCGTTTTGATTTTGGTCTTCCAAACTCAGCTAATGCACAATGACCTAGATAACTAGATGATAATGTCACTCCCTTGTGGATCTAATCCTGCATGGTTTTATTTCAGTTTGCAATTTGTTCCCTGTGAAATTGACAAGGCAGTAATACAGAGGTCAAGTCTGTAAGTGAGTGAGTTGGGTTTAAAGCTGCTGTTCACAGTATTACAGTAATATCGTGGCGTGTCAGCTTAATGTGGGAGGAAAGCCCAAAGTAATGCAGGTTTCCGACTTCGGTGAAACCCACAAGCTCGGGTATGGTGCTGACAAACCTAGAAACATAATCGGAGCGAATTGGCATTCGAACCCACAATCATAGGTTTCTGGCGTGCCCAAGGGACGCAACTCTGCACACCGAATCATGGCGCCTTAGACGACTGGGCCACAGGTGTCCCCGGTCAAGTATGTGATATCCTGTTGTAACAAAGAGTGTATCGTTGAGAAGAGTTCTCATCTGTTCGTTCTTCTCCTATACCTGCAGGTGCCCTGGTGATTCAGAAATTGTTCAAGGCTCATACAGCTCATACAGGAACAATTTAATTCAAGGCTTTTCAAGGTTTTTCAAGGGTGTCAACTGTCCTTTTCACGGCTTTGATAGTTGAGTTATTAGCCTCAGTCTGTCAATATCCCATTAAATCCAGCATGCTGTGCTATTATATGATACTATCTAAAGTAGTATGACCATCAGAAATTTTCAAAAAGATTTATTTTCACATCCAGCAAAAAACTAAATTAAGTTTGTTATGCATTGTTGGGCTATTAATTCTTCATTGTCTTTGGCAAACAAATCTATCACTGTAATAAATCTCACTTAGACATCCTTGGCTCATATTTTTGTGTGCTTTAATACTTTTATTAACAAGTATATGTCATTTTGTACAAAGGTTGGTGATATTCAAGGCTTTTCAAGGTTGACACCAAACATCAAAGCTTTTCAAGTCTGTGAGAACCCTGTTGTTTGTACAAACATGTGCTCCATGACACAAGGAAGAGTTGTCTCCCTTCAAGTCAGGGTTGCAAACAATACAAGGTTTAATTTCAAGAACGGATTAAGTCATATATCTTCCTAAAGGCCTTCAAGCATTGTTTCCAAGCTGAACATTTGAAAATATGAAAATTATAAATCTTAGAAAAGGCCCAGGGTTCTTGAAGTTTGCTTCAAAAGTATTTGAAACAAGGGGCTTCCAAACCTTAGAACATCAGGTAAATGACAACAGTCTTTTTACCACCAGTTATTATCAGAAAGTGGTCCTCATACAGTGCCGAAGTCAACTACAACCAGCCCGAAGCCCATCTTATGTGTTCTTAATTAAAACAGTTTGTGAAATGATACACGATACATGTCATATATTGATGTAGTACCGTAATGTTAAGCTGATGAATTGTTTTGTTTGTTTGTTGTGTATTGCTGCACTCAACAATATTCAAGCTACTTGACAGCGGCCTATAAATAATTGAGTCTGGACCTGACAATCCAGTGATTGATATTAAGAGCAACAATCCACGCCATCAGGGTGCAATGACCGGTTAGAATTGATCCCCAGAAACCTATGCTAGTTAAAATTGGCGACCAAATAAACCGGGTAGTCCCAACCATAGAAGGTTAAGGAAAGAAAGAGTGGGTGAGTGAGTTGGGTTTAACGTCGCTTTTAACAGTATTCCAGTTATATCACGTGTCAGCTTAATGTGGGAGGAAAGCCCGAAGTGATGCAGGTCTCAGATGTTTACCACTTTGGTGAAACCCACGACCACGGGTATGGTGCTGACAAAGCTAGAAACATAATCGGGGCGAGTCGGGATTCGGACCCACAATCATAGGTTTCTGGCGTGCCCAAGGGACACAACTCTGCACAGCGAATCACGACGCCTTAGACAACTGGGCCACCCTTGCCCTTGTTAAGGAAAGAAAGAGAAGCCGATTACTTACTATTTAAATTCTTTCATAATGCTTCTATGGATCTTGTTACAGAAGTCTTCTACAGAGCTCCTCCCCTGCTTCAACACCACCGGGGAGCTGTAGTCAGGGAGCTGGCCCTTCGGCTTTGTGTATCTGAAAACATCAGTCAGGAAAAGTAGTGAGACCCCGGCAATGACAACTGGATTCTAAATTCAAAGATAAAAGATTAAAAACATATAATTTTTGAGGCTGCAACAGAGCAGATGGAAGTTTGTAAACCAACCAAAACTAAATTTAGTAACATGATAATGTTATTCAGTCATGGGAAACATGTCTGATTAGAGGGCTAACATTGTACATTAGGCTTAGAAAAATAAAAGAATTGGTTCTCAGGCAACGACTTTTGAAAACATAGTGCAGGCGGTGCTTTTTTTTTTTTTGCTTGTTCAAACTAGTCAGTAATAGCATACTACATTGGATCACATTGTTTTTAAGTATTAGGATTTTTAAATTTATTTGAAAATGGAAATAAAAGTGAAACGTGCAGCAGACTTATGATGATGCTGGCGGTGCCTGAGAACCAAGACTATTATTTCTTTTAGCCTTAAATGATTGAGCAACAGTCCAAATGATCCATCTAACATGGTTGGCATGGCAACTAATGTTGGATCTGTATTCTGGATACTGTGATTCTCTAAAGGTGGGGTTAGAGGTGGGGTGTGTCAGGGCTAAAGCTGGATTATAGTTCTGGTCCTCCAGACACCACGTCTCAGTTTAACATGGATACTCCACACACACACACACACACAGTAATGACTGAGCAGACCAGGGCCCACTTGCACAAAGCGATCTTAGCGCTACGACTATTGTAAGCCTATGTTAAAGTGTGGGAGTTACGATCATCTTAGCTCTAAGATCGCTTTGTGCAAGTGGGCCCTGTTCTTGTTTTAGTCCCTTAATACCGAGTGTTAGCCATTGCAACAAATGTACCATCCTTATAGTCTTTGGGTATGGCGCGTACGGGGATGTTCTCTTCATTAGACCACAGAGGCGGACACTTAAGCTTATGTGAATCACTTTTTCAACTGAAAGTTTTTCAAGTGCCTGGAATCTCCATACATGTGGATGAATGTTGTTTTCAGTTCCCTGTAAATAAGTGAATCTGGGGCAGGCAAGCCAGTGATTGAACAACGATCTATACCGTCCAGGTAGATGACACACAACCAGCCAGGTCAAACATTGCTCCACAAAGTGATCGTAGTGCTAAGGTGATCGTAACTTTCATACTTTAACATTGACTTACGACAGTGTAGCGCTACGAACGCTTTGTGGAACAGGCGCCTATCCTCATGTAGTTCACCTTCCATTTCTGAAAGCTGATTGGTCAGAATACCTCAGCCCTCACAAGACAGCCATTAGATTGGATTATTATGGATGTTAATCATCTGACCATACATCAAATGTCCAACATAAATATTCAAATGATATAGCCACTACATGTATAAGACTTAAAAAAAAAAATATCTGCCTTTTAGTGAAAATGGCAAATTTACTTTATGAATAACCTTTACTGTGACCTTGACTTTAATCTTTCATAGGTCACTCACAACCTTTTCAAATTTTAAGGCTATGACCTAGAGTATGACCTTGACCCTTGACATGACATATCAATGTGACATAATGATTTCTATGGGTTATAAAGGTGACATAAATGACACGATGATATCCCTGAGATATGTCCAAGCACTGCATGCTTTCAAAAATGAAATTGCATATGCTACTCATTGATATAAAAAGAAATTGTCATCATTTGTGATGCATTAATAAAGTATTCAAACAAGGTAACTTCTGCATGTATAAGATCTTAAAAGGAAATCTGAAGCAAAAGGCATTTTTTAGAAAACGGCAAAATGCTGTATGAATGACCTTCATTGTGACCTTGACCTCACCTTTTCATATCACAGTACTCAGAATGACATGTACCACTTCTCATTGACATACAGCAAATGCTTTATGAGTTACTGTTTTCTTCAGGCTATGACCTCAAGGATGACCTTGACCTTTGACATAATTGTCAATGTGTCAAAAACTAACCATGACTATAAAGTAGATATACATGGTATGATATCCCCGAGATGTCCAAGCAGGGTGTATACTGCTAGCCCTCGGAGGACATTACCAGCTATGTCCTCAGACTCTGCACTCACATTCTGACAAGCTCCAGGTAGTTCCACATTCGCTCCAGGAGGTCGTCAAAGTTCCACTTGTGATGTGCGGAGATGGGGACACAGTGGGGGACCTTATAGATGATGTCCAGCTCCTGGAGAGAGAAGGGGAACAACATGAACTACACGAGGGGCTGTTTCCAGGGGCAACAACATTACAGCCATAGCAACATGTGAGTGATCGACTAGGGTTTACTTTGAACAGAATTTTAGTTATAGCATGGCAGGATATTTGTATTGTCTTGTGAAATAATCTCATCGAGTGACAGGGCAAAGTTTACCTTTCTGCACAGACACATTGTGCAATCATTTTCGCATTTTATCTGGCTCAGACACCCATAATGTCCGTCAGACTTCAAGTAGTTCTGGCATACAGTGTCATATCAAGTTCCTAGTAAAGATCCTAACTACAGTATTCCATAGTATTACATAGAAATATGATTATTAACATATTTTAAGCAGCTAAATAACCCTAAACTGGTTCCAGTGTTTGTACACGACGCAAGCTTCAGGCTTTTAATCAACAAAAGTGGTACAAATCTGCACCATATCTGGTAATAGCTGTGCATGTGTGAGGTCATTACCGAAACTTTATTTTACGCAAAAGTTAAAAAAATGAACTGCTTTGCTAATATTAATTTTGTCTGGAGCACTTTTACTTCACAAACAAACTTCACATAGTCCGCTATTTGTTTATATTCCATACTGAGGACCAATGACTGCTATGTTTAGGGTCGTCAATCGCTGACAAATCGAACACTTGATTAGGCAGACAGAGCCCAGTCTAAAATAACCCTTGGTTATGGAGTTATGATGATTGGTCCAAGGGGAGCAACTCCTGACTAACTATTTGTGGAGGCCCTAAGCTATGTGCATCATTAAAAGGACATCTTGAAGAGCACCAAAAGTCTTCAAGACACGAGCAATGACTAAGACAACTTGGACTGAGATAGAGAGTGATAGCCGACTGACTCACTTCTATAGAGATCTGGTCAATCTTGTTCAGCAGGTAGATACAAGGTATATACACCCGGTTTCCCTCAATGACATCGATCAGGTCCTCCGCGGTGGCATCGTAGCGTAGAGTTATGTCAGCATTATGGATCTTGTACTCACTCAGGATAGTCTTCACCAGATCTACATCCAATTCTGACTGCCCCACCTGGTGGCAGAACAAGGGGAGATAACAAACACATGAAACTATCATCACTTACACAAGTATATCTTAATCTGTTGCCAATACGTTGGTTGTCACACTTGCTATATTCTAGGATCTTTGTCATGAAGATATGGTTATGTATCATTTAAATTTTGTAAAATAACAAATATTTTGAAACATTCTATATCGAAATTGTAAATTCAGATGAATATGTTAGTCCTTCAATGCCTAGTCCTGCCCCTGGCTTACCCTGCTTACTAATCAAGCTACAGCTGTCTACTCATTGATGCATGTCTAGGTCTGAACCATAGACCAGCGCTAAAATACCTACTCTATGTCTACTCCGTGTCTACTCTGTGTCTGCTCTATGTCTGCTCTGTCTATACCGTAATCTGTCTACTCTGTGTCTACCATATGTCTGTCTTTGTTGTTTAACGCCGCGATCAGCAATATTCCAGTTATATGACAGCGGTCTGTAAATAATCGACTCTGGACCAGACAATCCAATGATTGACATCATGAGCATCAATGCACACAATTGGGATACGATGAAATACATCAACCAAGTCAGCGAGCCTGACCACCTAATGGCGTTTATCCCCTCTTACGACAAGCATAGTCGCCTTTTACGGCAAGCATGGGTTGGATAAGACCTATTCAAACCCGGAATATTTGTGGGTCAACTCTATGTCTACTCTGTGTCTTTTCTATAGTCTATGTCTACTCCATGTCTACTCTGACAAGCTCTATGTCCACTCTGTGTCTACTCTAGAGACTACCCGGTATGTCTACTCTATGCCTACTCTAGTTTGCTCTCCGCGCACTCACTGTGCTGGTTAGATTGCGTCTACGTCTCCTCCATGTCTATTCTGTGTCTACTCTATGTCTACTCCGTGTCTTTTCTATAGTCTATGTGAGTATGTCTACTCCATGTCTACTCTGTGTCTACTCCATGGGCTATGTGTACACTGTGTCTATTATATATGGTCTATGTCTATTCTATGTCTACTCTGTGTCTACTCCATGGGCTATGTGTACACTGTGTCTGTTATATGGTCTATGTCTATTCTATGTCTACTCTGTGTCTACTCCATGGGCTATGTCTACATTGTGTCTATTCCATGGTCTATGTCTATTCTGTCTACTCTGTGTCTACTCTGACAAGCTCTATGTCCACTCTGTGTCTACTCTAGAGACTATGCCTACTCTATGCCTACTCCGTGTCTACTCCATGACTACTCTCAGCGCACTCACCGTGCTGGTTAGATTGAGTCCTCCTTTCTCCTTCTTCCTGAAGACAATATTTGGTGGCGACTTATTTAACCGGATTCCGAAGCCTTCCAGCTCTCTCTCGATTATCTTCTTGTGTTGCAGAGGTTTCAAGACATCCAGCACAATAAATATGAGCCCACATGTCCTTGCAACTGAAAAACACAATCTTGCTACATGATGTGGCCTTCACACGATAACGATCTAAGTTAATACCACAACCATGTGATATTCAACTTTCATAAAAAAAGTTCTGTTGCACATTGTGAGCAAATACATGCACGCTGTTATATGCTGCAGTCTATTGTGAGTCTGGGGGAGGCAAACCAGTGGTTGATAGCATGAGTAATAATCAATGCCATCAGGTTACCCAAAATCAGCAAGGTCCAACACAGTCAGTAAGGCCCCACACAGTCAGTAAGGCCCCACACAGTCAGCAAGGCCCCACACAGTCAGCAAGGCCCCACACAGTCGGCAAGGCCCCACACAGTCAGTAGGGCCCCACACAGTCAGCAAGGCCCCACACAGTCAGTAAGGCCCCACACAGTCAGCAAGGCCCCACACAGTCAGCAAGGCCCCACACAGTCAGCAAGGTCCCACACAGTCAGCAAGGCCCCACACAGTCAGCAAGGCCCGACACAGTCAGCAAGGCCCCACACAGTCAGCAAGGTCATACACAGTCAGCAAGGCCCCACACAGTCAGCAAGGTCCCACACAGTCAGTAAGGCCCCACACAGTCAGCAATGTCCCACACAGTCAGCAAGGTCCCACACAGTCAGCAAGGCCCCACACAGTCAGCAAGGTCAGCAAGGTCCCACACAGTCAGCAAGGTCATACACAGTCAGCAAGGCCCCACACAGTCAGCAAGGTCGCACACAGTCAGTAAGGTCCCACACAGTCAGCAAGGCCCCACACAGTCAGCAAGGTCAGCAAGGTCCCACACAGTCAGCAAGGTCCCACACAGTCAGCAAGGTCCCACACAGTCAGTAAGGCCTCACACAGTCAGCAAGGCCCCACACAGTCAGCAAGGCCCCACACAGTCAGCAAGGCCCACACAGTCAGCAAGGTCAGAAAGGCCCCACACAGTCAGCAAGGTCAGCAAGGTCCCACACAGTCAGCAAGGCCCCACACAGTCAGCAAGGTCGCACACAGTCAGCAAGGCCCCACACAGTCAGCAAGGTCACACACAGTCAGCAAGGCCCCACACAGTCAGCAAGGTCCCACACAGTCAGCAAGGCCCCACACAGTCAGCAAGGTCCCACACAGTCAGCAAGGCCCCACACAGTCAGCAAGGTCACACACAGTCAGCAAGGTCACACACAGTCAGCAAGGTCCCATACAGTCAGCAAGGCCCCACACAGTCAGCAGGGTCAGCAAGGTCCCACACAGTCAGCAAGGTCAGCAAGGTCCCACACAGTCAGCAAGGTCCCACACAGTCAGCAAGGTCCCACACAGTCAGCAAGGTCCCACACAGTCAGTAAGGTCAGCAAGGTCCCACACAGTCAGCAAGGTCCCACACAGTCAGCAAGGTCCCACACAGTCAGTAAGGTCAGCAAGGTCCCACACAGTCAGCAAGGTCCCACACAGTCAGCAAGGCCCCACACAGTCAGCAAGGTCCCACACAGTCAGCAAGGTCCCACACAGTCAGCAAGGTCCCACACAGTCAGTAAGGTCAGCAAGGTCCCACACAGTCAGCAAGGTCCCACACAGTCAGCAAGGCCCCACACAGTCAGCAAGGCCCCATACAGTCAGCAAGGTCCCACACAGTCAGCAAGGTCCCACACAGTCAGCAAGGTCCCACACAGTCAGTAAGGCCCCACACAGTCAGCAAGGTCCCACACAGTCAGCAAAGTCCCACACAGTCACAAAGGCCCCACACAGTCAGCAAGGTCCCACACAGTCAGCAAGGTCCCACACAGTTAGCAAGGTCCCACACAGTCAGCAAGGTCAGCAAATACCTTGACCACAAGGCTACCCTACCACCCCAAAACGTCTTGAAATATAGGTGGTCCTAATCTAAAATGCCAATTGCCAAAACCACCCTCAAGGACCGTATATTATATTCAGATTGGAGTCAAATTCTCCCCCTGAATTATGATAGAAGAATTGGAACAACGCCAATCATGCTTACATCAATGAGAAACACAAAGCTACTAAATTCACATCTTCCTGAGGCAAGAGAGTTAGGTAACTGTAAAAGTCCAGTTTCCACCCTTGCCGAACTAGGCTCGAATTCCTGGGCTTGATCATAGCGCTACCAGTGGCTACGACCAGTTATGTCCCTTCTAAGCCTCTCTTATAGACCACCTCAGATTTCACCTCTCGTATCACTTGCATTTGCTTCAAACAAAATGGCAGCACCAAGTCAGGACGATTTGCTCGATAATCAAGATTTATATTGTGATAAAACGGGTCTTAAATCGCGAAATGCATCAAATCAAGTGAGCACCTTGATTAAAAACATGAAAGGTTTTGGAAATATCTGTTGACAATGAGTTGGCGGTGCACAAGCTTTGCAAATCCTGCAATCGACCGAAATCTGCACGACAGTTTACGAACTGGATTTCGTTAGTCCAGCCAAATTGTAACTCAATAATACCAGCCTAGTTCGACAATGGTGGAAACTGGACTTTTATAGTCAGTTGACTCTCTTGCCTCGGGAAGATGCTAAATTCAGGACTTCTCACCTGCTATGACTTGCTTTCCTCTACCCTTGCCATCCTTGGCACCTTCGATAATACCGGGCAGATCCAAGAGCTGGAAACACACAAGGAGAAGCATGGTGTGAGACACGAGGAGTGAGATACGTCAGGATGGACTACAGTGTGAGACACGAGGAGTGAGATACATCAGGATGGACTATAGTGTGAGACACGAGGAGTGAGATACATCAGGATGGACTATAGTGTGAGACACGAGGAGTGAGATACATCAGGATGGACTATAGTGTGAGACACGAGGAGTGAGATACATCAGGATGGACTATAGTGTGAGACACGGGGAGTGAGGTAAATCAGGATGGACTACAGTGTGAGACACGAGGAGTGAGATACATCAGGATGGACTATAGTGTGAGACACGGGGAGTGAGATACATCAGGATGGACTACAGTGTGAGACACGAGGAGTGAGATACATCAGGATGGACTACAGTGTAAGAAGCATGGTGTGAGACACGAGGAGTGAGATACATCAGGATGGACTATAGTGTGAGACACGAGGAGTGAGATACATCAGGATGGACTACAGTGTAAGAAGCATGGTGTGAGACACGAGGAGTGAGATACATCAGGATGGACTACAGTGTGAGACACGAGGAGTGAGATACATCAGGATGGACTACAGTGTGAGACACGAGGAGTGAGATACATCAGGCTGGACTATAGTGTAAGAAGCATGGTGTGAGACACGAGGAGTGAGATACATCAGGATGGACTATAGTGTGAGACACGAGGAGTGAGATACATCAGGATGGACTATAGTGTGAGACACGAGGAGTGAGATACATCAGGATGGACTATAGTGTGAGACACGAGGAGTGAGATACATCAGGATGGACTACAGTGTGAGACACGAGGAGTGAGATACATCAGGATGGACTTTAGTGTGAGACACGAGGAGTGAGATACATCAGGATGGACTACAGTGTAAGAAGCATGGTGTGAGACACGAGGAGTGAGATACATCAGGATGGACTACAGTGTGAGACACGAGGAGTGAGATACATCAGGATGGACTACAGTGTAAGAAGCATGGTGTGAGACACGAGGAGTGAGATACATCAGGATGGACTATAGTGTGAGACACGAGGAGTGAGATACATCAGGATGGACTACAGTGTAAGAAGCATGGTGTGAGACACGAGGAGTGAGATACATCAGGATGGACTACAGTGTGAGACACGAGGAGTGAGATACATCAGGATGGACTACAGTGTGAGACACGAGGAGTGAGATACATCAGGCTGGACTACAGTGTAAGAAGCATGGTGTGAGACACGAGGAGTGAGATACATCAGGATGGACTATAGTGTGAGACACGAGGAGTGAGATACATCAGGATGGACTATAGTGTGAGACACGAGGAGTGAGATACATCAGGATGGACTATAGTGTGAGACACGAGGAGTGAGATACATCAGGATGGACTATAGTGTGAGACACGAGGAGTGAGATACATCAGGATGGACTATAGTGTGAGACACGAGGAGTGAGATACATCAGGATGGACTACAGTGTAAGAAGCATGGTGTGAGACACGAGGAGTGAGATACATCAGGATGGACTATAGTGTGAGACACGAGGAGTGAGATACATCAGGATGGACTACAGTGTAAGAAGCATGGTGTGAGACACGAGGAGTGAGATACATCAGGATGGACTATAGTGTGAGACACGAGGAGTGAGATACATCAGGATGGACTATAGTGTAAGAAGCATGGTGTGAGACACGAGGAGTGAGATACATCAGGATGGACTACAGTGTGAGACACGGGGAGTGAGGTAAATCAGGATGGACTACAGTGTGAGACACGAGGAGTGAGATACATCAGGATGGACTATAGTGTGAGACACGAGGAGTGAGATACATCAGGATGGACTACAGTGTAAGAAGCATGGTGTGAGACACGAGGAGTGAGATACATCAGGATGGACTATAGTGTGAGACACGAGGAGTGAGATACATCAGGATGGACTATAGTGTGAGACACGAGGAGTGAGATACATCAGGATGGACTACAGTGTGAGACACGAGGAGTGAGATACATCAGGATGGACTATAGTGTGAAACACGAGGAGTGAGATACATCAGGATGGACTACAGTGTAAGAAGCATGGTGTGAGACACGAGGAGTGAGATACATCAGGATGGACTACAGTGTGAGACACGAGGAGTGAGATACATCAGGATGGACTACAGTGTGAGACACGAGGAGTGAGATACATCAGGCTGGACTACAGTGTAAGAAGCATGGTGTGAGACACGGGGAGTGAGATACATCAGGATGGACTACAGTGTGAGACACGAGGAGTGAGATACATCAGGATGGACTATAGTGTGAGACACGAGGAGTGAGATACATCAGGATGGACTACAGTGTAAGAAGCATGGTGTGAGACACGAGAAGTGAGATACATCAGGATGGACTACAGTGTGAGACACGAGGAGTGAGATACATCAGGATGGACTATAGTGTGAGACACAAGAAGTGAGATACATCAGGATGGACTATAGCGTGAGACACGAGGAGTGAGATACATCAGGATGGACTACAGTGTAAGAAGCATGGTGTGAGACACGAGGAGTGAGATACATCAGGATGGACTACAGTGTGAGACACGAGGAGTGAGATACATCAGGATGGACTACAGTGTAAGAAGCATGGTGTGAGACACGAGAAGTGAGATACATCAGGATGGACTATAGTATGAGACACGAGAAGTGAGATACATCAGGATGGACTATAGTGTGAGACACGAGGAGTGAGATACATCAGGATGGACTACAGTGTAAGAAGCATGGTGTGAGACACGAGGAGTGAGATACATCAGGATGGACTATAGTGTGAGACACCAGGAGTGAGATACATCAGGATGGACTACAGTGTAAGAAGCATGGTGTGAGACACGAGGAGTGAGATACATCAGGATGGACTACAGTGTGAGACACGAGGAGTGAGATACATCAGGATGGACTACAGTGTGAGACACGAGGAGTGAGATACATCAGGATGGACTATAGTGTGAGACACGGGGAGTGAGATACATCAGGATGGACTACAGTGTAAGAAGCATGGTGTGAGACACGAGGAGTGAGATACATCAGGATGGACTACAGTGTGAGACACGAGGAGTGAGATACATCAGGATGGACTATAGTGTGAGACACGAGGAGTGAGATACATCAGGATGGACTACAGTGTAAGAAGCATGGTGTGAGACACGAGGAGTGAGATACATCAGGATGGACTACAGTGTGAGACACGAGGAGTGAGATACATCAGGATGGACTATAGTGTGAGACACGAGGAGTGAGATACATCAGGATGGACTATAGTGTGAGACACGAGGAGTGAGATACATCAGGATGGACTACAGTGTAAGAAGCATGGTGTGAGACACGAGGAGTGAGATACATCAGGATGGACTACAGTGTGAGACACGAGGAGTGAGGTACATCAGGATGGACTACAGTGTGAGACACGAGGAGTGAGATACATCAGGATGGACTATAGTGTGAGACACGAGGAGTGAGATACATCAGGATGGACTATAGTGTGAGACACGAGGAGTGAGATACATCAGGATGGACTATAGTGTGAGACACGAGGAGTGAGATACATCAGGATGGACTATAGTCTGAGACACGAGGAGTGAGATACATCAGGATGGACTACAGTGTGAGACACGAGGAGTGAGATACATCAGGATGGACTACAGTGTAAGAAGCATGGTGTGAGACACGAGGAGTGAGATACATCAGGATGGACTACAGTGTGAGACACGAGGAGTGAGATACATCAGGATGGACTACAGTGTAAGAAGCATGGTGTGAGACACGAGGAGTGAGATACATCAGGATGGACTACAGTGTGAGACACGGGGAGTGAGATACATCAGGATGGACTATAGTGTGAGACACGAGGAGTGAGATACATCAGGATGGACTATAGTGTGAGACACGGGGAGTGAGATACATCAGGATGGACTATAGTGTGAGACACGAGGAGTGAGATACATCAGGATGGACTACAGTGTGAGACACGAGGAGTGAGATACATCAGGATGGACTACAGTGTGAGACACGAGGAGTGAGATACATCAGGATGGACTATAGTGTGAGACACGAGGAGTGAGATACATCAGGATGGACTATAGTATGAGACACGAGGAGTGAGATACATCAGGATGGACTATAGTGTGAGACACGAGGAGTGAGATACATCAGGATGGACTACAGTGTAAGAAGCATGGTGTGAGACACGAGGAGTGAGATACATCAGGATGGACTACAGTGTGAGACACGGGGAGTAAGATACATCAGGATGGACTATAGTGTGAGACACGAGGAGTGAGATACATCAGGATGGACTACAGTGTAAGAAGCATGGTGTGAGACACGAGGAGTGAGATACATCAGGATGGACTATAGTGTGAGACACGAGGAGTGAGATACATCAGGATGGACTATAGTGTGAGACACGAGAAGTGAGATACATCAGGATGGACTATAGTGTGAGACACGAGGAGTGAGATACATCAGGATGGACTACAGTGTAAGAAGCATGGTGTGAGACACGAGGAGTGAGATACATCAGGATGGACTATAGTGTGAGACACCAGGAGTGAGATACATCAGGATGGACTACAGTGTAAGAAGCATGGTGTGAGACACGAGGAGTGAGATACATCAGGATGGACTACAGTGTGAGACACGAGGAGTGAGATACATCAGGATGGACTACAGTGTGAGACACGAGGAGTGAGATACATCAGGATGGACTATAGTGTGAGACACGGGGAGTGAGATACATCAGGATGGACTACAGTGTAAGAAGCATGGTGTGAGACACGAGGAGTGAGATACATCAGGATGGACTACAGTGTGAGACACGAGGAGTGAGATACATCAGGATGGACTATAGTGTGAGACACGAGGAGTGAGATACATCAGGATGGACTACAGTGTAAGAAGCATGGTGTGAGACACGAGGAGTGAGATACATCAGGATGGACTACAGTGTGAGACACGAGGAGTGAGATACATCAGGATGGACTATAGTGTGAGACACGAGGAGTGAGATACATCAGGATGGACTATAGTGTGAGACACGAGGAGTGAGATACATCAGGATGGACTATAGTGTGAGACACGAGGAGTGAGATACATCAGGATGGACTACAGTGTAAGAAGCATGGTGTGAGACACGAGGAGTGAGATACATCAGGATGGACTACAGTGTGAGACACGAGGAGTGAGGTACATCAGGATGGACTACAGTGTGAGACACGAGGAGTGAGATACATCAGGATGGACTATAGTGTGAGACACGAGGAGTGAGATACATCAGGATGGACTATAGTGTGAGACACGAGGAGTGAGATACATCAGGATGGACTATAGTGTGAGACACGAGGAGTGAGATACATCAGGATGGACTATAGTCTGAGACACGAGGAGTGAGATACATCAGGATGGACTACAGTGTGAGACACGAGGAGTGAGATACATCAGGATGGACTACAGTGTAAGAAGCATGGTGTGAGACACGAGGAGTGAGATACATCAGGATGGACTACAGTGTGAGACACGAGGAGTGAGATACATCAGGATGGACTACAGTGTAAGAAGCATGGTGTGAGACACGAGGAGTGAGATACATCAGGATGGACTACAGTGTGAGACACGGGGAGTAAGATACATCAGGATGGACTACAGTGTGAGACACGAGGAGTGAGATACATCAGGATGGACTATAGTGTGAGACACGAGGAGTGAGATACATCAGGATGGACTATAGTGTGAGACACGGGGAGTGAGATACATCAGGATGGACTATAGTGTGAGACACGAGGAGTGAGATACATCAGGATGTACTACAGTGTGAGACACGAGGAGTGAGATACATCAGGATGGACTACAGTGTGAGACACGAGGAGTGAGATACATCAGGATGGACTATAGTGTGAGACACGAGGAGTGAGATACATCAGGATGGACTATAGTATGAGACACGAGGAGTGAGATACATCAGGATGGACTATAGTGTGAGACACGAGGAGTGAGATACATCAGGATGGACTACAGTGTAAGAAGCATGGTGTGAGACACGAGGAGTGAGATACATCAGGATGGACTACAGTGTGAGACACGGGGAGTAAGATACATCAGGATGGACTATAGTGTGAGACACGAGGAGTGAGATACATCAGGATGGACTACAGTGTAAGAAGCATGGTGTGAGACACGAGGAGTGAGATACATCAGGATGGACTATAGTGTGAAACACGAGGAGTGAGATACATCAGGATGGACTATAGTGTGAGACACGAGGAGTGAGGTACATCAGGATTGACTATAGTGCAGTGCTGCCTCACCTGAATTTTCGCACCCTTGTAGCGGATGACCCCGGGTACAGTTGTGAGGGTCGTGAATTCATATGCTGCCACCTCAGAGTATACACCTGCCAGGTTGCTAAGCAACGTTGACTTGCCCACAGATGGAAATCCTGAAAACACAATGTAGAAATACATGAGTGAGTGCGTTCCAGGCTATGGATCATATGTCAGGCTCAACATAGAGCATAGAGCAAGGTTTCCAGAATTATTTTTTTACAGACATACCAACAAACCCAATTCTGGCATCTCCTGTTTTGGCGACATCGAATCCTTCTCCAGTCGGTCCCCCTCCTCCCTTCGGTTCAATCAGTTCTCGACGTAATTTCGCCAACCGGGCCTTCAGAAGACCGAGATGACCAGAAGTGGCCTTATTCTTCTGGGTGCGAGCCATCTAAAACCACAAAACAGAGTCATAATATGTGTACAAAACAATAAAAATGCAATGATGTTTCTCGGTCCACTATAAAGGTCAAATCCTAAAGTTGAAGTATGCTGATATGAAAATTATCAAATTTTCTGTCATGCACAGCTTTTGGCTAAAATCTTTCCAACTTCAACACGTTCAGAAGACATTGTAAATATGAGCTGGATGACTGTTTCACCAAATGCTTTTGTCATGTCATCATTTTAATCTTTAAATAAGCATTTTTAGTACCTTCTAGCCTTTCCAATACATCCTCCCCGACATCAGCCATCATTAACAAGGAACCATACTCTGTCTCGCTGTTGCTACCCCTGCCAAGGAATTCTTACCACAATCGCAGGATGATAAAATGCCTTATTTCAAACAAAAATTGGTAAAATTTCAATTCCAGGAATCAATGTATTCGACACTGACACTGGTCTGCTGGTCCGAGTCTAGCATATTTTCTAAAGGACTAGTTATATTAAATAAATGCAGGTCTGGTGGTGTAGTGTTATTTTGGGGATGAACAAATTAAGTTATGTTTGTAAGAGTTTTGAAATCAGCGCTAAATCTCTGCGCATCCATAACATCCCTGTATTGTACAGTGTTTACTTTCAGGGCTGGTTTCTCCCAATTGCACAATGAAGAAATGCCTTTAAAACCCTTTTTGATCAGGACCATTGTGTCTAGTAGAGATCCAACAGGGCCAGTAGATCTTTCTATGTGAAGGTCATTTGGACCACAGACATATTTTGGTGCATGTCTAACTCTGCTGAATACCATATCTGGAGTGGAGTGGAGCTGACAAACACAGAAACAATCAGAGTGAATCTGTGATTCGAACCCATGATCGTACTCTAAGGGACACAACTCTGCACTGGGAACTGGCGAACTGCAGCCTTTAAAATTTGTTGCCCTTAACACAATAGCCCTACAGTCATAAACATTTTTAACATGTACTTTACAGAGCTGTTTTTTTAGATGGAAAGTATGAATTCTTAACCTTACATTGTTACATCGCCACATATGTTACCGAGCTCCAGATAACTTTTTGAGCAATTGAGTTTTTACTCAAGGGTTTCTATTTTAATTGCGTTTTTACATTTTTTATTTGGTAACCAATATTTTTACACTCATCTATTCATCACTCTATTGGGTTTTTCCCAAAATAGTAAACATTTTGAGATTAAAAAATGAAATAATGTTTTAGATGTATATAACAGTTCTAAATATAGGCTTTACTTGGAAAGTAAATTAGCTCGTAATTGTGTTTCGGAAATTAGCTCTGTTGTACGCATGCTGGAAAAGCTTCACTGGGTATTTATGTGTACTGTTTCAAAACAATTAAGTTTTCCGTTTAATGCATGCATTTCTGTACGCAAGTTAATTGAAAGTAATTGGGTTTTGAATAGCTTTGGGGGTAGCTCTGTGGTATATCAATGTTTGATGAAGTTGTCATTGTTTCATAGTAGAATAAAATCAGAGGTAAGCAACAAAACAACTTAGTAACTCTCACAGCTTTTTATAATGAATAACCAACAGAGGTAGACACCATTGGTCACATCTAAAAAGTCTGGCGTTCATTTTGGACAAGTGGTTTATGCAAAATATCTATCATTTGGTGCAGTGGCATTATAGTTTGATACCACACTGCGTCAACATTTCATTTCATAACATACTCCGGCTGTATTTTGTGTAGTCCAGACTGCTGAAGAACTGGAGAATAACAGCAGTATGGACAATCTACAGAGAGCAACTTTCTTCTATTGTCTCTGCAAACAACTGTTGCAGTTTTGTTACACATCTGTTGTGCGATCAGGATCAGAATTGGACAGTAAGTTGATGTCTATTTGACATCAACATTGGCTAAATAACTTAGCGACTTAGCAGCTAGTAGGTGGTATATTCATAAGTTATTATTCATGTAATGTGTTTACAAAAAATGGAAGAAAAAATCTGTATGAAAACAAACTATCCCATGCTCATCTTATGTTCCTATAGGGCTTATTGCAGATAGATCTGTACTTCTGTTGCCATATTTATTTGTCATGAGACGTTACATCATTGATCTTTTAAGATCAGTGAAATTTTATAAATAGTATGAGTACTCGTGGGTTAGAAAATCAAAACGGCTGATGTTTCGGGCATAGAAAGAAGATGAGTGGTCTCCTTTAGCTGTCAATTTTAATTTTTAGAAGAAATACACAAAATGACAGTTGGGATTGACGAGACTTGTTGATGTAATCATGTATAACACAAATAATCAACTTTACCTCGGCTTCGATTTCGGCGATTCTTTGTAATATCGCACTCATTTTAACCTTTTAAAGCGATCAACACAATTTATTTCTGCCGTATTTTGCGAAAATATCACTCCACGTGATAAATATGGCGAACCGTGACCCGGACGTTGTAATACTTGTTCCGGAAGTTGAGATAGGTTAGAAGTCATTTGAAAAATTTTCGAATTATGAATTGTGGGGTTCATGAGCCCCTAAGTATCGTTGTGCACATTAATGAAAGTATGATTACATTGCGCAAATGAGCCAAACGTATCATTAAGCGTCTACACTTATGCAAATAGATTTTTTTCTTAATCTTAACGGTTTGCGCATGCGCTAAATCCGGGCTTGTTGAAACATCTGAATGTTGTTCAAAACTGGGAGCTTTCGTTCTATCGTCTTTAAAATGTCTATTTAATCATTCTTTAGCTTTCCAAGTGTTTGTTTGTATAGTATTTCGACTTTTCATGCAATCATTTCTTCATTTGATCTAGTCAAAGTAACTTGTGGCCAGCAGTAATCCCAAACATCAGTAGCAAGACTTGAGGTAGGAAACTCGGTCTAAAATATTTTTGTTTTTGTGCGGTTGATGTCATGAATTAACAAATGTAGCAGCGAGTTATCAAAATTTGCTGCCCCATTCATGTGTTTTGTGCCTGATAATTTCAAATTATGTATTATGTTAAGGATTTCATGGCATGTTACGGAATTTTAGTGTCTTAGTCTGAAATTAGACAGCGTTTTGATGGTGCTTGAGTCAGCAGCATAATTGGTCACTCTTGACATGTTGTTTCCGTCAATATAGCAGTAAGCTACACGCGAAGTTTCACATAGTAGCGTTTTTGGCCAGCCTTGAATAATATTCTATCAAACAAGTAGCTCAAATATGTTAAATAATGTCGTGGAGTCTGTTTCACTTGGACTTGTTTTACATGTTTGCTCATTTGCTTCAAGGCCAGTGTCTTGTGTGCATTTATCACAAAGAAGGCTATGACAGAATCACATTAAAAGAAGACTATTTTGAAAGATTTTGATAAAATGATTTCTAATTTTAGCACTATTGTATTTACGTTTTAAAAAACCCAAAAGTACAACACAACTACATCATAACTGAGTTGCTCTAAACATTTGAAGTTCCCAGGTTCACAATAATTGTTTTCTTTTCATCGTTTAGCTCTTCGTTAACCAGTAATATGCTCTGCAATATTTGTGGACTTGCTTAGTCTTGTTGACATTTGAATAATGGCATGTGTAACATTTATTTTATTTTTATGGTTGGCTCAGATATGAGCATTCGTGAGTTTCATATTCAAATCCTTCCATCACAATGCAGAACATAAACTAAGAAGCATCAACTATGAACACTGTACCTTTAATTAGACATCTCAGTACTTTCCAAGTTGTCAGATGCCTCAATCCATGTGTTCATCACATTTCTATGGTTTGACCCACAGTGATGCATAGAATGTTTATGTAGCCAATATTTATGAATTTTATTGCGACCACATGGAAATGGCATGCTCTATTAGCCTGACTTTGTTCAAGTGACCGCTAGACATGTAGAATTGTTTTACATTCATTGTACTAGTTATCTATGACCACTGATCTGAAATTTTGATGACATGGAAATATATTTACTGAATATCAGGTTGTTTTTGACTGGGTATATCAAATAACTTAGTCCCTGTCAATAAATTACTAACTACATGTGAATATAGGCTTTCAACAGTTTAGTAAAAACAGGCTCTTGGCCATTTTTACTGCTGTTACATCGAACCCCTGTACATACATCTAGTGGTTAATAGGTTAATATTCAAATATAACAAATCAATAGTATGATAAAACAGTGTTTTAGTGTTTCAATTGTTTTTGCTTATGATGGAACAAAAGAATACACAAATCACTGCTAATAATGCAGTCTACTGGTCTATGTTATTTTTATGCAGCAATTATCAAGTATTCCCTGCAGAGTGACAGGATGAAAGAAATGCTTCAGAATAAAAATGGAGGAAAACAATTTTAAAAAGGAAAACTGTTTGAATTTCTGTTATGTGATTACAAAAAACGGTTTCTTTATGATACTGATTATGACATGTCATTAATTTCATCACTGTCATTCAAAAATGGTGCATCTTGCTCTGGGTGGGGTTACTGGGAGTTTCTATCGAGATTGGACATCTTTACAGCTACGAAACCAGATATGTTTTTATTTGAAACTATGAGCGAGAATTTTTTTAAAAGAAAAACATCTTCCAACAATGTAATTTTTGTGGCAGGCGGGTTCTTTTTAACAGTCTGAAGCACAAATCTTTTTTTCAGGTTTTTGGGGGGACAATTTATTTTTTTCAATAAAATCACAGCTGACATACATGGGGACTGGTTGTTTGCCGTTGATGGTGTGACATTGCTTTGGAAAATAAGAGATTTGATACCATTCTGAGAGTGAACATAGTTTTACCTTGACTTAAAAATGTGGAGGTTCAGGAACCCCCATGATTAATTTTTGAGGGTTCTTGCAGGTAATATGAGGGTCCTGTAAGGTAATGAAATAGTGTAGTGTAGTGTATGTTTACATTATTACTTTAGAGCCTGAAATGAATCAATGATCATGTGGACAGGTGGATGAAACAACAAGCCCAAAACTGCTCTTGATGCAGGATCACTCGGGGTACTTGGGGTTTAATGTTTCCCGCCTTAGTTTTTTTCCACAGGACGACATGTCTTTATCTTACCGACATGTTATAGTATGACATTGTAAAAGAATTAAAACAAATTCAAAATTGATAAAAAAAACAGCAGTTTGATTGAGCAGAGGTTAGCTTTTGCGATGTCACGTGACTTTCATTGTCTCGAAAAAAGTGCTTGGCTTTTTGCTTCAAAGTGGGGTAAAAGGATTTATTCTGCCTCTTGTGACAGGGTATACAGGATTTATTTTCCCACTGAGAAATTTATTTCCCTCCAAGGCGGGAAACAGTATTTTATCAAGATCACATGGACCAATCATTCCAACACGGAGGTATGATAAGGAATATTATTGTGCATCCCCTTGGAGGTAGTATATTTTTTCTGTGTCAAATTCTCTTCATTTGTGTGTACTGGACATATAATTTTTGCATAATGTAATACCCTGGAGTGGAGCTGTTAGGTGTTTTACATTGGTATAATCTCATGTCTCAGTCGGAAGTCTGTCAACATCAACACATCACTTTTTTGCTTTATCCGAGTTCATTTCCCTGCAAACCATTATCTTGACCAATCAAATCAATGACAGAAAATTAAATGCTCTTGAGTTACTTTGTAATCATTACTTATGAGAAGATTTGGTAGAATCTTGCAAGGTTTATTTGTACTGGTGCATATCGATTAATCATTAGACCGTTTTGTTGGTTGTTTGTATGCTGAAATTTAAGTATTGATCACATAATCTTGATATTAATAATACTAAGGTACATGGTTTAGTACATACATTCCTTGATAGTTCATACCACAAAAAAGGAACATATGTTTTTGTAAATAACTACTGATTAAGGCCATCTGCTAGCGATCGATTAACAGACATCAAGCTTTGTCCAACACATTACCTTAGCTAATGCTTTTGCTGATTTTAAGAGCATAGGGTTCAAGGTGTCGATGTAAAGATCGTGAGGTCACATGTGGGTCAGGGAGATGTCCTATATATTTATATTTATGTTGTTACTGCACAAGTTCAGAAGCACTTCACAGTCCATATTTAGATATTATCTAATAACTTTGTGTATGTGCATGAATAATGATCAAGATAGTTCACATATCCACTTCAGAAAGCATTTGGTACTGGCTGTATATATACAGAAATCAAAATCTGTTTCATTAATTTATGAATCTGTAAAATTGTAACATATTTGATTGCCTGATCAACTGAAAGTACTTGTGAAGACCAAATACAAGTGGGTAGGGTCACTTGCAAACTAAATGTAAAAATGAAACCGGTAAAATCAACAATTTTTATGATTTTAAATAACTCTTATAATTTATGAAAGCTGACGTAAACAGAGTGCAAAGCAAACTCAACCTCATGAAAATGCATATATGTAAAACATGATCGTGAATTTCTGCAATCTCTTCAACATTCACTAGTACTAAAAATATTATCACAAATTTAGAGGTTGATTCCCATAACTAGGGACAAATGTGCACCACTATTAGTACTATGATGCCAATATTTGGGCAAGCATTTTAAAGACGTTTTCATATGCTGGAAGACTGCATTCTAATTCCGTTTGAAATTAAGTTATTTGGTGTTCAAGATTTAAGCCTTTAGAGAAAAAAATCTCAAATGTTACCTTAGCTTGGAAACGCTGGCATTGAAAAGCTGGAATTTGTCAAAATAGATTATCTGAAAGCAGATGCAAAAACAATTGCTAGGTTTGCCAATAAATTGACCTGAAATCACTTGCAATTTATCTATTTTGCTATAAATGCAAGTGATATAATATTATCATGTCTCATTTTGTCATCTTATAGAGGCAAACTTCAAAACCTCAATACTATATTGTGAATCTGGTTTTTTGAACTCACAAACAATTAAATATCTTGATAATTAGGGATATCATTATATAGTTTGTATCGCGATACTTAACTGGTACAGTTTTTGTGTTACTTTCTGCATGTTCAATGTGTCCTGGCTGACGAGTTGTGACTCACATGACTGTTTATTTAATCTTGCTCTATTAGTATTATGCAGTCAGATTTATCATTTTGTTTCAAGTAGTTATCAAGCAGATGTTTTTGCAAATTGATGCTGAATTAAAATAGACATATTATTTATCGTATCAGTAGAAATACATTTGTGATTCATCTATTTGACACATGTATTGATAATGTTTCAGTTAAGGATGTTTGAAATTGTTTGTGTTTTTTCAGTATGGATAAAGGCAAGCCTCGGTCTAGCAGTGGTGATGAGGATGATGGAATTGAGCAGGCACCAGTCAGGGCTGATACCCCTGGACCCTTGCCTCAATTTCAGTATGCACGGGTAAGCAGAATTCACAATTTTTAACATTATTTCAGTGCAATAAATAATGGTGCAGATTTCTACTTCTAACTGCTTGTATTGCTTGAATTAAATTATCTACCGTGCCCAAAATGTCAATAAAAACTTAAACGATAGTTGATTCATTCGACAAAAGTTGTCAATCACCACAGCGAGTTGCATACTCGCAACATTGCAAGCGATCTCTCACTTTGCATAACTGTTTCCTACATTGCTGAATGGAGCTTTGCATCATTGCAGTGCGCAACATTCTTCATCCCTGATCGGCAGAACACTCATAACATAAACACTTTGGTAGCACGAAAATCTCATTTCCTTTAAAACAGTGACCTACAACATCAATGTTTTTAAAACATATTTTTTGTCACTTAAATTACTCTAATAATCAACTGGGGAAAAACAAGCACAGGTAAAGTTTCAAGATGCAAACTAATTAAAATTTTCTGGATGCTGCACATGGCAAACACCGCATTCTGCAGAAAAATGAAATGACTTAATCATGTTAATTGTTGCTAATTAAACAAAAGACAGAACCTGGAATAATATAATATTCTGAACATATGATGGACTGTCAATACTAATCAACTAGAAAGTCAACAATATTTCCTTTGATATGGTACACACTACAGATGGAAATAGACAGCGAAATTGATGAAAGGACAGTGTTTCATAAAATATCAGCAAGCTGTTACACCATTCACAACAGTCACTCTTTCATGTCTTATCGCATTGAACATATTCATATACGATCTAAACACATATTGTTGAGAGCGTCTGATAACAGCAGATTTGTGTCTTGCATGCCAATGAAATAAACAGCTGGTTGTGGTAAACACTTCTGCTCAACAATCTATAATTGTACACGTGAATAATTCTACTAAAGACGACAATGAACAGAAATACATAAGTATTAATGTAATTAGTGTTTTGTTTCATTAGAAAATGCTCATTATCCAATAATATACACATTTTTTAATATGTGCAATTGAATAATTAGGTGTACGAAAATTGGATGTGTGAGCATTAATCTGTATAATCTTGTAACATTAACTGCATCATAATTCAAGGCACAAAATCACATCGCACTCCCCAGAATCTCCTTGCTTTGGACCAGGGGAGATTTTTATCTCAGAAGTAAAAATCTCCAGGATAATCCTTATGCCCATGTTTCTTGCCGAAGGGGTAGACACCTCTGACCTGTCTCTTGTGGCTTTGCTGACACATTACACATGCTTTAGCTGACAAGCCATACTAAATACTGTTCAAAAGGGGGTTTCAAACCCTTCTAAGTGACAGAATGAAGGGACCACATCTTCGAATTCACTCATTCTCACTTATGCACAGATGCAAATTCAGATAAACAGTCAAGTCCCGTTAATCTGACATGGTTGGTTGCATATGATTATGTTGGATTAACGAGTATGTTGGATTAAGTAGTATGTCGGATCAACAAGTATGTCAGATAAACAAAATTTAGTAGTATCAACGTTCCTGATCGAAAATCTGACAAGTACACTATAGATAACGATACAAACATGTTAAAAAAAAAATGAAAAAAAAATATATTCATATTGTTATGTTACATTGTTAGCGGAATATGTTTTCTAATCATGCAACCTCTAAGGCTTAACAGAAAACAACTGTATGACTTATTCAAAATACTTTAAAAAGCATAGTCTGGAATGGAAGTCGCTAGTTTGAAACTGGTACCGCAAAGCTCAAGAAAGCTGCTTTCTTAGTGGGTAACGTTGACTTCGTGTTAGTTATTTACTTGGTCGGTCATAGTTTGCGAAAGGTTGTTCTGACGTGACCTGTAATGGGATGTCCTCGGTGATAGCAAGAACTTGTATCTGATTTTAATGAGATTGAGGTAATCTAAGCATGTGATTGATCCTGTTTTCTTTATTTAAAGTATTAATTGTTTATTGTTAGGCAAGTTTATCTCTGCAGCCGTTGTAATATGCAGTTACCAGCCGACTCATCCCGCATAAAAACACGGAGGGTGTACTCGCGGGCAGATGACCATGGAGTACGCTGATCACTCCGTCGGATTAACGAGATATTGCAAATTATGTGTGTTAGAGTTGGAGTGTGAGACTGTCGGATTAACGGGTCTAAATAGCACTGATTTAATTGGTTCCCATCATTAGTGTCGGATTAATAAGTGTCGGATTAATGTTAGTAGAAGTGAATGATGAATATATCTTGTTTTAAACCCGACAAAGTTAGTGGGTGAATATGGTTTTATGCTGCATTTAGCAATATCATGGCAGGGGACACAAGAGATGGGCTTTACACATTGTACCCATGTGGGGAATCTAACCGGGCCTTTGCTGTGAAGAGTGAACGCTTGAACCACTGAACTACCATACCGCACCTCTCAGGTTTAACACGAACATGATGAAATAACCATCTCTTCAGTTGCGATTGCAACCCAGGGTGGGAGCTTGTAGATGCATGTGCATAGCACAGTCGTATTATGCAATACTTTGGTTTTCTGTGAATTCAAATGATCACATCAGTAGGATGACAGGACAGGAGGTTTGTGATGGTACTTCTAGTGGTGACCACCTGGTAGGCCAACTCTCAGTGGTAATCCGCCTGACGTGTTGCCAGCTCCTTGTTGTGGATTACTGCCATCATATAACTAATAATGCAGTCTTCTATCACTTACTCTCAGTCTCATTGCCTTCTAGTGTTCGGCAAAAAATGCTTTTTAGGTGTTATGGCGATTTCTTCAACTTCAAAGACATGTGTCATTTACCATTTACAGAGATGTATATAGATTTTGAAACTAAGGTTCCATGGCAAGTTATTAGGGGGGAAAGTTGTCCAAATCTGGGATTTTTAAGCTTTTTGTTTTCTAAAATCAATAGGTTCTTGAACATTGCGTTTAATGCAGAAATGAAAACCCGCGTGTTGAAGCCTTTGCCTCTCTATTAATTTCCATTTCTCAGTTAAAGACAAGTCCCTTTTGGCCAAACTGAAAAAATGGTCTTTCCTACAATAACCTGAATTGGGAAATTTTGCTGATATCTGCTGAAGACCTGGGGATGAATATCAACCTCTAACAATGCCTTGTTAAATGCCTGATTTGTGTTGACTCGAGTCAAGTAGAGAGTTGATTGATGAAGGGAACTGGCAGTCGTTTTCTGTCTTCGAGTCATTGTCCAGTATCATAATAAGACCAAATTCATGATGTTTTTATGTCCATGCTGCATGTCATTGGTGATTTGACCTGATGAAGACACAACTCACAGGTCAATTTTCTAGCTTGATAGGTCACAGTGAAAAATGTAATCGATGAATAAAAAAACTCAAAGCTTTCATTTGTTTTGTTGAACCAACATTGTTTAGTCATTGATAGCACTTATTGCACTTCCCGGTCACAGTCAGACTTCACTTATAAGGTATACTCTGACCCCATGGTACCGCGGCATTCATCGTATCGCGGCATTTGTGATTTCCGATAGTTCACGCGGGACACGCCTCTTAGCGGCTGTCTATTAATGCAAATCAGTAACCAGGAAGTGCTCACTTCGTAAACAATTTCAATTTCCTCGGAATGTTCCGTCTGCTGTAAGTAAGGAGTTATTAATCCGTTGATACATATTTCTGGCATCTGTTGTAATATTGCCTTACCCCCATCTATCAATGCCCAACGATATAACCCGCAGTTCCCCAAGTAAACTTTCTCTATCGACCTGAACTAGATCATCTGCATATTCATGGCGACTAATGAGGTAACGGAAGTCACGTAGACCGCACATTTATTCCCGCTCTGTGCCCAGAATCTATTGGGAGATCATAAGGGCCATAATGCCAAACTTAGAAATACGTTCTTCACTAGTAACCAAAACATAAATACATACTTTGGGCATACTAGGAGTGCTTTTTATATATTTATTGTTGACTTTTAACATTTTTCCATTTTGTGACAAATTATTGTCATCCAAGTTTTTTTAAACAATCTTAAAATATCATTTCTGATATTATGATGTTGACTTATAAAAATATTTTTCTCTTACTTTTCGGTAAATATTCATTGAATACCTATTGCTGATAACACATTTAGAATTTTACTTGTGCTGTCTTTGCACATGTCTGGACAAATCACTGATGGCTGGCATGATCATACCAAGTGGTTGGTAGAATTATGTCCTCTTTTTGTCCAATTCGGACCTCCATAAACAACTTTTCTCTGTACCGCGATACGATGGAGTTCTCTCCCTTGTCAAACAGAGCGCGAGGCCCGGCTTTTACTCGGCGCATTGTTAGATAGAATAAATGACATCTGATATAGAGAACACGAATAATCATAAAGGTTAGTGAGTGCATTTTGTTCCGTTCAGCGTACATGACAAGTACCGCGATACCCCGAGGTTGCAGGCTAAACAGAAGTAGAAATTGGCGTTAGTCCTATGGTCCTTGCAAAATTGCCCAATAGTTAAGGTATCACAAGGACTAGTAGAAATTTGCTATTTTTAAGGGTTTTGCTATGTGTTATTATAAGGTCTAGTGGAGTAAAATGTTAGTTGCTATCGCTGTAAACAGGTTAACAATTAAACTGAAAATAGCAATGCATCCACTGATTAATGTTTAATAATGAGGCCTATGAAGGCAGCATGTTGATGCCATTACAACATATAAAGAGGAAATTGGCGACTGAAAATATGTGAATGAAATCAGCTTTTTTTTTTATTGTGTATTAAAAATCAAAGTGGACAAATTTTCTCAAAAGCTTTTCAAATCAGAGAAAAGACATTTGACACACTGATGTTACTGGTCATCATCTCAAATGAGTTATAAAATTGGTGTCGTAAATTCATTTTTTACAGAGTTATGGCTCTTGCTCCCTGCTTTTCAACTTAGAGCATACTGCGTGAAATCGGGACAAGTTTTCTCAGAAACTACTGAAGTTACATGAAAGATTACATGCTTATCTAACTGATACTTGTCAAGACTGAGTTTGGAAATTGGTCCTGGAAATTATTTCTTTACAGTTACGGCCCTTGATCCATGTTATGTTACTTGGTGCATAGCATCTGCAAAGTTTTTTTTAGAAATTACTGAACTTAGCTTATCTAAGAAATGTAAATGTATTACGACGTGCTGTCATTGTGACTGACTTACTGAGGTAGTTCTTAGCAGACCTTTCTCATCAGGTTATTATCTAAATACATTTGTTGTAAAGAAATGACAAAAGTTGTTCCTTTATATATAAATATAATTGTGTACAGATCTAGGCTTACATCATTTGAGGAAAAAATGGTGATATGTTAAATTATAAGAATTGACTTTAACTTTGTGTGAGTTCATGGGAGCGTGAACCTTCATAGAGTGAGGGCCGAATATTGTATGAATGTTGTCACAAGCTCCAACATACATACAGTTTGGCCCATACTCTAAGAAGGTTCATACTCCAATGAACTCACACAAAGTAAAAGTCAGTTCTTAAATGAACAAACAAAATTCTAATGTTCCCCATGGTAGGGGATAGTGATAAAGTTGTTTTCTTGTTCATGTTAAATCTGCAGCAGGGCATCTCAGGGAATGGTCAGTAGACTAGTACAATGTAATTGGCATTAGTCGACTAGTACGAAACAGCCATGCATGCACATTGCAATATAAGTGCAAAATCTTAAACCCCATTTCACCCTGCCTCTTAGACATACATCTCTTTTGTCATTGCTCGTAGTATTAAACATGTTAAACACAGGATTGTCAGGGCCCAGACTCAGTTATTTACAGACTGGCCGTCATATGGCTGGAATATGCCCTTGATCCATGTTATATTACTTGCTGCATAGTCTGTTCAATTGGGACACGGTTTCTCAGACTAATAAGTTACTTGAGTGTAAGTTTGCCTGCTTATCTAAGAGTAAGAGATAATTGTCAAGACTAAGTTAAAAAATTGGTTCCGTAAATTATTTCTTTACAGAGTTACGGCCCTTGATCCATGTTAATTTACTTGGTGCATGTACTGATGTTAGCTTAAATAAGAGATTCTTATCAAGACAGTTATTTTTTCCAGAGGAGGGACTTTATGTGTGTATTAATTTCACATTCATTCATTTTTCTGATGACATAAAGCGGACCATGTGATTTTTTCTTCTTAAGCCTGTACAGGACACTCTTTAAATAGTTTATGTTCACTACTATGTAAACAAACAAAATTCTAATTTTCCCCATGGCAGAGGATAGTGACACTGCTGTTTCCTTGTATGTGAATAATTTGTGGTTGACTTTTGTTACAGGAGAAGTTGATGGAACTGGCCGAAACTTTCGGAGCCAGACTGAGACCTAAGTGCTTATTGAAGACGTTTGACAAGTAAGTTTCATGAGTTTTCTAGGCCACTCCTTTCACACAAAGTTTGTACTTAGCGAGGACTGTTACCCAGATTAACTCTTTCAACACTCTATCACATTTCACATTGTCTGAAATACGTATTCCATTTCAATTTATCATTTTTTATCCATAAATTAAAAAATTATTCACTATTTCCCGCGATGTTATTGAAAATAAAATTCTCGGACACACATTTCAACAACAGGTCCACATCCAACATGTCAAAGAGCAAAATAAAGACGTTTTAAACAAATCTTTAAATATATTATACAAAGTAATAAATAAAATCAACAAAACTATATCTAAAAGTAATCAAACTTACATCTAAGTTATTATTTCCATCTTTTCGTGCGATCGCGTGTAATGTAAGTCAAATGACATCTCGGCTTTCGTCACCTTGAATTCTCGGCTCGGACATGATGTTTAATGCAAAAATATATGCATGAAAAATCTTTGTCACAGCTCATAACCTAGGACGATACATTCACGAAGTTCCATATTTTTAATATATATCGTGATTTCCTGCTTAAAACGTTTAGAATAACACGATTTAACAAAAATCTTTCGCCAACTTCTGAAACTTATCAAACACAAGCTTGGTATCACAGCTGTAATTTGATTGGCTGCCTTAGGTCACGTGCTCAAAATTGACCAATCACGAAACTTGTAGCAGATTTCGCCAAGAATGCGTCATTAGAAACCAATTTTAATCCAATGAAATCGCTTGTTATAACTACGGGGGAAAAACAGGCGATGTTAAGAGCGTGTAGATGAAGGAATAAGCTTTCCAGCGATTGTCATATGCCATTCTTCGACGAACGTGTTATTCATATGAAGCCTCGAAAATGGGGGTATTTCTTCATGTTACTGAGCGGACAGCTGCTGTTATAGGGAAATGGGTGATGACAGAACTATCTATAATTCTTTTTTAAAATGATTTTCCAATTACGTAAACAATGAAAATAAAACAGAAATAGGTAAGTGGATTTTATGAAATCTTATATTTGCCGAAAATCTTCAAGTTTTCGCTTCCTTGGTCCTTAATCTGGATGTTAAAAACATGTTAGCTTACATTTTTTATTTACAACGAACTTAATTAAGTTGTAAATGCATTATTTTAAATAATGTGAAAAACATAAATTTCATATTTATAAACCATAGGATCAGACCTTTCAAATGGTGTATAACATGTAGTAGCAAATATATTTTACAAGCAGTTACTTTCTTTGATAAATGTTGGCTTCATCTATTACACAAGAGTCTCTGGGAACTCGGTGTCCCAGCAGTAAACACTTTTGGTTGACTGGTGTTGAAAGAGTTAACAGCCCTATTGCTACCCTATTAATGAAGTTGTGTCAAATAAAGTGTCATATTTTCTAAGCATAAAATGTAAACCTTTACATTTTGAAAATATTTAAAGTTATCAGCTTTCTCAAGATAATACTGCTTTGGTATTTGCAAATATCTAAACATGTCACTCTTTGTTATGTTCAGTGCTGATGGCTTGTGGGACCCTGAAAAGTGGTCTCGCTCCTTTGGTGGTTACTCCACGGGGTCGAGGGAGAATTCACCCCTGACTATTGACCCTAGGGACAGGAAGAAGCAAATTGATCTGGACAGGGAACAGCTTATGAGAAGGAGAACCTCAGGTCAGTCAGTCCGTCAAAATTGCTTAAACTTTGAACAGGTTCAGGTTCATGGATTAACAACAATGTCAATCTGTGTGACCAATCTCAATTTGTTTCAGTTAGACTTCTTACATTAAAACTTTGTTAGTCGCCCCCATTGATGTTTCTTCCAACAGGCTCCATGGAAAATAACTTGTGTGTTTTTTAAGTTGAACTGAGGGTGTACAGGATACTTCGTGATTTTGATTTATTGATTAGATGCAATATATTGTGTTATGTCATAGCTTCATATTCAATATAGTAACAAGCTCAATCTCTTGTAATACATGTATTATTTATTTGTTACCTTACATTCTGAAAGTACAACTTTCCATCACGCAAGTTGGAAGACAAGACACATGTGTATTGTAGCAGACATAAATGTAGCTTCAAACAACCCATAGTTAAACCATTATAATCAGATAATGACCTCCTGCTCATGTTGTTGCAGTTGATTCTTGACCCAAGAACTCACTGGCCATTCATGATGCAATTATGGGTCATACAATATTAATAAGAAATTATATAGGGACCATTACTTGTTTTATGTTGGAGAAACCACTTGAATCTGTGGATTCCAGATTTCTCTATTAAAGGATACATGTACATATTGTGGTCTTGGAATTGTGGAGGCATGGGAGATAACTCCAGGCAGCTTCCGATATTTTAATGTCCAGTTATGAGGATGTGCTATAAGAAACTGTGGTGTCAGGCTACAGTGTTAATTCTGTTTTGTTTTATTGTTTGTTTAGATCCTCGAGAGAGGCTGAAGGAGGAACGAGATGGAATTGTGTTGAGTCCTCAGCGGAGGAGTTTTGGTACAGGATGCCATGTGACCCAGACATCCTCCCTAGGGAGACAAGTGAGCTGTCCTGCAGACTTCAAGGACGGAGCAGACCGAGACAGGTGTGTGTGGACTATGTGTCACAGAAATTAGTCATTCAGGGAGTAACTTCCCCATGGGATTCCCGGGTAGGAGTATGTTATAAGAGGCGACTGATTGGACTGGTGGTCAGGCGTGGGTCACTTGATTCATTGTATGTCATCGTACCTAAACAGTATGGTACATTGCACATAATATCATTCACTGGTTGTCTGGTCCTGACTGTTATTCACAAGCTGCATTTACATAGCTGGAATGTGGGCTGACACAAACAACAAAACCAAAAAAACAACAACATTGTGTAACTAAAATCAATGTTTTGTTTTGGAAAATTCACTCTTTTAATCATGATCCTGACTGGGATTGTGGGTTTATTCTGATATTTTCCATCTGGACATGCCCCTGTAATGGCTTCCTTCGAAAACTAGAGTTGAATGGAAAGGCAATTACTGAATCATGTTGACTCATCTCTTCTTAACATTGACCCATCTCTTCTTATCATTGACCCATTAGTTGCTGTTTGCTGTTAGTTTTATAGTTCTTGGACTGTTGTGTTAATTGAATAGTCTCAATTGTATTCAGAATATGAACAGTTTGTGTCTGTGTACTTAGGCTCCATTGAAAAGCTAAAAAGTTTAGTGCAGGTGTAGAATATAATTTTGTTCCAGGGACAGAAGAGAAAGAAGAATTGGGAGTGGGCGGATCACTATTGACCGCGACCAAGGACGTGAGAGGGAGTACCGTGGTGTCAGAGACCGTTACGACAGAGATGACCGACGAGGATCTGGCAATCCCACAGACAGAACCTTTGAGAGGAGTGACCGCTATCATAGCAGCTCCTATGACAATAACCGAGTAAATATTAAGAATTGTCTTGAGTGAATTCTTGCCCTCTGTTGTAACACAATTTGTTTCATAGCTGGCAACCAGCTTGTCATTTCTGTGTAAGGGAAATAACTGCTATGTTTATTGTGAATTATCCCTCCTGCTGGTAATTATATCTATTTCAATGTAAATTAACTTAGATATTGAATTTGGCTTCATTCTCTTGGCTTCTGAAACAGCTAGGTGTTATATGAGTTGAGATACCTCCTGTGTTGAGTTAACCTGTTTTTGAGAGAAGACACATTCATGCAACAGACACTGCTATTTTTTTCAGTCCAACTACAACAGATTTTCACGAGACAGTAAGTAGTTTATTTTCTTTGGAGTTGGTCCTCTTCAAATACTGATCTTTGTAATGGGGAAGCCTAAAGGTTATGGCATTCACTTGTCATGTTGAAGACCTGGGTTCTATTCCCCACCTGGAAAGCCCCTAATACCACTATTTGTATTACATCATAGACGTTAATTCCTGTTTGGGCTGTCAATCACACTATGAAATGTTTAGATTTTTCAACAGACGTCCTCTTCACTGCCAACATATCTAGTAGTTGTGAGGATAACCCTACCCTTCACAGGAAATGCAATTGCTCATCCAAAACCAGAATTTATGGCTATGATGTAATTGAGGTTGTATTCTTAGCATGAGACACAGTGATAACTATTGTTTGATTTTGAGTGTCCCCTAAACAATACTGACTCACTCACTCACGTTCAGATCATGTTGATGTTGATGCTGATCTGTTACTCAGTTACCTGTTGGGCCGAGGGACAGAATAGACCCTCAGTATGCCATGCTTGTTGTTCAAGATTAAATAAGGATGAAGTGGCCACTACTGAGTTTGAGTAGAGCTTTAGGGTAGATCAATTCAAGGTGAATATTTGTGTATATGGTTGGCTGACCTGACTGGAAATTGCAGACCTAAATAGTGCAGACTATCTATAGAAACATCTTGGGATTCTTGTTCAGAATATGTCCCCAGTACCCCATACGGAAGTACATGAGGATCAGGTGGTCACAATGTGATCTGGCTGAAATTTTGCTTACACGTTTTCTTGTTTAATCTATCTGTGCCCCGAAATAACTATCTGTAACTTTATTATAGACCCATCTTTTAGTAAAGACATTGATTGAAACTAATGCTAAGGACTAACCTTCTTATCAGACCGAGGAAATAGACGCGGGCGATATGTGGAGGAAGAGGAACCAGAATGGTTCTCAGCTGGCCCCACCAGTCAACATGACACCATTGAACTACGAGGTTTTGAGAAGGAACCCGAGGAAGACACAGGGCATGGAGAAGGATTAATCATTGAGGAGGAAGAGTGTGGAGATGAAGCACCTGCTGAATCTAATGACAAAACAGGTATGCCTCGCTCTTACCATGCTTACAGGAACAGGATATTTGCAAACCAACATTACTCCACGAATGATTGGTTAATCCAGAATGGTTTTAATCAGGACTAAATTACTAGTAATGTAACCTTTCGGATTAACGAGGTATCGCTGTATAGGCTGTAACAGTATGCCACCTATGTATTTGTATGTTTGTTGCAGTTTTGACAGAAGTCTTAAACGTTTGCTGCCAACACACCATACCATATGTACGCTTTACACATAATTCTTGTATTTCTTTCAGGTATCAGTGTGGGTGATCGTAATGGAAGCCTAGAAACAAATGAGTCTAGTTCACCTGAAGTGAACCATGAAACTCGGCCCTCGCCATCAAACTCGGCACTCTTTGACTTCAATGACTTCTTTAAAGTTAACAGCAGTCTTCTTATGGTAAGTTTCTTAAACATGTTTTGTTAATATTTTGTCATGATTTGTTATAATATATATGATCCATTCAAAATGGCCATTTGATTTCACAACATATGAGGGGGCACGGGTAGTCCAGTGTTCTAAGGCGTCGCGATTTGCTGTGCAGAGTATCATCCCTTTGGGCATGCCAGAAACCTATGATTGTGGGTTCGAATCCCGGTTCGCGCCGATTATGTTTCTAGGTTTGTCAGCACCCTACCTGTGCTTGTGGGTTTCACCGAAGTGGTAAACGTCTGAGACCTGCATCACTTCGGGCTTTCCTCCCACATTAAGCTGACACACCGTGTTATAACTGGAATACTGTTAAGAGGTGTTAAACCCAACTCACTTGATAACTCACAACATACGAAGATGAATGAGTGAAGATAAATGGAGGAATATGTAGCACACTGTAGGAGGTACTTGCAGATTTTTCGCAGGTTACTAGAAATATCTGTTAATCACATGCTTAATGTTGCCTTTTCCAGGATGAGCAGACTGTTGAGCCAGATGTAAATGTCCAAGGCAGTCGATTCCAACAGTGGTTCCAACAGCAACAGCAACAGCAACTTGTGCATGGCCACAGCAAGGACAATAGTCGCAGGTCATCAATCAATGAGGAGTTCAATTATTTGAATGGTAAGACTGCATTATTGCTGTTGCCGAAATTCATATGCATGTGCTGATTAGACAAAGGTCAAGGTTTCATAAGGACTCTTGTTGCACAGGGTGGTGGGGTAGCCTAGTGCTTAAAGTGTTCACTCATCACGCCGATGACCTGGGTTCGATTCCCGACATGAGTACAATGTGTAAAGCCCATTTCTGGTGTCCCCTGCTATGATATTGCTGGAATATTGCTAAAAGCTGCATAAAACCATACTCATTCACTTACTCTTTTTGCACGAGTCTGCATAATTTGAAAAGTTGGCAAATGTCTAAGAAATCGTATCGAAAATTATCAGATGTGTTCTGAGGAATTAGACTTTTTCATTCAACACGTCCATTTTTCTAAATTAAGACAACACCGTATGTAGAGGTAAGACAAAATGTCAAAATTGATTTTGCTGATGCAAAGGGTGCTGTTAGTTTCCAGAGCGTAACTCAAAAACCATTAAATACTTTCTTACAAAACTTTGCATGTTTACCAGACACATACTGAACTGGTGCCTTTTGCTATTTAGGAGTTTTATAAATTTTTATTTTTTACGTTTCCATGGCAACAAGTTGGACTTAGGTTCTATAAGGGTGCTGTTAGTTTCCGGAGCGTAACTAAAAAAACGTTAAATAATTTCTTACAAAACTTTGCGTGTTTACCAGACACATACTGAACTGGTGCCATTTGAGTTTTATAAATGTTTATTTTAGAATTTCCATTGCAGCTATTTTGACATGGCCTAAGAGAAATGTTGGGTCAGTTACCTGGTTTGGGACCATAACGTGTTAAAATGGCGGGGGATATAGATGACTTCGTCGACTATACGCTTGTTACTCATTAGTTCCCAATCTTTCAAGTGTAAGGATGATGAAAGGTTATGAACACACAGTGCCATTTAGAAAGTGGTCAGATGTAACAAATGTTATATTTGGCCTCAGTGTTTGAATGGGTTAGATCGCTGACTTTGTGTGCTGGCAATTAGGTTCCTCACTCTGGCAGTGTGGGTTCGAATTCGGGATGGGTCTAAACCCCCAAAAGTACAAGAGTGTACATGGCTTAATATGTTATCCAAAATATAACATTTGTGACAAAAGGTTAGTTGTGAATCATATGAACAATTCCAAGAATATATGTAAATATTTGATATTTCCGGTAGGCCCAAAAGTGCTCAATTCACACTTTTTCCTTTCACCAAAACAAATGTTTCTTATTGATACATACTTATTAGGTCTTACTTTATTACTCCTTACTCTTGTTGACAAAAATGTACCCATTATTATTAGCATGACTAGGCCATAAATTATCTATTTTTAGAAATATTCAAATATTCGAATTTCTACCTAATTACCTAATGAATGGTGATAAATCATTGCATGTGATGAGAGATCTAAGTTTGGAGAGTGAGACTGATGTGTGTGTATTTGCAGACATTATTGACGGATCGCGGAGCCCCGTGATCCCCTCGCCCCCACCAGCCCCGGCCCATATATATGACGGGAAGCCAGGCAACTTCTACCAGCAGTATGCCATGACCATGGAAGAGAAACAAGCACACTTGGAAGCAATGAATCAGAGGAAGAACAGTCCCAATAACCCTCTTCTCAATGCCCTCTTCATGAACAGTGGACACATGGACAAATCTAACACTCGTAAGTCCTGCATTGACTACCTTGTTGCTACAACGGACCTGGGGGTCAGGGGAGGGTCACCATAGCAGTTGCTAGGGGAGGGTAGTAAAATCTAGTACACATATTTGGGAAGGGTCCTGAAAAACTGGACATGTTCTTTTGAGGGTGGGTCATCCCGAAGTATGACCGACATTAGCGGACGGTCATTATTGTCCCCCGCCACGAAGTGGGGCAAGGGATATAGGAACGGAGTTTGTCCATCCTGCTATCCTTTTCTCAAAATTTCTTAAAAACTAAGTCAGAGCAATGAAATTTTACATACTGATGTTCATGATGTTACTGGTCATCATCTCAAATGAGTTCTAAAATTGGTGCCGAGTTATGTCCTTTGCTCCGTGGCTTTCAACTTATTATTCTGGAACATGTATTAACCAAGGGCTGAAGTGGTACCTTTTGCTGTTAAGGAACTTTTCGAAATTTAATTTTTCCCTATTTCCATGGAAGCAAGTTAAACTAAAAAAATGACCAGAAACCACTGAAGTTAGTTGAATGAAAGTTTGCATTCTTATCTAAGAGATACATGTCGAGACTGAGTTCGAAAATTGGTGCTGTAAATTATTTCTTTACAGAGTTATGGCCCTTGATCCATGTTATTTTTACTTGGTACATGTGCTGAAGTTAGTTTATCTCAGTGGTACTTATTCATACTTGGTGTGTATTTATTTCCCATTTAATCAGCCAAAGTGCCTATCTCTCCTTAAGGCCTATAAAGACTTTCTTATTTATAGTTTATATTCACTACTATATGAACAAACAAGATTGTAATGTGCCCCATGGCGAGGGATAGTGATAACGCTGTTTTCAGCACATTAGTGACCATCCATCCCAAATGCTTTAACATTGTTTCAGTCTTGCTTAGATGCTCACTCTGCACTATGAAAGGATACTTTACTATTTATTTCAGCTGTGAACAGTGGTAACTTCAGCACCCAGGATGCTGAAGCTCAGCTGAAGGCTATGTTGTTCCGAGGCCGTGATTCCAACTCCTCCAGTGGAACTGCCAGTCCAGCTGTTATGGGTGGAGCTTCGCGGAAAGTGAAGACATTGGCAGAACTTGAGGCAGACTTCCATCAAGGCAGTCCCACACATCACATGAGCCCAATACAACACCAGAACCACCAACAGCATCAACATCAGCAGCAGCAGCCGCCGCAACCCCACCAACATCAGCAACATCCACAGCAGCATCTACAGCAACATCACCCGCAACACCCTCAGCAGCACCCACAGCAGCACCCTCCGCAACATGTACAGCAACACCCACAGCAACATCCACAACAGGTACAGCAACACCCACAGCATCATCCACAACAAGTACAGCAACACCCACAACATGTACAGCAACACCCACAACACATACAACAACACCCACAACACGTACAGCAACATCACCCTCAACACACCCCTCAGCATACCCCTCAACAACACCCTCAGCATGACCATCACCATCACCAGCATCAACACCAGCATCAGTCACCACAGGAGACAAAGACTGGTGATGACGGGGATTTGACAGCTTTCAACAAACTCCTGAGTATGATGCAGGCAGGAGCTGCAGCCGCAGTTGGACAGCATCTACTGCAGCAGCAACAGCAGCAGCAACAGGCGCCACCACCACCGCCACAGGAACCACCCAAACATGTTCAGGTCTGTCTGAGTTAGCCTCTGTGGGAACTACAGAGCAGTATGGGTTCACAGTGTCTTGTGCCTGTCAAAGAAAGGCATTTAGAATGAGAACTAGACAGTCAAAATGACCAAGTCTTGAGAGTAGACCTGTTCGACGTAATGAGTTCACATTGTTTTCTTCTGGGAACTGTTTTTATGCTCCAGGCTCAGTGTGCAGTGATGTGACTGAGATGCTGCTGACTGAAGCCTCGATCCCATTTAGTCTGTGACTTTAACCATGTCAGCAGTCCATAATGTTCCCATATGATGAAAATCTACTGAAAATAATACTGAAATTTTGGTACAGATTTCATAGAGCAGTTCTGTATTTTGCTGGTTTCTCATTGAAGAAAAGTGCAGTTTGTTTAAAAGTGCAGTCCTTTGTTTAAACATCTTTCATTAAATTAAATGCAAGTAGATATCCTTTTCATGATCATGTTCTTGTGAGATCAGCACTCATGCTAGGTTGGTAATGGCTACCTTTGTTCACTGTTATCATGTGGCTATGTATGACAGATGGGTGGTCAAATGATGATGACCCCTGACGGACGTTCAATGTCCCCACTTCAACAACAGCTTCACAATCTCCAGCTGCATAATAACAATAATGACTTCCTGCAGGTGAGGAGAGCAGCGGTTAGTAATGGTTTATTCAGTTTTCTTCCAGCCCACACTTTGGTTATTCCTTTGTTTTACAGACAGGCTCAAAGATGATAGGGCAAATTGAAAAAATATGTTAATAAACTTCATTTTACTGGTTAAGTCAAGTGAAAATAAAATATGATTTAGAAAAAGGTTTGGAGAGTACTTACTAATTCCAAATAAATGTCTATGTATAATTTGCAAATGTAATTGTGTGAGTTGCTTAGATTAACTGTTGACATTTAAAATTTTGGTTAACATGAATGTGATCTGTCTTTTGTTCATGTTAACAGTGGTTAATAAAATCTGTAAAACTTAGGAAAAACAAAAGTGTGGCCTTTAGTTGATACAGTGTATCCCCATTACCACGAGTCGAAGATAGCTGATGTTGAAACTCCAGCCAGTGATGTTTCCAGTGAACATAGATCCAGTTAAACGAATCTGGCTGCAGAGTAATGTATGTGTGCATGTGGCCCAGCCGCAATTGTCTGAAAGGCTGAGAGTTACGGATTAACAGGATCCAGTGATGGTTATTTATGTCATATAAGTATGTATTAAAATGTGAAATTCTGTGGAATAAGCAAAAGCTAATGGGAGTTCACTGTGTTTGATTTTAGAATTACAAGTTTAAATTGTGTTATTTGAAAACAAAACATTCCATTCTTGAGTGTCTTATGCTCTGTAATGTTCATGTTGTTTCAAGAGTTCAATTTGTTTCTTTTTTGCAAACTTTGTATCCAAGCGAGTATCACGTTCCCACCATACACTAAACACCATCAATAATAAGTCATATCAGCTACTTCAAAATGATATCATAAATGGTAAAGTAACTTTGATCAGGATGCGTGTTGTTTTCATATTTATTGATGTTTGATGCCTCTTTCTTTCAGGCTTTGATGAGGAACAAAGAGCAACAGCTACACATCCAACAACAAACTCTCCAGCAAATGCAACGTCAGCCCCCACCCCAGCCACCCCCCACCCACACTCAACCCCAGCAACCCCCCCAACCCATGATCCCTCCCCCTCAACCCCAGACACCACGGGCTATTACTCAAGACCCTATACTTAACTTCATTCAACAGAATCCCACCATCATCACCAAGCCACCTTCCCCCTCCCCGACTATCCCCACCCTCATGACTAACCCCTCCACCCCACGTGTAGTCTCGCCTGCCCCACAGTCCCTACCCCCCAACCTGCTGCCCAAACAGGTGCAAACACCACAGCAGATTTCAGGAGCAAAGATTCCGTCACCCATCAGTAAGTTGCTCCAGTTCTTATTGTCTGCAGACCTGCTCTTAGTTTGAATAAACAATGCTATGTAGAAAGTTGTCAAATGTAACAAATGTTATATTTGGGATAACTCTTTCTTAGTAAAGTATAGATTCAAGTATTTTGGGGGGTTGAGGACCATCAAAAGTTGTGTCACTGAACTTTAAAATGTAACAAAGTCACTGTTTGTTGGTTCTCAGTTGTTCATGCTTCAAGTGAAAACTCGGCAAGAAAAACTTTCAAGGGATTTTTCTGTTGCAGTGTTTAGTCAACAGCCACCAATGCACCTGAGTGCTCCTTCGCCAATCCACCCCGCACAACTCGCCCGATCTCTCGCTAGTCATCCTCTCACAGCCAATACTCTAACTGTAAGTCAAGGTTACAGCTGTGTTCTCCGATCATTGCATCATAATTCTTTTAAGTTATATTATCACTGGTAGATCTGAGAGAAAATGTGTGTTCATCGGATTGCTATTTTTTGGCTTTGTTTAAAAGACAAATACACATGGTAATTTTAAGTCTGTACAATGCAATTGAAATGGTTAATCATCACACCTAGTCATGTTTAATCGCAAATTTCATTTTTCTCCTGTTCGTTCAACTGAAGCAGTACAATGTACTTTTTGACTGCACATAATTCTCTGTCTTTTGTTTCCTCCAAAATACTGCATCCCCATGAGAGGGGTGCACATTATGCTTGAACACAATATACTAGAAGAAAACATATTAGTGAAAGATGAACCCGATATAGATGTATGTCATTTTGAATTTTTTACTACTCCGAAATTGCTCCAATAGCATTTCCGTGACTATAAAGAACACAAGTGCAGTGTTCCTAGTCATCTGATGTGGTGTAATGTGTTGTAGACGGCCTCTGCCAACATTCGCCCCCAGAGTGTTGCTCGTGTACCAAGCCCCCAGGAGCTGATAGCTCACACCCAGGCCATCATGCAGTCGGCTCTCATCAAGAAACAGTTGGAGGATCAGAAAGAGCGATTCCTTAAGAAACAGCAGGAGAGGTACGTGCAGTTGAACAACAGCAGGGCAAGGAATCAGTCACTTGCTAAGTAGAAAGATGTACAAGCATATATTTCTCAGATTTTTCATTTCCATGTTTTCAAAATCCAAGCATCAAATGAAATGAAACTGAAGACTTGTTTAATATTTTACACAGTGTAATAAAATATGGTTTCAAGTTCAAAATAAGAAGAATGGATTTGTGTTTGGACTTGAAAATATTATCTTTGTCCAGTCTCTACCAAATGTTTATCTGTGGATAGATCAGCTGGTATCAGACCAGTAGCACTTATACACTACTACACTTTTGATAGGGACAGTTTTCTTTCCAAGATACACACAAATTATGCATCTAAAAAAAGTTAAGGATCACCCGATCAGAGAGACAAGGTTGATAGTTTGTTGTCATACTCCAACGGCATTGACCGTCACTTAGAATTTCAGGGATAGATACAGCATCTAGTCTGTTAGTCACAGACTCCTAAAATTCAAGAGGGACTAGTTTTTGTCTCAAAATCTAGTTATTGTACATAGACCACTTATCTGGTATGAGCTGAAGAATAGTTGAATTAGGATATGATATCAATTGCGGGATTGTCTGGTCCAGATTTGGTTACTTTCAGGCCGCTGTCATACAAGTGAAATAATGTCGAGTTCTGTGTTAATGAACAAGCAAACTGTAGACCACATCATCATGTATTGCCTGACTGCAATGTTTCAGTAGAGAACACACCATGTATTGCGATGTTTCAGTAGAGAACACACCATGTATTGCAATGTTTCAGCAGAGAACACACTATGTATTGCAATGTTTCAGTGGAGAACACACCACGTATTGCAATGTTTCAGCAGAGAACACACCATGTATTGCAATGTTTCAGCAGAGAACACACCATGTATTGCAATGTTTCAGTAGAGAACACACCATGTATTGCAATGTTTCAGCAGAGAACACACCATGTATTGCAATGTTTCAGCAGAGAACACACCATGTATTGCAATGTTTCAGCAGAGAACACACCATGTATTGCAATGTTTCTGTAGAGAACACACTATGTATTGCCTGACTGCAATGTTTCAGAGCCCGTTCTCCCAACCAGAACAGAGCCAATCCTTCTCCCATGCCAACTACACCTACAGCTGCGAACCAGGGCAAAGTAAGTGAAAACTTTCTTACTGGTTTGTCTGAAAATGCAAATTTGTTTGTTACACTATTTTGTTCATGTCATACTTGAATATCATATTGGTCACAACAGCATTTAATGCTACAATTTATTAAAGGCAGCATTCCCTTTTAGTACAGTTACACTAAGTTACGCTCAGTTTACAATTTATGTTGCTAGTATGGTCATGTCTGATAGACCCGAGACCGAGACCCTTGTAACTATAAGGAAGAGTGTTACAAACTGTCGTTATTGTAGAATTAAGTAAGTATTCTCTTGTCTGAAGTCTTACCATGTACTCATGCATTTCTTCTTTTCAACTGGACCCGTGAAGATCCAGGGTAGAATAGATCTTCAGCAACCCATGCTTGCCGTAAAAGGTGACTGCTTGTCGTTAGAGCCGACTAACAGGATCGGGTGGTCAGGCTTGCTGACTTGATGATGCATGTCATCGGTCCCAATTGCATAGATCGATGCTCAATATGTCAATCACTTGATTGTCTGATCCAGACTTGATAATTTTCAAACTGCCGTCATATAGCTGGAATATTGCTGAGAGCAGCGTTAAACAACAAACAAACAAAAAATAATCTTTTCATCTGCCATATTTGGCAATCATAAGTTAGCCCCTAGGCTGACATGTGTTGCCAGACAGTGTGTAAGTATTCTGCTGTATTTCCAGTCCACCATGTCTGCAGCATTCACCCCGACATCTGTCATCAGGAAGATGCACTCTGACCGAGCCAGTGAGAAGGAAAAGAACACAAAAGACATTGACCATGGTGACCATTATAATCTGCTTTCCACGAATATTGATATTACTACCATCGGGTACATCTGAGAAACACTGTCTCTTATTGATTAACATATCTGATCAAATGTTCAGGAAATGATTACCTCTAATTCATACATCCTTCCTTTGAGAGTGGCACAAGATCTCAGTTGCATCGGTTAAGCTGCCAAAACCTATGATAATGGGTTTGAATGCCAGATTCACCCTTACTATGTTTCTGGATTTGTCACCAACAATTTGATAAATGTCTAAGACCTGCATCGCTTCAAGCTTTGCTCAACCGCCCTTATGGTAGAGCATCTGCTCAGAAAGCTGAAAGTCGAGGGTTTGATCCCCGTCTGTGTTATACCAAAAGATGTTAAAAGATGGTACTTGTTGTTACCCTGCCTGGCACTCAGCATTAAGGGCTCAAACTAGGACTGGTCGGCTCGGAGTCAGTATGCTGTGTCTGAGTGGGGTATTCATGTTAAACTGAGGCAATATATGTCGATGGGCTAGCACTATAAAAACAGCACACGCACACATGCACATCGCTATGTAAGTGCAATAATCTTGAACGTGACATTAAACCCTATTTCACCTATTGCCAGATGACCTTGATGGGAATCCACCAGATGGCGCTAATGACTCGCACTCATCTGACAAATACCACTCTGAGAAGCGCGCAAGACAAGATGCAGAGGATATTGCTTCTCTGCCAGGCATCGACTTTAACGCTGAACCCAACCAGCCCATCACCAGTCTGGAAGAAAAGGTAACCATCTCATCATTCAGGACAATGTCTAGAGTGTCAAAAGTCATAACATTGAAACTAGTTCTAGTTGATGCCAAAGCTAGTGGTTGTGATGTAGATGGCGAGAGGGTAGCCTAGGGAGTGGTGGTGTTAGCACAATAAAACTGGGTTTGATTCCACCCCAGGGCTCGGTGTAAGAAGCCATTCTTTGTGCCTAACTTAAAATTGCTGTAGTATTTAAATGTTAAGGAAAGAAAGACTCCATTTTCATACTACATCCAATGACAATAATATTTGTTCTTCTTTAACCCTCTACAGCTCTTCTTCTTTGTTTTGCCTCAATCACCTCTATTATACTTCTTGGGTTTTCTGAGTTGTAATTGATCCTCTATGTTGGATTTTAAGAGGCATACTACACCAATGACCCAGATTTGATTCTCCACATGGGTAAAGTGTGTAAAGCCCGTTTCAGGTGTGCCCCTGCCATGATATTGCTGGAATATTGCTAAAAATGGCGTTAATCCTTACTCACTCACTCTAGTAAAAGACGTCCAAATGGATCATGTGGTCAGACTGAGTGTCCTTGTACCCCGGCGATGTGGATCTTTGTTCACTGGATTGTCTGGTCCAGACTCAAAATAATTTACAGGCCACAGTCATATAGCTGGAACATTGCAGAGTGTTGTGTAAAACAACACACAAAACAAACAAACATGCTTTTGTTTATGTTTACATTATGTACAATTATTGTTGAATTCTGGTGATACGCTCTTTGTAGCTGAAGTTGGCTGGCATCAGTGGTCAGTCTGGCAACAAGTCAACCCCCATCCTGGGTCAGGGTGACAAGTCATCGCGCCCCGTGGTGGGCCAGGGCATGATGCAGGGCGGTGTTCCCATACAAGTGCAGACTGTGGCCAGCTCTACACCAGTACCAGGAAGGCCCATTGTCAAAGGTGAGACTCAACCTGGAATGTCGGAGTTGTCCCACACTGGAAGGTGTTGAAGGTTACACACTTGGCTGTGGAAACCTGTAGTTAGAAAACTTGGGTTCGCCTCCCCATATGGGGACAATGTGTGAAGACCTTTCTCGGTGTATTGCTGTAAAATTGCTGTAAGCAGCGTAAAACCCTACTCATTCAATCACTCATGGCCTCAATGAGATATTCATCTTACATTAGTCAGGAAATAGATCAGAATGTGTCTAAATGCCTTAACTATATTTGTTATGTTTTTACATGTAAATGTTTTTAAAAAACTGTGGGTTTTTTTTTATTATATTGTTTTGTAACAGAGTAGAATTGGATGAAATAATTGTTTAAGTCATTTACATTTAACTATTGGGGTAAGTGACTACAGCCGATGTGATTAACAAATATTTGAAATAAAGTGATCTTTAGTTATGACAGTCTTGACTATATCCAGTGTTGTGTAATGGTGCCTTCAACGTAATCTTGCTTGCCTAGGAACAGTTTTACCCCAGACACCTGCCAGTACACCCAGTCAGTTCCGCCCCCTCACTGGAGGCCCCGGGGCTGCATCCACGCCTGTTCGACCCGCTGACGGTGGCCAGAGGGCGATTGTCGGATCCTCGAACCTGGCTGCTCTGGACATGGCCAAGGTGCTGGAGCAGCAACAGCGAATACAGCAACAGCAATCAGCAGCAGCAGCTGCAGCAGCACGCCAGGTTGTGAACACCCCGCTAGCTGGGCGCCCAGTTGGTGTCGGCTCAAATGCTCCCTTCGGTATCCCCATCACAGGACGTATGCCAGTACAGTCAAACGTGGCCCCACCCAACGTACATGCAGCCGGGGCAGCCAATGCGCTGCTCATGCAGCAGATGATGCAGCAAAGTACAGCGGCTGCTGCTAGAGGTATGTGACAGGTGGAAACCACATCTAACATCTGTGGGAGTATGAGTTATTATACTTATTAACAACCTGTTTTGAAAAACGGTTGATATAGCGATCAGTATGTCCGTCTGTTTTCCGTTTCCGGAGCAGAACTCCTAAACTGTTGTATATTTCTTGTTGGCTATACAGATCAGTCTAGTGGTGAACTTGTGCCTATGATTATTTGGGGTTTGGGTTTGTTTTTTTGTTTTTTCCATGATGACAAGTTTGACTTATATTGAAAACGAGGGAAGTCCAAAACTGTTGGAATATTTCTGGATGATACTTGCTAAACACATCTGTTCTGTGGTTAACTGGTGCCTTTTGATGATTGGGGATGTTGAAAAATACTGAACAGTGTTATATTTTTCTTCACTGAATTGAAGGTATCCAATGGCAATAAACCAAAAGTGGGGTATATGTAGCCAAACTTCGTTTCCAAAATACACCAGACCAGGGGTTACATAAGGACATAAACAAGTATAGTCATTCTCGTTGGTTCGACTTTAGTGTTCCATATGAAAGACTATACAAGCCACAATATGATACTAAATCCACTCTAGGTCATGATGGATAGGCATCAACGAAAAAAGTCAATGTGCATGTTGACCATATTAATGTAGACAAATAGGGCTGTCAGAAAAGTTATGTCACATTTAATCACAGAAAAGGATGAGGTATAACATCGTGTTTAAAATTATCACACTTATAGCGGCGTGCATGGACGTATATGTGGTTGCGCTTGTTGTAGTCCAGACTAATGTTTTATGGTGCTAGCCCCTTGAGATACCGTGCTGCAATTGATCTCCTTAATGTTGATCACTGTTTAAGGTGACCAGTACCATGTTTTACATCTTTTGGTATGACGTCAGGTGAACTTCAGAACATTGGTACTTATTTAATGATTTCATTCCAACAAGTTTTCCCGTGAAGTTGATTCCACTTTATCTGTCTCCACTAGGCCTGAACCTAGGCCCACTTAGCCAGATCAACCAGCTGAATCAGCTCGCAGCAATCCAGCAGGCCCAGCAGCGGATGGTGGACCCCCGCCTCCAGGGCGTGCGCTACCCCGGCATGGTGCCCCAGATGATGAACCCACGCAGCACCGCTGGAACCAACATGGGCCTGGGGGTGACTGGCAACCCTGCCATCAACACTGTCCTCGGCAGAGCCCTTTCCCCACAGATCCTACCTGGAGGGGGGCAGAAACTGAGTGAGTTCAAGCTCTGGTTAAGCAAACATTATGGTGATCTTACTGTCTCGGCTTTCATTACAGATTACTTTTGATTTCAGTTACATGTAATGACATGGATTTTTGTGTTCCTAATGGTTGTCGTTCGTCTGAAACAATATTCACTCACTCACTTTGCATGTTAGCTTGTGTTAAGGCTAGTATGGCAGAACATGGTGAAACTGATTGATTTGATTTTGCGTGAAACTAAACTGTTCACGTCATGTAAGCTGTACAGTGAAATATGTCACGCTGTTATCTGCCTGAAATATGGGAGCAACATTGCTGAATGCCCTCACTTAAATGTTGCAGGTGTGAACGGCCCGCTATCTCCTAACCTGTCATGTACTAGTCCTGCCCAGTTCATCAACAGTCAAGCGGCTCTCAATGGCAACAACAAAATAACCATAACATCCACACCGCCCGACCCCAACATCCTCAAGTGGTTCAGCTCGGACGTCCTGAAGAATCACATGCCGACCATGCCCCCTCTCCCAACACAAGGACAGAAAGTCCTGACGTTGGATGACCTGGAGGGAACTTAGCTCACCAGTCCTGTGTTGACGTTGCTTTGTTATCTTCCATGTGGGTGTGGCTTGGTCCAAGCCAGCTGTGGCTGTTCAAGGAAGCACCTGTAAATTGTTTTGTCGTTTGGTTTGTCATTTGTAAAAAAAAAATGTGCTATGACTCTTCGGTTATTGAAAATGGTCTTATTTATTATTATGTTTAGTGATGAGCATCACATGTAAATAGATACGATGTACTTTCAGTTGGTTTCTTCAGTTCAAGTTTTCTGCTGGTGTGCTGATGGTGTTTTGTTTCCTGTGAGGACAAGAGGCAGGTTTTTGTGAATGTGAGGTATAGTTATATATGGATAATAAAGTATGAGTTTTGCCACAAGTTACTTTGGTCACATCATTGTCATCATATGTGAAATGTTCATCTGGTTACTCTCATTTTTCTCATTGCTCTTTGTTCCATGTTAATTTAAGTTTCAGTGTTAGAATTTTGCTACCCAATGTATGTGTGCATGTTTGTGCCAGGAGAGATTTGTCCTGGATTGCGGTTTGAAAGGGTATATGGAATGTTTTTTCCCAGTTTCAATGTTTAACATCTTTATTGTCTATTGTGAATGTGTATGAATTTCTCTGTGTAAATATATATACATATGTAAATCTGTTTTGTGTAGCGCCGACCATGTCAGCGTTCATGTTCAGAGTCCTTAACCTTTTTGTGTCCTTGACCATGTTGTGTTTGATGTAGGTGTTTGTGTGATCTATGTGCCCTGGTTACGTGGTATATTTTGTTTGTATTGAAACTTGGTGCCCTATAGTTTTGTGGTAATTTCAGTCATGCGAATGTTTTTGACATATTCACTTCCTTTTCTGTTTAGTATTTATCGTCAGATCATTTACATCAGTGTGCTATTGTTACGTGTCATTGTAGCCCGTTAGTTCATTCCAACTCTTTGTTTTACACAAACACAGCTTCTTTTCTTGTATATTGTGCAAACATGAGAATTCAATCTGCTTCATTCTGCCCTAGTGCTGTTGAGTCTGTACATATCTGTAACACTGCCATGTGAATACACGCTTCTCTTACCTAGGCATAGTGCTGGCTGGTTGTAGTGTGTGGGTGACATTCATTAGCAAGTCTAGACAGGACCGTGGTGAGTGACTGACTGATTGCTGTATACTGAGTGATATGGAGAGAGAACGAGAGAGTGGACATATATTTTTGTATAAATGATGGTAAGGGTGGATTTGTTTGGAAGCTCCTTGAGAGCAGTTGTACCTATTTTCAGAGAAATTTATTTGGCTGGAGAGGAGAGGTCAGTGCTCCCAGTGCTTGGACCTTCTGCAAGTAGATTCTGCATCGGCAAAAATGAGCTGACTTGGCCAAAGAAACAGGTGTATATTATGTGCTTAAGTATTGTGAGAACAGTTTTGGGCATACCGTAGAAGTTTACATGTTTATCTTCAACCTGCACCAGTCTTGTGTTAAGTGATCACACACCTTTGTGAATAGAACTTGATCTTATCTATTGTGTCCGTGTATATACTTCCTTCTCGCCAACTGCTAGAACAGGTCCTGATGGAGTGTTCCTCTTGAATAGGAGCAACTGTATTCCAAAGATTACTTACGGCATGTCCACCTGACTTGGTAGTGCTGAGGTGTCGAGGATGGACACGCCTCGTTTGGAGATCACATGACCGGATCAAATTAACAATGAATGCTACATAAAATGAGTCCTTTTGTTCTTGGCATATCAATCATTTCTTCTCATAAAATGTTCTTCGTCTTCAAATCATATCGTATGTTGTGAACAATTTTTGCTCCTCGTACCTTTTTTTCCGTAAATGCAGCATTCAATGTTATTTCTTTGTCATGACATTGTTACAATTAATGTTCCACAACTGCACCGCCTATAGTAGGTTGTTGTGCCATGTGGGTTAGAATAAACTATTACTTCATTTCCTGGCCATACCACAGCATTTTGCGCCTACAGTTGTCCAGTTGTAGTTACTGGTAGCATCTGCTCCATCTGTTTACTGTTACTTTCTTTAACAACTAGCTTTTGGAAAACAGAATTGCCTGACACTCTTTCATAGACATTGGTAATGTTACTTGGAGACTGTTTTCTATGACATCTTTCTTAAAACATAGAATATTTATTGAATTGTGTTACTATTAAGATGTTCTTTTTTCATCCTTAGATTCTGAATACTATATTTTAAAATTGTATTCTTGACACTGTTGGAAGTTAAGAGATATTTGGTTCATGTACACTTCTCTTTCCCGGTGAATATTGAATTGATGTTATTTTTTAAGTTAAGTCATTTCTTTCACTTGAAGGGGATCATTTTAACAGTCAACTCCACACCTTTTCATGAAAATTGATCTCTAAGGTGAAATGTATTGCTGCTGTTGAACTGTTGGCAAGTCACATACTTCATAGTATGTGAGTATATTTTCAAGCTGTCCATGCATATCATCAACTCCTTTTTCAAAATCCATAACGCCCATCCAGCTGATCAAATTGGGACAAATGTACAGATGGTTTGTGATTCCTGCTATTTAATCTGCCAGAGACAGGTTTCTGTTTTCCAAAAGTCTTCATCAGTATTACCTGTTTTGTGGGACACCTATATACGTAGAAGTTGGCGTGCCTGCAGTAGCTGATGCTGCAACTGTAGGCGTGTGGCCATTGTTGTCAATGTTCTAGCCGTCACTTGAACTGAGTGTTCCCAAAGATAATTCCACAGTGCTCATGCTTGGCTGGTAATCTTTTTCAAAATATGTGGCCCTTTCAAATATAACTTTCTGCAAGCTTGGATACAAGGTACTAACAGAGGGTTAAATTTGAAGGTGTACATGTTCCCACCTACCTCGTGATTTGTAAATTTCCTGTAGATTTCTTGAAGGTTATCTAGAATTATATTTTCTTTTCTTTCTGTTGTCTTGTAATGATTCCATTACAGTTTCTCTACCAGTCTCTGCCTGAGCACTATGGCGAGGAATTTAAAACAAGCACTTAAATATTCTCTTTAACATGCAATTTCCACACACGTTGTGTTAGTTGAGCTAACATGGACATTTTGACATGTATTAGGATCTGTGGATATTAAAATGAGCAACTGTTACTCCAATGTGAAGAGTTTATTTACGTGCTTGCTCCGTCGTTTCTTTTCTCACTGTACATGATATTGTTACTGTCCTTGAGAAAAAAAATTGAGAATGTAATGTTTGGAGGAGCCTTACTCTGTAAAGAGTTTGGCTTCGACAAAAAAAACAAAAAGATAAATAAAAATGATGAAATAATAACTCCTTTTCTGTCTTCTCATAGTTACCCGGAAAACCAGGTCCGTATTTTAGTATTCATTGGGAATTTTGAATGAGGAAAATGATGATTAAGATTTTGGTTCATCTTGTCCAAAAGCAAGTGTTTGACTCCATACTTACATTATATGTGTATGTTGTCGGCAAGTGTACACACAAAACCAGTGTGTTCAAGATTTGGGCAGGTTCATCAGTTGCTTGAGAAAACTGTGTTAATAGAACACTGAACAATAATAAATATAAAATAATTTATTACAAAGATGATATGGCTGCAATGACTGTACAATGAAATCATACATGTACAAAACAATATACAATACATACTATATGCAAATTTACATTTTCTCTACAATAGGGACGGAACTCGATAACAATCTCTTGAAAACTAACTCCAGTTACTTTATATCCTCTATGCAATCAAAAATAATTTCCATGATTTAGAGAAGTAGTTTGAAATAGAATGCTTTGAACTGGCACAGTGGAGATAAGGAACCCCAAAGACATGGACAGAGGTGGTAAAAAATTGTATGTGTGATAAAAATCTCCCCCGAAATTAGAACCAAGGGCGGGTAATCATAAAGTAGCCAATGATGAAAAAGATGGCCACTAGTGAGAAGGCGAGTGTGTACATGGGTGGGTCAGCTCCATAGCTCTTGGTGATCGGGTACAGCAGCTGAGACCAACATGTGTCATATTTACACACAGTCTGTTCAAAGTCTTCGTAGTATCGGGCACATGTGTCGGTAGTGCAGGATGGATCTTTGGAAGTGTAGAATCTGCAAACAAAAAGAGTCGAAGTAAGACATTTTGTAAAAAGAGTATAAATCTTTATCGTTACCAATAGCCGCCAAGCAACAACATCCCAATTTATGTTATCAAAGCAAGCCTGCAGAATCAGTCACTCAGTTGGATGTCACAATATTTCTGTTGCTGTAAAGTTTCAGCAATTTTGTTGTTTGCAGCTATTGTAAAACCAATGAATTTCATTTGACATTAAAATTATCTGATCCTGGTCTTTATATGACATTAATATATAATCTCCAACACTCCACTGGGGGCACGGGTGGCCCAGTCGTCTGTGCATGATTCGCTGTGCAGAGTTGCATCCCATGGGCACGCCAGAAACCTATGAATGAGGGTTTGAATCCCGGTTCGCCCCGATTATGTTTCTAGATCTGTCAGCACCATACCCGTGTTCGTGGGTATCACTAAAGTGGTAAACGTGGTAAAGACCTGCATCACTTCGGGCTTGCCTCCCACATCAAACTGACACGCCGCGATATAACTGGAATAATGTTAAAAGTGGTGTTAAACCCAACTCACTCACTCCAACACTCCTCTTGGAGTGGGTCCAATGCTGCCTTGTGGAGTACAGCCTGAATGACGCACAGCCTAGACATTTACCAGTTCCGTGAAACCAACAAGCATGACTAGCGGATGTAACTCGGAGTTTGATGACTTCTCCATATTGGGTTGTCATAAAAAACGATGACAATATACCCCATTTGCTCACTTTTGACAAATTCTGGAGAGTTTTTTATAAACAAGTGTTCATATTATCCAAAACTGAATGTGTTTCTTTTCTTTTAACATCTGCAGTTTGGGACTTACCACATCAGTCTGACTAAATGTGAAAAAAGGACCAAAAATATCTTGTATTTTAATACTAACAAAATAAAAGTTTGAGCATTGACAATAAGCTCAGGTCAAATACACAGTGTTAAAATAACATTAGTTCTTTCAGGGTTAAAAAAACCTCTCAGTGTTTGAACTAAAGCATGAACGTCAAGGCGTCTTTGCGATACTCGTAACCATGAATTGTTGTAACTTTAGACTGAGTACATCCCTAGATTCCATAACCACAGAGGCATACTTCAAGCACCGGCATCCCTAGATTCCCTAACCACAGTGGCATACCTCAAGCACCCCCATCCCTAGACTCCATAACCACAGCAGCATACTTCAAGCACCCCATCCCTAGACTCCATAACCACAATAGCATACCTCAAACACTCCCTTCTAACACTGCCTCTGTTATGGATGTCATTCAACAATCAGAATACAGTCATCTAGCAATCCTGATACTCATGGGTTACATCGTGAACACCACCTACTTGATTCTAGGTTCCGGCACGGAGGCTGGGACCTTGATGAAGGTGACGGAGCTGGTCAGGGTGAATGTCTGCACGTACTGACTGCTGACCCCACAGCGACCCGAGTCCGCTCCACTGCACTGCATCCTCCAGTCTGTCTTGGTGTAGCTGCAACACGCACAGCTTCAGGCTCAAACATCTCCCAGGCAAGGGAGTTTACTGACTATAACAGTCCAGTTTCCACCTTTCCCCAGCTAGGACAGAATTATGGAGTTATATTTTGGCTAACAAGTCTATACATAGTCCAATCAAAATCTCGTAACAAAGTTTAACATCCAATTCGTAAACTGCTGTGCAGATTTCGGTCGATTGCAGGATTTACAAAGCATGTGTACCGTCAAATTAGTGTCAACTTATATATTCAAAGTCTTTTTTGTGTTATTTTAATCAATTTGCTCACATGAATTGATGCACTTAGTGAGGAAGGACCCATTTTATTACAAAAAAAGGTCTTGATGATTGATCAGATCATCTTCACTGGGCGCCGCCATTTTGTTCAAAGCAAATCAAGTGATGTGAGAGGTGGAATCTGATTGGTCAATAGGAGGGACATAGAAGGGACATAACTTGTAATAACCACTGGTGGCACTATGATCCAACCCAGAAATTCCAACCTAGTTCGGCCAGGGTGGTAACTGGACTGTTACAGTTACCTAACTCTCTTGCCTCGGGAAGATGGGTTCAAACTGCCTCCAGTCCTTATGATCATCAACGAGTGGAAGATTATGTATCAAGTTTTAATGAGGGGATGTTTCAAAAAGAATTTGAAAACCTCCTGCAGTAAGTTGTCCACTTTGACTTGTTACACAATGGGAATGTCTTGAGTGTTTTGAGTGTTTGACTCACTGGTCACTCACTCCCCTTGACTCACTGGTCACTCCCCTTGACTCACTGGTCACTCACTCCCCTTGACTCACTGGTCACTCCCCTTGACTCACTGCCCACTCCCCTTGACTCACTTCCCACTCTCCTTGACTCACTGGTCACTCCCCTTGACTCACTTCCCACTCCCCTTAACTCACTGCCCACTCCCCTTGACTCACTTCCCACTCCCCTTAACTCACTGGTCACCCCCCTTAACTCACTGGTCACCCCCCTTAACTCACTGGCCACTCCCCTTAACTCACTGGTCACTCCCCTTAACTCACTGCCCAACCCCCTTTCCTCAATGGTCACTCCCCTTAACTCACTGGTCACTTCCCTTAACTCACTGGTCACTCCACTTGACTCACCGCCCACTCCCCTTGACTCACTGGCCACTCCCTTTAACTCACTGGTCACTCCCTTTTTACTCACTGGTCACTTCCCTTAACTCACTGGTCACTCCACTTGACTCACCGCCCACTCCCCTTGACTCACTGGCCACTCCCTTTAACTCACTGGTCACTCCCCTTGACTCACTGGTCACTTCCCTTAACTCACTGCCCACTCCCCTTGACTCACTCGTCACTCCCCTTGACTCACTGGTCACTCCCCTTGACTCACTGGTCACTCCCTTTAACTCACAGGTCACTCCCTTGACTCACTGGTCACTCCCCTTAACTCACTGGCCACTTCCCTTAACTCACTGCCCAACCCCCTTTCCTCAATGGTCACTCCCCTTAACTCACTGGCCACTCCCTTTAACTCACTGGTCACTCCCCTTGACTCACTGGTCACTCCCTTTAACTCACTGGTCACTCCCTTGACTCACTGGTCACTCCCCTTAACTCACTGGCCACTCCCTTTAACTCACTGGTCACTTCCCATGACTATCCTTCCAGGGTGCTCTTGTACAAAGCAATCATAGCGCTAGGGCGATCGTAACTTCAACACCTTAACAGTTAAGCGCTAAGGTTGTTCTGTAGAAAGGCACTCAGGACAGTGTCAGAAGACAGTGTTTTACATGGTTACATGACTGCAGCTCCGAACACCTCCCTGATTGGGTAGCCATTCACCTGTCCCGTCTCCCCATACATGACAGAAGATAGTCTTTTACCTGACTCGAGCTCCAACCACCTCCCTGATTGGGTAGCCATTCACCTGTCCTGTCTCCCCATACATGACCACCAGATTCACTCCGCTGGTGATGTTGGCGCAGACCCCCCTCACGTTGTCTATCGGCATGTACACATCCTCGGTGGTGTTGCCAGGTGTCGTGTTGTTGTCAGCGGTAGTCTCATTCAGGATGGGAATGTCTCTAGGAGATGAGGTCAAGACAGTTGATCATGTGGCTTCAGATCACAACAGTAAGGCAACACTGCTTCAACTTTTAGGTTTATACATCAACCAACAATGGCTAAAATATTAGGATACTTCAAACATTTTGTAGTTTTGTTTCAAAAATGATAATCCTTTATCAGAATTTTGACAGAACAATTCGATTTTAGCTAAGGCTTAATAACATAAAAGAATTGGTTCTCAGGCAATGTTTTTTGAAAATATAGTGGGGGCGGGCGGTGTCTTTTTCTTTTTCTTTTTTGTTGGCCAAACTAATATGTAACCAATAAACAGTTGTGTATTTTATAAACAATTGTGTACAATCAACCTGGGAAAGGACCTCCTTACATAAATGTATTCCTTGATGAGTAAAATATTTAAATACAGGATTTTTAATTTATATTTTTTAAATGGAAATAAAAACGAAACGTGCGGCAAACTTGATAATGATGCGGGCGGTGCCTGAGAACCAAGACCATTTTTTTTTTAGCCTTAAATGCATCACACATTACCAAATATGAAATAAAGGTTGGTCTGTGCTCCAAAACCGAAATGAGTGATCAGTGAGTTTGGTTTGACGCTGCTTACAACAACATTCAGTAATCAAACGGCGTGTCGGCATCACGAGGAAATGATGAAGCGACACAGGTCACAGAAGAGCAAGTGTGCAGTGCTGACAGGGCAAAGATAATAACTTATGTCAAATTTGGGATTTGAACACTGACCAGAAGCGGATCCTGGCATGACTAAGGGACACAATTCACTGATATTGTTGTTCCCTCCCCATAACTGAAGTAAGTATGCTAGTACTTCCCCCAACTTCCTCAGACGCTGCCCAAGGGGAGTCCAGACCTGTGCTGTTTGTAAAGGATCAGGTAGTCAGTCTCGGTCGCCTGTCATTGTTTCCTGACGGAAATTGTTGCTCACAATATCGATCACTGGATCATCTGGTACAGACCCGACTATTTACAGGCCGCTGCTATATAGCCGGCATACTGCAGAGTGTGGCGCTAATTCTGACGCTGACTAAACGTGGACCCACCTGAGAACCGCCACCCACATTGTTGAATCAAAGGGGTCGTTGTAACCTTGACGACCAATCCAGTCGGAGGGCATCAACACACTCAGATGATTCAGGACCAACTGTCTACAACACAAACACAGTGATGACAACAAAAGACATAAAACTACAGCTAGACATCAATCAGGTTCAGCCGCTGTTTTGAAAAGCCACCAATGATTTGTTCGTTGTTTAATTCAGCACTTATCTATTTTCCAGGAATGGTAATGGTTTAGCTTTAAAATCCTTTCAATACATGATTGGTTGGTTGGTTGGCTGGTTGGTTGGTTTGTTGTTTAATGCCGCAGTCAGCAATATTCCAGCTATATGTAAATAATCAAGTCTGGACCAGACAATCCAGTGATTGATATCATGAGCATTGATCCACACAATTAGGATCGATGACATGCATCAACCAAGTCAGCAAGCCTGACCACCTGATCCCCTTAGTTGCCTCTTACGACAAGCGTAGTCACCATTTGCGGCAAGCATGGTTTGCTTAAGACCTATTCTACCCTGGATCTTCACGGGCCTTCAATACATGAACACACACAGTGCCATTTAGAAAGTGGTCAAATGTAACAGGCACCTAATTGCCAGCACACAAAGTTAGCGATCTAACCCACTCAGCCATCGAGGCTAGACTACCAGTTGTCGGACTCCATTTTGTTGAAGCCTTGGTGGCTGAGTGGGTTAGATCGCTAACTTTGTGTGCTGGCGATAAGGACCCTCCCCGGCAGTGTGGGTTCGAATTCTGGATGGGACTCAACCCCAAAAAAGTACTAGGATTTGTACTTTACAAAGAAAGTGTTATCCCAAATATAACATTTGTTACCTTTCAATACATATGAGTTGTTGAAAATATAAAATTCATCACAGTATCTAACATGAACCATTTGGTTGTTGTTATTAACAGATCTGTCCAACTAACAAAATAAATACTAGAAGCTATATTGGTCAGATTGCAGAAGAACTTTCAGTGGGTTATGACATGGAAGTTAGTATTACTTTCTTTCTTTCTTTCTTTGTTGTTTAAGGCCATTCTCAGCAATATTCCAGCTATATGACTGCGGTCTGTAAAAAAATTGAATCTGGACCAGACAATCCAGTGATTGACATCATGAGCATCGACCCACACAATTGGGGTCGATGGCATGTATCAACCAAGTCAGCGAGCCTGACCACCCGATCCTGTAAGTCGCCTTTTACGACAAGCATAGTCGCCTTTTACGGCAAGTATGGGTTGCTGAAGACCTATTCTACCCCGGAATCTTCACGGGTCTTACTCGAGGTCTGTGCAGTTGTTGATGCGGTCGATGTTGAGCCTCAGGTTGCAGCTGGCCAGTATGTCCTCACCAAAGGTCAGAGTTCGTCGGGTCGCAGAGTAGCACAGACCATCGGCACCTGCAGGTCAAAGTGAATACTGATGATCTAAATACACTCTCTTCATTGACATTCACTTTGTGTGAGTTCATTGGAGTATGAACCTTCATACTCCAATGAACTCACACTAAGTGAAAGTCAATTCTTATAATTTTTAACACAATTTCTTACCTCAAAGGATGTAGGCCAAGATCTAAACACAATTTTATTTAGTACGTGTGACTTCATGTTTACACTGACAGCCATACAACAACCAGCTATATCACGGAGTAAAATAGTTCCTCAAAAGGAGAGGTGACATGAGCGTATGGATGCACAACTTGCTCTTCAGAAACATCTTACGCAGCACATGCGTTCAAATCATATCCTCATTACATGAGAAAGGTCTGTAAAGAACTACCTCAGTAAGTCAGTCACAATGACAGTGCGTCGTAATACATTTACATCAAGTACAAGACATCAAAATGGCCGACACGATAAACGTGACGGGAGTGATTTCCGAAGTTGTTAATGAACTTGTGGCGGGTACATGTTTTAGTCATCATTGATCAACTGGCCGATCATTGAAAGGTGAACAAGTATTTGTCACAGAGTGACGAAATATCCCCCGCCTGTACACCATAGTACCAAATATGAAGACAATCCAGCGATTAGTTCTTGAGATATTGTGGCAACACAGTTTTCCAACTCCAAAAACAGATTTGCCTGCTGTGACCTTGAAAATGGGGTCAAGGTCACCAAATCTGACAGGTGTATGCGGTGTCTGTATATACACTATAGTTCCAAATATGAAGACAATCCAGCGATTAGTTCTTGAGATATCGCAGCAACACCGTTTTCTAACTCCAAAAGCAGATTTGCCTGCTGTGACCTTGACAATGGGGTCAAGGTCACCAAAACCGACTGGTGTCTGCGGTGTCTGTATATACACCATAGTTCCAAATATGAAGACAATCCAGTGTTTAGTTCTTGAGATATCGCGGCAACACCGTTTTCCAACTCCAAAAGCAGATTTGCCTGCTGTGACCTTGAAAATGGGATCAAGGTCACCAAAACCGACTGGTGTCTGCGGAGTCTGTATATACACCATAGTTCCAAATATGAAGACAATCCAGTGTTTAGTTCTTGAGATATCGCGGCAACACCGTTTTCCAACTCTAAAAGCAGATTTGTCTGCTGTGACCTTGAAAATGGGATCAAGGTCACCAAAACCGACTGGTGTCTGCGGAGTCTGTATATACACCATAGTTCCAAATATGAAGACAATCCAGTGTTTAGTTCTTGAGATATCGCGGCAACACCGTTTTCCAACTCCAAAAGCAGATATGCCTGCTGTGACCTTGAAAATGGGGTCAAGGTCACCAAAACCGACTGGTGTCTGCGGAGTCTGTATATACACCATAGTTCCAAATATGAAGACAATCCAGTGTTTAGTTCTTGAGATATCGCGGCAACACTGTTTTCCAACTCCAAAAGCAGATATGCCTGCTGTGACCTTGAAAATGGGGTCAAGGTCACCAAAACTGACTGGTGTCTGCGGAGTCTGTATATACACCATAGTTCCAAATATGAAGACAATCCAGTGTTTAGTTCTTGAGATATCGTGGCAACAAACAGGTGGGACGTACGGACGGACGGACGGACGGACGTACGGACGGTCGTGAATACTATATCCCCCGCTTCGCGCTTTCGCGCGGCGGGGGATAATAAAGATGCGTCAAACAGACACTAAGGTAAATTCATACATTGCTGGAGACGGTCAATGTCAGCCTAGTCACGGATTGAGTCGATATTATGATAGTTTAGATGTGCATTTCTTCCTTTGTTCATTAGGATAGGCCGCAGTGAGGATATATTCGTGAACAATCATGCAATCACGCTCTCTGACATTTCTCAATGTATACTGAAACGCTGAGACCAAGAATAAAGGTTCTTAATGATCAGAAAGAACGCTTATGTATGTTTTCATGCTAGGGAATTCCCAGGGGTTTCCCCAGGAATGTGGAAGTAGTCCGTCAGTGTTTACGTCATTTCAAGAACACGATTTCGTAAAAAACGTATTAACGTCAAATTGTGTTGTTCATACACTTATGAACGTCAATTTCGCGGTCATGTGACCGACCTCTCGTCCAATGGAAAAGCCGTATATCGTGTAAACTTCAAATGAAAGAATTATAGAAGAATAGCGGTACTACATGCACCATGAGAAGTTCAACAATTTGAGAGTTGCAGAGGTTGCACTATGTTCATCATGTCACAAATGTCACAGGAAGGGAGTGAATGAATGTTTAACTCTGCAGTCGATATGTTACATGGCAGTGTATTTTACTGTTGAACAATGATTATAACTGTGTTACATTGTTTCTGTTGAGATTCGGTAGACGCTCATTGCATTGTGCTTGGACAGTGATCAGTCGTCAGGAAGTTAATATATTTAGATGCTAGTGTAGTGTGTAAACTTCTGGTCCTGTATATGAGGACGGTGATAGTATGTTACCGAAATTTCTGTAATGTTCTATGTGGTGAGGGCACAGTATGGAAATTTGCAGTAACTTGTTAGGCTGTATATATAGTGTGACAAGAGCTTGTTTACGTATCTCTCACATGTTTCATCGCTTTGGAACCAGCTTTCATGTGAGGATCGAACATCATCCTTGATTCCCTGCCTAGCCCACTATCACCACTGTATTCGAGTATTCCATACTGTCCACTGCCATCATGTTATACATTGCCACTTAGTTTTGTACAACCACTCTATTGTGTACTGCCATAATAATTGCTGTACAGTATATTTGCATTGATGTGTAAACTTAGTGAATTTTTTATATAATACATTTGTTGATTTTTTATTGTATACCACTTGTTGGTTGGTTGCTGGTTTCACACTAAGTTTTTTTATGTACAGATTTCTGGGTTAAACACATTGTTTCAATTTGGGAATTGACATGCAACAAGTAATTTTCATAAATCAAGTCTGAAGCACACAAACCGCCTCAGTGGTCTAGTGGGCTGAGTGTCATAACAAAAGATGTTACAAATGGTACTTGTTGTTACCCTGCCTGGCACTTGCACACATTAACATGTGCACACTTGCAAGAGCAATGTGCTGGCTGTCCTCCAACCTTCCCTACATTTATACCAACCTGTCTGAAACACGGACATCTGGCGGCTGGTGTTCCGGTCGACGTACAAGAAGGTGGAAGAGGCATCGTTGACTGGACACCCACTGGCCAACGGTTTACCATAGTCATAGCCTGGAAACACATTGATATCTGGGGTGAGTGAGTGAGTGGGTGGGTTGGTGAGTGGGTGAGTGAGTGAGTGAGTGGGTGGGTGGGTGGGTGGGTGGGTGGGTGAGTGAGTGAGTGAGTGAGTGAGTGAGTGAGTGAGTGAGTGAGTGAGTGAGTGAGTGAGTGAGTGAGTGGGATGGGTTAAGTGTAAAGCTAGGTGATGACAAGGAGTGAGTAAGGTTTTATGCCACTTTTAGCAATATTCCAGCAATATCCCATAGGGGGACACCAGAAATGGGCTTCACACATTGTACCCATGTCGGGAATCAAACCCGGGTCTTCGGAGTGACGAGCGAATGCTTTAACCACTAGGCTACCCAACCGCCCCAATGACAAGGAACATGAGACAAAACCGATGCACAGCAACATCCAACTGAACAGTACCATACACAATATTGTATTGTCATCCGTGTTTCATATTACAAATTTATATAAATTTGCACACTACATGGTCTTTAAACTTGTACTGCCTACTAATAGATTTCAAATGAATTCCACAATTAAGTCATTAGTATTGGTGTTTTCAATATAGGAGAAGTGACAGTAGAATTTCTACTTTTGTTTTCAGCTGCTACAAATTGACCATTCATGCAATCGTGAATTCAGTGTATCGTTTCAGTTTAAACTATTAGCATACGATATCAGTATCTGCCAACAATATTTTGTCTAAAATATCACCTGGTTTTCCAGATCGGTCAAAGGCCTCTGTTTGGTTTTCGTAGTTGTCGGTGCTATTACTCTGGAAGGACATCTGATGTTCAAACTTCACATCAAAACTCTGCGTCAAACTAGGCGGGTTGACGCCTAACGTAATCGGTGCCAAAATCACCGTGGCATTCAGATTAACAATACGCTGACCCGTCCAGGTGAAAATGTAGCGAACATCCACCACAACATTGTCACAAGCACCTGTTGTTCCGAGCGACGGTACTGGTGGTCGACTGTACCCATCATCCCATGCACAACGTGGAGGAAGTGACGTCACGATCTCCTGATCCACGTTGTATTGTAAACAAGCAGGGTCCCCGCACGGCAAGGTACAGTTTTCTGTGTCCAGTTCTCGTCGAAAGGTCCATGACACTGTTGGCTGTACCGCATCACTGTATCGTACTGACGATTTCACGTAACTCGCGTCAGTACTGGCACAGTAATAATTGACGTACGTATTGGCTATTGGGATATTAGTACTAGATCCACCGTAGTTCTCAAGAATCCGGTACGCCTCGGGACACGGGGGATGAGACGTGGAGGTCATCTCAGCGTATATCCTGGCACTGAGCATGGAGTCGGGTCCGCACATGTTGCGGACGTTGTCATGCACGCAGTTGGATGATCTGTCCTGCTGGAAGCGGACAGGCACGACGTTGAGACACGCTCCACCCATGGACCTCGCCGGCAGAGTCAACACCCCCCTAGGGGAGGAGGGGACGTCATCCCTGCGGGTCCGGATGCTGGCTCCCTCCTTGTATCCCACCAGGCCAGAGTTGGGGTCGCTGAAGCGCCGTTCTGTCTCCCTGCCACAAAGATGGTGTTGATGTTAGTGACCCTGCCCAACCGCCAGATCCAATTTAATATCAAGCAACAAGCTACATACACTCAAACCTCGTTGTGTCGATTTCATGGAGACTCATTAAGTTATCCGGGGTTCAGACAACAACAAAGTTAATTTCCCCAAGCCAAACATGTTTGTTATGAGAGTATCCTACATGTAAACTAGTCATCATTGGTTTCGTACCACCTGTCAACGTCGATAACCATATTGTAAATACTTTGTACTTGGCTTCGATAGTCTTCACTGTTGATCCCCTCTTTTAAAGTGTTGTAAAATCTGATGTATTAATGTAGCATACCCTCCAATCCCTACAGGACTAGTGCCAGATTCTATCGCTGTACCTGTAGGAGTATCTGATGGCCTGCGCTGACAGCCGGCTGTTAAAGGCTGTGTCGGTCTTCACGGCGCCAGTGTTGCCATGGAACAGCCCCAGTAGGGCATTAGTCTCAAACTCCACACACAGCAGTGGGAACCAGTCCTCCTTGAAGGTATGGTTGGAGTAACAGCTGCGGAATGGTGTCGTAGAGCCCTGGCCACCGTACGGACCAGGCAGACAGTAGCTGAAAGTCTTTCTCTTGTCAGCTGTGCAGTCCTGTAGGGCAAAACGACATTAATGGTAGGGGGAAACAATACAGCAGGGTCATACGATACATATCAAGATACATAGGTCACAATACAAAGCGCGACATGCATATTTACGTCACATCGCATGGAAACTTCTTGACAATAAATATTTTAGAGCAGGCTCAAAAGGAAAGTAGTGAACTTAAAACATTAATTACAACACATTTTGCGATATCTGATTAACAAAAACATTAGGAATCATTAAACAAGTAGTGAGCAATATATTTCAGCAAGTGTATCATCCCATATCGATACAGAAAAAAACGTATCACGTATTGTACCGTCACATGAAAACCCAAAATGCAGCGGTGCACCAATGTTTTGTTTCACTTTCACCCCTAATTAATGGACCAATAAAATAGACATTCTTCTGGGAGACCAATCTTAGGCGCCATATATAATTACTTCTATAATAACATACACGGAACAAATACAAAAATAAATAAAATTTGTCTGAATCTGTTAACAAATTAATGGGAAAAACACTAATAATTGTGATGGTTAGTAACGCTTTAACTTTAATATTAAAAATATTATCTTCAATTTCTTTATTTCAGTCTGTAAAGTCAGTTAACACAATGGCCTGGTGATGCTGCGATGTGTTCGGGTGATTTGTTTTTTAAAAGCCGGAAACTTTGTTCATGTTTCCAGCTAGGAACAAAAGAAGAATGCAGAAATGCATAGTGTGAGATAGGATGAGTTTAAAAATTTGATATTATGAGCCTCAACCCACTTCATCAGGGTACGCGGACACCGAGTCAACCTGACCACCCCATTTGTTTAGTTGCATCGTGTGACAAGGTTGCTGGGGCCTTACCCGGAATCCCCACGGAGAAAATAGAGGATGGTGGACAGCGGACTTACAGCATCGCAGCAGCAGTTGATGTCACAGACGGAGTAGGACAGGTCACAGGGACACGGCGCCACCTCCACGAAGCCGGGGTTCTGTAACACCCTCTCCGAGCCCAGGTCACCCGATGCTGGAAACACCAGTCATTATTGATCTACTATCACTCTCCCACCCATCAACATTGATAATAAAACTCCATTTGTAATGTGACAATTGAATGCTCATGGAGCTACAGAATAATTACTCTGATCATTGGATCAGTCTGCATATTTCATTCTCAGCTCCCTGGGGAGTATACAAGAGGTTTCGAGGCACTAGAAGGTTCAAAGTCACATTACCATCTCATCCTACCGGGTACCCATTCACTGCTGGCTGAACAGAGACATGTAAAATGTGGTTCAGTGTACAGGACAGAAGCCAGAGATACTCTCTGCTGTCAAGCTGGCGAACACAGTCATCCACCAACTCTCCGCAGCCAACCTTGCTTAACTTTGTCCGATTTGCATCTTCCCTAGGCAACGTTAACCGACTTTAAAAGTCCCGTTTCCACCCTTGCTGAACTAGGCTGGAATTCCTGCCTGGAATTCGATCGTAGCGCCACCAGTGGCTATTACGAGTTATGTCCCTTTAATGCCTCTCCTATGGACAAATCAGATTCCACCTCTCATATCAGTTGCATTTGCTTCAAACAAAATGGTGGCGCCCAGTTAAGACGATCTGATCAATAATCAAGATCTATATTGTGTTAAAACGGGTCTTACATCGTGAAGTGCATCAAATCACGTGAGCACCTTGATTAAAAACATGACAAGATTTGGAAAATATCAGTTGACACAACATTGACGGTACACATGCTTTGCAAATCAACCGAAATCTGCACAGCAGTTTAAGAATCGGATGTTTAGTTCATTACGCGATTTTGATCGGACTATTCATAGACTCGTTAGTCCAGCCAAAATGTAACTCCATAATACCAGCCTAGTTTGGCAAGGGTGGAGACAGGACTTTTATAGTCAGTTGACTCTCTTGCCTCGGGAAGATGCCTCATATGTGACTTGTGTACATTACTTGACTTGAAATAGCAACATTTTGGAACAAGACTTCAGCAAAGGCAGCCATTAGGGCAACAGAAACACGGGACACCAGGCTAAATGCCTCATTCTTACCATGTTAGGGAACAGATTAAGACCAAGAAATAATAGTATGTTATTACAGGACATGAGAGCACATACTTATATTGGGATTCGAACCCGTGGACATTAGATCCCAGGATGCATATGGAACAAACTGCACTCCTTAGATCATGATGCATTTTATATGCAGAAATTGCAATGTGCAAACAAGCTATCACTGCACCACAAAGACAAGGATGATGACGATGATGACGATGATGATGGAGTTTGTGCTTACTCGGTCCCCCGGTGCAGTTGGAGCAGAAGTCGGGGGTGAGGTCGTTTGCGGTCAGCATGGCCGCGGCCATCCCTGTGTACTTGAGAGTGCTGACCCGCACACAGCAGGTCAGCACAACAAGCTCGGTGACCGGGGCGATGACCGCTCTCTCACGTTGGACAATCACTGTCTTGTAGATCTGGTCTTTCTGGAATTGAATTGAACAATATGAGACTTCTACATGTTGAAAATGTCTGCCAGGATAAATCTCCTCTGTACATAAGCAAGTGAGTGAATATAGCTTTATGCCACAAATAATCCAGTTTGTAAATAATCTGCACCTACAAAAAACATCTATTGACTATCCTAAGCTTTGACAGCCATGAAGTCGTTGAAGAATGAGAACCGCTTCCATAGTCTAGTGGATACAGCATCTGTCTGGAGACTGAGAATTTGTAGGTTTGATCCCTGGCCGCATCATACCAAAAGACGCTAACAGATGGTACTTGTTGTTACCCTGCCTGGTGCTCAGTGTTAGGGGTTAAAACAAGGCATGGTCAACTCGGAGTCAGTATACTGTGTCTGAGTGGGGTATTCATGTTAAACTGGGGCATGGTATCTCAGTGGGCTTGCACGATAAAATCGGCATTAGTCCGGACTAGTACAAGCAGCCACATGCACGCACCCATGTGCGTGCATACACGTCACTATATAAGTGCAATAATTTGGAACACGACGTTAAAGCCCATTTCAATTCACCTCTCCGTTGAGTGAGTGAGTGAGTGAGTGAGTGAGTGAGCTACCCGACCGCCCCACCTCTCCGTTGAAGCATGACAACACATAATTGGCAAGGTCACACTATGTAACCAGCCATGGAGTTCCATTAAACCTCACTAAAAAGTACCTAATTATTGTGCCATGAAATAATTTTAACAATTTCATTAAAATTCAAGGTTTTTTACCAACATAATTTCTGGAAAGACTGCAGCGAAAACCCATGAAAGTGGCATTAAAAATACATGATTTCTAGGTTTCATCACTATGAAAATGACATTGGTAGCACACTGTTTGTTAACCACATTTACTTACACTTGTGAAAGTAAATGAAGCCTCATCCGGTTTCCATGGCGATGACAGGTCTACAGGGATGGGTGTAGTAGTTGGTATAAATGGTGTGGTTGTAGTTGCATTCGGGTCGGTGGTGGAGTTGTCAGTCGCTGTAAATATATCACTAGATGATAGGACTAACTCTAGAACTATCTCTAACACATGAAGATACTCATCACAGCACTGGAGGTCTAAACATTGAGAGATGCTTCTCGTGATTACACATTAACAAGCAAGTGCTGGACGAACACAAATAATAAGTGAGTGAGTTGGGTTTACCGCCGCTTTTAACAGTATTCCAGTTATATCACGGCATGTCAGATTAATGTGGGAGGAAAGCCCGAAGTGATGCAGGTCTCGGATGTTTACCACTTCAGTGAAACCCACGAGCACGGGTATGGTGCTGACAAATCTAGAAACATAATCGGAACGAACTGGGATTTGAACCCACAAACATAGGTCTCTGGCGTGCCCAAGGGACGCAACTCTGCACAGCAAATCGCGCCACCTTAGACGAGTGGGCGACCCGTGCCCCCCACAAATAATGAGCAAGTACCAGTGTTATAGTTTGTTTGTTGTCTAACGCCGTGCCGCACTCATCAATATACCAATATATGATGGACTTCTGTAAATAATGGAGTCTGAATCAGACAATCCAGTGATTGATATTGTGAGCAGTTCTCTATGCCATTGGGGTACAAGCACACCCTATCAAGCAAGTCCCAGAAAATCTGTAAAAGTGTACGCCATGTATATAAATCTCTGTGGGTGCATAAAAGAATATTTTAAAAAGTGAGAATGGTTGCGTTTCAAATTAAATATTTCAACTTTGAGCCTCAGGAGTTATTGTGTCATTGTCTGATTGAGGCCAAATACTCCACTCAAACAGGGGCTAGATGGGGTGTCTACCAGGTTACTATAAGGGTAACACTATTTTACAGGGCATTATCATTTGCAGAAGCCTGAGGTCTTCCATTAACTGCCTGACGAAGGAGGCAGTTGAAAAGATTGAGGGCTTCTGCAAATGATAATGCCCTGATAAATAGTGTTACTGTTATAAGAGCTAAAATGGATAGAATTCATCAAATATAAATAAACAACAATACCCGTTTTGAAACAATTACTGATATCAACATGAATTTCACTGACCCACTTTACAAATATGGAAACGTCATAGAACAAACCAGATGACGTCACAGTTGAACCTGACGTCACCTATCCCTATCCTATGACATCACCTAACAACGGGCGTGATAATGGCCCGTCGTCAAGTAATATGAAGGCATTATCAAGTTACAGTGGCCCGCTCATTTCTGATAACATGCGGGCGGTTTAATGATAATTCTATCCATTTTAGCTATAAACTTGCGTAATACATTGTGAACACCCAATATCCATGTCAGTCACTCACTCCAACATTCAAAGGGTACCTGGGACCTCGTCCACTCAACAGAATCGACTGAGTGTGCACCAGGGAACTAACTATTTGACGTCTACAACACTCACTAGTCAGGCCTGAACCGATACACTGAAGTCTTGCGATATCGTTTTTTATTATATGTCAAATACACTTTCTGGTAAAGTTGTATAAGATAGTTCTCTAACTAAACTTGACAGAGTAAAATTTGGCACATTTTCAAAGTAACAAAAGCAAATTTATTTGCAACACCATTTCTAATATTGAATGTTATTTTAAGATAATTGACTTAATGTTTGTGCAAATAATTAAAAGAATTATTGACAGAATGAAGTATAATTGTTTGGTTGGTTTAATGCAGCAATGCTCATCAGTGAATCGTTTCAGCCCAGATGGTACACAACACAATACTTCAGTAATACAGTTACCATCAGCCCTACAATGTCTGTCACTACATCCAACAGGTAGATATCTAAATGTGACTTAAATTGAGTACAACATGCTGTATTATTTATGAATGCAAATATTCAACTGAAATGGTGAAAACTAAACTCAACACCAACACACAACGAAATACTAAACAGAGGTAGGATTAGAAATTGGCACTAGTCCTATAGTCCTTGCCAAACAGCCCAATAGTTGAGGTATCATAAGGACTAGTAGACATTTGCTATTTTTAAGGGTTTTGCTGTATATTATCATTATAAGGACTAGTGGACCAAAAATGTTAGTTTCTATTGCTGAGAGTCTCAACATATCTCATGTCTTAAAATGATTTGAATTATGAGAAAGAGGTGAAACATTAATAAGACAGACCTTTAAGATAACAATAGTTTCTAAACCAAACACTTTGAGATTTCTACAAGATGGACCATTAAGTTTGTTTGCTTGTTTGTTATTTAACATTACACTCAGCAATATTCCAGCTATCTGACGCAGTCTGTTCATAATCGAATCTGGACCAGACAATTAAATGATTGACATCATGAGCATCAATCCACGTGATTGTGATACGATGACATACATCAAGCAAGCCAGCGAGTCTGACCACCCGATTCCCGTTAGTCGCCTCTTAGGACAAGCACAGTCACCTGTTAGGGCAAGCATGGGTTGCTGAAGACCTATTCTACCCCGGATCTTCACGGGTCGACCATTAAGAGTCGGCATGCCACACTACACTCGACGAGGCTGACTTCCATCTTACCATCATATTACCCATTTGACAAAGTAGACACAATTTACCGATAACTTCTTTAGTTTAATGGTGTTTAGGTATACCATATATGACCGCGTATAAGCCGAATTTTGAGGACCAGGAAAAAGATTCTGTAGAAAGGGGTCGGCTTATCACAAACCCGTGAAGATCCGGGTTACAATAGGTCTTCAGCAACCCATGCTTGTTGTAAAAGGCGACTAATGGGATCGGGTGCTCAGGCCCGCTGACTTGGCTGCATGTCATCATATCCCAATTGTGTAGATCGATGCTCATGATGCAATAACTGGACTGTCTGGTCCAGACTCGATTGTTTTCAGACTGCCGTCATATACCGTATATGACCGCGTATAAGCCGAATTTTGAGGACCAGAAAAAACATTCTGTAGAAAGGGGGCGGCTTATCCACGGGATACACTTTCATGATGGTATTTTTCAGATCGTGATCTGTCAGAAACATCGCCTGAATGACGGTCCGATAGATAACAACTTCCCGAAAGTTTGGAAGTTGCCACGACTAGAGCCATTATTGTTATAAATTATCAATAAAGTTATTATTATACACCAATGTTGTTATTATTAAAAAAATGTTATGCATGTTACTACTTCCGATAATAAGTTTTCAACTGAATGTTCAAAGTTTATTGTTCTTCATAAACTCCACAATCTTTACATGTAACAATATATGTAATTCACAGCTATAATATATAATACCCAGATGAAATCGCCAATAGCTATTACATACGTTTTGCAAAGTTCATAAATTGATAGTGAACAAATGTCTACCATCCTCTAAGTGATCCTTATACCATTGTCATCTGTAAACGTCTAAGAAATGCCTATCAAACAACTTACCAATTTGTGTGTCCGGTTGGGTGAGATTGGAAAACAATAAGACGTCAAAGTTATAGTGATCAGTATTGACAGGGATCAGTTATTGCCCCAAACATGAAGGATGTGTATTGGCCCAACTACAGCAACGTATTGCAAAAATAATCCATGTATCGCGATACACCACAACATATTGCATGAGTTCTTTCATCTCTCAATACATAATGTACCTGAGTGAGTGAGTTGAGTTTAACGCCACTTTTAACAGTATTCCAGTCATATCGCGGCATGTCAGCTTGATGTCAGAGGAAAGCACGAAGTGATGCAGGTCTCAGACGTTTACCACTTCGGTGAAACCCACGAGCACAGGTATGGTGCTGACAAACCTAGAAACATAATCAGGGCGAACTTGGATTCGAACCCACAATTATAATGAACCTGAACTTTGTAGTCATCCACCATTTTGTTGGATGTCGCTATTGTCATTATATACCGTAAACCAACACAAAGGGGCCACTAATTGTAGTTTGTTATAACCACAGTGACCATAAGTTTGTTATATCCGTCAGTTCGTTATAAGCATGTTCATGATGAACATAGTTTCCTGTAATGGTTTTTCTTTTTCGTTCACAGGAATCAGTTGCTCTTTATGAATTTCATAATTTCTATTAGAATTGTTACTTATGTCAAGGACAAATATACCGTATTTTCTTGAGTATAGTGCGCACCCAATTATAATGCGCACTCCCTCTAGGTTCTACTACACCAAATCAGAACCAGTTTGGACAGTGCGGTTTTTGTAGGGAGCCTTCATTGCAGATCGAGGGATATCTGCAGGCTGTGATTGGAGGATATTCTGTAAGATTTTTATGTCTTTCAAATGTACATCCATCCAGTTATTAAAACTGACCATGTTTTTCTATATTTCGTACTGTCTTTTTCAACATGATGACTTATGCTGAATGTGACCACAGCTATTTTCAAGTAGGTGACATTTGGTGCGAAACTGGGGGTGGTGTGTTTAGCTTCCGGTACTCGGAAAAGGAGCTGGCTAAGCTAGTCATTTATATTTTTTTTATTGCTGCTCTAAGGCCAAACTGTGCACACACGTACAGGTAATAGCTGTTGAATGCTTAGTTATTTAAAAAAAAATCATAACGTTACTATAGAAGTCTATGGGAAAACATTTGGTTGTGTGTAACCTGTAGCGGATTCAGTATTTTGGGGGAAAGAATTCCGAATATTAGGCGCCAAAAACCATTCCACTGTAACCCTTCAGTGAAATCCGATACACGAACAGGTGATAAGAATCTTGATCAGTACAAATATGAAATTTGAGATACAAAATCACCAGACATGTTGATCTACCGTTTAAATTGTATCTTGTGTTCTGCTAGGCATTGTTTTACATCCAGGGATTAAGATTAATTTGTGTATTTTCTCGTAAACTCAGCTGGAAACAGCAATCAGCTGTACACACGTTTTCTTGGAATCTACCGGTCATTCGGTTAACACTTACTCAATAATATAACTAAAAGGATCGGGAAAAATTGTATCTAAAACTATATTACTATCAGGAATAATATATTCCAATACCATGTTATTTTATTTGCAGATTTAATTAAATATATTTCAAATGATAATAACCCTAAGCGTAGCACTCGGTGCAGCTGATTGCGATTGCCGGTTATTTTTTTCACATGAAAAATTTGTCCAGTCTCCGTCGAGGCTCCCGCGCAAGTGATGGCGAGAACTACATGTTGACATAGAATCGTCAAACTATAACAAATATGACTTTTAACTTGACAAAGTATGGCATTTATGATATATGTATCCATTCTCTGTCAACTAAAGTTGGTTTCAAGGCGTCAATAGCGGTAATCTGGCCGTGGTTGCTGTTACTAGCGGTGAGTTCCCTTCCGATGCCTTCACACACAATTTCGCCGGAATTAATTAAGACAATATTAAAAGGAATTTTGAATAAAATTAATAAAATAAGTCACAAACATAAGTCCAGATATACAAAGAACACTTTTTGTAGCCAGACAGTGTAATTACATGATTAATTTGCGTACTTCAGTACGGATTTGTTGACATGGTATTTCAGGTGTTACGTGCTCACGGTAATGTCTTTGCGTTGGGGGGAAAAAAACATCAAAACTCATTATGGCATGTATAATACACACCCCCTTCTATACAGATGTGATTTTTTTGGAAAAAAGCGCGCACTATACTCAGGATAATATGGCATACATCTTTGCTTACGTAAACTTTTCCATAAGATGAAGATTTTGTAAAACATAATACACCGGTATTTTTCAAACATATTAGAGCTAGGGCTGTTCTCAGACACGAAAACACATCCTCTACCCTTGTTGCTGGTCTGGTGACACGGCTTTTTTTGTAATTCTTTTGTTGACAGTCCGTATTACCTATGTGACAAAAGATGCATGTTAGCATTAAGGCACACTACTTCTTTCTACAGATCTGGAAACGACACTGACTTGGAGGACTTGTTGGTGGCGCTGTAGGCGTTGTTGATGTTGTAGTTGCGGGCGTTGTCGTGGCGTTGGCTGTTGTAAAGTTGCACAATGGTGTTTGGATCAGCTGAAGGGCTTGAGCCATGCTGTCTGCTACAACAGCCTGACACTCAAAACTGATGCCATTGTCAGCTGATACACCCGCATCTAGTGTCAGCATACCCTACAGGTAAAGACAATACAGGTGTCAGCATACCCTACAGGTAAAAACAATACAGGTGTCAGCATACCCTACAGGTAAAGACAATACAAGTGTCAGCATACCCTACAGGTAAAGACAATACAGGTGTCAGCATACCCTACAGGTAAAGACAATACAAGTGTCAGCATACCCTACAGGTAAAGACAATACAGGTGTCAGCATACCCTACAGGTAAAGACAATACAGGTGTCAGCATACCCTACAGGTAAAGACAATACAGGTGTCAGCATACCCTACAGGTAAAGACAATACAGGTGTCAGCATAGCCTACAGGTAAAGACAATACAAGTGTCAGCATACCCTACAGGTAAAGACAATACAGGTGTCAGCATACCCTACAGGTAAAGACAATACAGGTGTCAGGATAACCTACAGGTAAAGACAATACAAGTGTCAGCATACCCTACAGGTAAAGACAATACAGGTGTCAGGATACCCTACTGGTAAAGACAATACAAGTGTCAGCATACCCTACAGGTAAAGACAATACAGGTGTCAGGATACCCTACAGGTAAAGACAATACAGGTGTCAGGATACCCTACAGGTAAAGACAATACAAGTGTCAGCATACCCTACAGGTAAAGACAATACAAGTGTCAGCATACCCTACAGGTAAAGAAATACAAGTGTCAGCATGCCCTACAGGTGTCAGCATACCCTACAGGTAAAGACAATACAAGTGTCAGCATACTCTACAGGTGTCAGCATACCCTACAGGTAAAGACAATACAGGTGTCAGCATACCCTACAGGTAAAGACAATACAGGTGTCAGCATACTCTACAGGTAAAGAAATACAAGTGTCAGCATGCCCTACAGGTGTCAGCATACCCTACAGGTAAAGACAATACAAGTGTCAGCATACTCTACAGGTGTCAGCATACCCTACAGGTAAAGACAATACAGGTGTCAGCATACCCTACAGGTAAAGACATACAAGTGTCAGCATGCCCTACAGGTGTCAGCATACCCTACAGGTAAAGACAATACAAGTGTCAGCATACTCTACAGGTGTCAGCATACCCTACAGGTAAAGACAATACAGGTGTCAGCATACCCTACAGGTAAAGACAATACAGGTGTCAGCATACCCTACAGGTAAAGACAATACAAGTGTCAGGATACCCTACAGGTAAAGACAATACAGGTGTCAGCATACCCTACAGGTAAAGACAATACAAGTGTCAGGATACCCTACAGGTAAAGACAATACAGGTGTCAGCATACCCTACAGGTAAAGACAATACAGGTGTCAGGATACCCTACAGGTGTCAGCATACCCTACAGGTAAAGACAATACAAGTGTCAGCATACCTTACAGGTAAAGACAATACAGGTGTCAGCATACCCTACAGGTAAAGACAATACAGGTGTCAGGATACCCTACAGGTGTCAGCATACCCTACAGGTAAAGACACAATACATACCAGAGAAGTACTGGGGTACTGGAGACCTTTTCTGCCCCAGAACCTCTCGGGGACCTGTTTTGGCCCAGACACCTCTCAGGGAGACAAGTATGGGGTACAGGGGACCTGTCTGCCCCAGAAACCTCTCTGGGAGACAAGTATGGGGTACAGGGGACCTGTCTGCCCCAGAAACCTCTCTGGGAGACAAGTATGGGGTACTGGGGACCTGTCTGCCCCAAACACCTCTCTGCCCCCAACACCTCTCAGGGAGACAAGCATGGGGTACTGGGGACCTGTCTGCCCCAAACACCTCTCTGCCCCCAACACCTCTCAGGGAGACAAGCATGGGGTACTGGGGACCTGTCTGCCCCAAACACCTCTCTGCCCCAAACACCTCTCAGGGAGACAAGCATGGGGTACAGGGGACCTATCTGCCCCAGAAACATCTCTGGGAGACAAGTATGGGGTACAGGGGACCTGTCTGCCCCAAACACCTCTCAGGGAGACAAGTATGGGGTACAGGGGACCTGTCTGCCCCAGAAACCTCTCCGGGAGACAAGTATGGGGTACTGGGGACCTGTCTGCCCAAAACACCTCTCAGGGAGACAAGTATGGGGTAGTTGGGACATGTTTTGGCCCAGACACCTCTCGGGGAGAGAAGCATCGGGTACTGGGGACCTGTTCTAACCCACAAGCCCTATGTTGCCAAGAAACATGAGAGGCAAATACAAGTAGTAGTCAATATCAGTCACCTTGAATGAATTGGAGTAAGCCGGAGTGATGACTGGGAGGAGTGTGACACTCCCGACACTCTGAACGAACATCACTGTTGAAGTGTCATCTGCAAACAGGTCAGGAAAGTGTAAACACAGGACACGAACTTCAAATTTTTCTTATCAAAATATTGCCATAAATTACATGAAAATCAAAATAACACTCGTTGAATATTTTAAGTGAGTGAGTTAAAATTTAACAAGGTCACATCGGCAGTATCTCAGCCCTATAGTGATGTTTTCAATTTTACATACAATTTTAATTGTCTGACAAATCATCCCTCTCCCCCCCCACCCCTGCCCCTGCTCCGTCTCACCTTGGGATGTGGCAGTGAGATACTGGTTGTCTCCCCGTGAGTTGGCCGAGCAGGAGACGTTGGAAGAAGTTCCTGGTGATGTGATCTGGTACTGAATCTACAAAGAAACATGTCTCTCCATCCAAACAGCTTCTTGTGGCAAGTGAGTTGGCCTTTACACCTTTTTCAACAGTATTTCAGTTTATCGCGGTTTGTTGGAATACAACACACAATGGCAAATACAAGTAGTTTGATATCAGTGAGAATATACAATGAGTGAGTGAGTTGGGTTTAACACCGCTTTTAACAGTATTCTAGTTATATCGCGGCGTGTCAGCTTAATGTGGGAGGAAAGCCCCAAGTGATGCTGGTCTCAGACGTTTACCACTTCGGTGAAACCCACGAGCACGGGTATGGTGCTGACAAACCTAGAAACATAATCGGGGCGAACCAGGATTCAAACCCACAATCATGGGTTTCTGGCGTGCCGAAGGAACACAACTCTGCACAGCGAATCGCGGCGCCTTAGACGACTGGGCCACCTGGGCCCCCGAGAATAAACAAAACAGAGCTACTTACAGTTACTGTGCTGACACCAACAACGGCGAGAAATGCTGTAAATGTCATATTCAGGCCACCTGCAATCAGTGAAAAAGAATTGAAGCAAGTGACACAACAAAATGGTGACCGATGGATACAATACTTTCTAAGAAAAAATCTCAAACATCACCGACTTAAAATGAAATATATAGAAGTAGTAACACACAGAGTAGTAGTAACACAGGTAAGATGTGCTTGACTTGAATGCATTTTTCCGAGGCCTAGTTCGACAAGGGTGGAAACTGGACTTTTATAGTCAGTTAACTCTCTTGCCTCAGGAAGATGTCTTAAAGTATGGGAGTTAAGATCATCTTAGCGCTAAGGTTGTTTTGTGCAAGTGGGTCCTGGTCCTCAGAGTTTGTACAGCTAGACTTGCTTGAACAAGACATTAATATTTCCTTTAATGGATAACATATAGCCCTGCGTGGTCTGGGGGATAGAGCATCTGCATGGACCGTCTTCATGGTGAAGTGGATACAGCTTCTGCATGGAGAGTGGAAGGTCGGTTGTTCAGTGCCCTGCGTCATACCAAACGATGTTAAAGTACTTGTTGTTACACTGCCTAGCACTCAGCAAGGGGCTAAAACAAGGCCTGGGCAGCTCGGAGTCAGTGTACTGTGTCTGAGTGGGGTATCCATGTTAAACTGCAGCATGGTATCTCAGTGAGCTAGCACTATCTACCTGGAATTAGTCCTGACTAGTACAAGCAACAGACACAAGACACAGACTGACACAGATAGACAGACACTGACACAGATAGACAGAGACAGACAGAGGCAGACACAGATAGACAGACACTGACACAGATAGACACAGACAGACAGAGGCAGACAGACACTGACACAGGCAGACAGACACCGACACAGATAGACACAGACAGACAGAGGCAGACAGACACTGACACAGAGTGACACAGATAGACACAGACAGACAGAGATAGACAGACACAGACTGACAGAGATAGGCAGACACTGACACAGGCAGACAGACACTGACACAGATAGACAGACACAGATAAACACAGACTGACAGAGATAGACAGACACAGACTGACAGAGATAGACAGACACTGACACAGGCAGACAGACACTGACACAGATAGACACAGACTGACACAGATAGAAGGAGGCAGACAGACACTGACACAGATAGACAGAGGCAGACAGACACTGACACAGATAGACAGAGGCAGACAGACACTGACACAGACTGACACAGATAGAAGGAGGCAGACAGACACTGACACAGATAGACAGAGACAGACAGACACTGACACAGTCAGACACACACTGAAAGGCGCAGACAACCCCATTTCACCTCACCTGACATCTTTTTATACCAAAGGTCAGTCCTGCTATTTGAACCAATTCCCAACTTGGTAATGTTGTTATCTACTTACCATACCCAGTGATCCGACAGCTGATGTCCACCGGGGCGTTCACCACCACCTCACTGAAATCAGGGGGAATCAGACATACAGACAATGTGACCGATGCCTGGATGGTTTCACTGGACTATCCTTCTGTCATAGAGCAAATCTTTCTTCAAAAGCTGAACTTGACCCAGTGTTTTTTTGTTGTTGTTTTTTTAATTATCCAACGATTAAATTTTGAAGAAAAACTTAAGTCTCCTCGCCGTCATCCAAATGACAGTACCTTTGGCAAAAGTACTGGCTACCCTATCCAACAATACTGGTATACCATTAAATATTGTTCAACTGACAATACAGATTTGACTTACAATAAGTATTTAGGTTCCAAATTAATAATGGGAAAAATAGTGACAGTGCTTCTTGATTTCCAACCACATTGTCACCTTGTTTCAACTGTAGATCTTCTGTAACAGATTGTCATTTTTTTCTGCAGTGCAATTTTAAGCTCCTGCATTAATTCAGAGTGAGTGAGTGAGTTTGGTTTTACGCCGCTTTTAGCAATATTCCAGCAATATCACGGCGGGGGACACAAGAAATGGGCTTCACACATTGTACCCATGTCAGGATTCGAACCTGGGTCTTCGGCGTGACGAGCGAACGCTTTAACCACTAGGCTACCCGACCGCCCCGTATTAATTCAGAGCTGGAGCATAATGATTGTACTGTCTACAACACCAAATCACACAAAGTCAATGTGGATTACTAATGTATGGGCTAGTTCAAATACAACAAGGATATCAAAGCACAAAGTTAAAGATTCTCCTGTATTATGATTGTCCATGCAAAATAAGTGTTTTTTATGTTTTTCATTTATTTATTGATTTATCTTAACGTTCAGGATGTTTTCAAAATCTGATTACTCAGTATCTTGTTACTTTGATGCTGTATTTTATGTCAGATAACGCACACATAACTGGACATTCATTACATATAATGCTGACTCGTCAATTATTTGAATGTTCAGATACCCGTGCGTTATCCTTAACATAATCAACTGCACAAATATTTCAAATATGTCATGTTTGGACTACTTGTTGGTTCGAGCTAATTCATTATTATTTGCCCGTGTTTATATGCATGCAGTATTAAGTTTGTTGAATTCAAATAGTATCTGAATGTTGCTTGTCTTAACAAGCTCGTACCTGAGGGCAAGACCGAAGCTAGATACCAATGCGTTGTCATTAGGGACAGAAATCTGAGAGTCGCAGAAGCTCACAATTGGCGCCGGTTGGACTTTTAGTGATCTGTCAAACAAAGAAACACATGTAACTTCTGGGCCCATTTGCACAAAGCGATCTTAGCGCTAAGACTATTGTAAGTCATGTTAAAGTATGGAAGTTTCGATCGTCTTAGCTCTAAGATCGCTTTGTGCAAGTGGGCCCAGGACAAAATAACAAACCATGAACCGCAGGTCCAAGCTGAGAGTGGGTCCTCCGGAATAATCCCCATTGTTTAGCAGTTGTTAGATATGTCAAGCTGTCTGTATCTTATGTTTCTCGTCTCATGCCAGTCGTAATTACCACCCTGCTTGAACATTCAAAACGTTTTAATATGAACCCATTCATCAGCTTAGCAAATTTCTCTTCGAAGAAGAGGAATAACTTGGTCAAAAGCTTTGTTTCTGTCTGAAAAACCTGGTTCTTTTTCCATTGTCAAAACACCAACACAAGCCATTGCAGTTCAAATATATCACAAAAATGTTCCAATCATGCACTATTTTTGCACATATCTCACAACAGACAATTTATCAGTTGAAATCTCATCCAAAAGATTTTCTTTTCATTTTCTTCCACTAGCCCAGTCCCTCTGGAGTCATTAGACAGCAGCCATAAGTCCAGAACAAAAGATTTCTGTCGTGTTACAGATCTCCAGATAAGCTGCGTATCTGCGTGAAATACGCAGCAGAAATGCAGAAATACACAGCAAAATATAATCCAAGCGTATCAAATACGCAACGAACATTACAGATACGCTACAAAAATAAAACTTGTGCGTATCATCAAAATATTGTGAAGTAACCCTGCGTATTCGATTAGCAAATCAGCAACTTATTTTGAAATTATAAACGGGCATTCCGTCAACCTTGCCAAACTCCATGATGACGGTTACATCATGATCATTTGCCATCACACTTTCTTGTGGAAGTATCGTGGTATTTTTGAGTCCTATAAAGCTCTCGAACCCACACGACACCAGTTTGCAGGGACTAGATGAATAGTGTTTTTAAATATTTAACTTAAATACCCACATGTGTAAAAACTAGTGGGTAACAGAATTTTGAATATGCAGATAGAATTACTGATACCCAATAATTTTAAAATGCATGGGTAAAATACCCACAACACCAAAAGCTTATCTGGAGCTCTGGTGTTAGAACAGCAAATCCTAGTTATACATGTAGACTAATATCTACAAAGTTATAGAATACAAAGACACTTATTTGGCTTGTAGGCATCAACTTGTTTGCCAGCGACTGAGACAGTGATATGGCTAGAGTATTGCGGACTGCAGTAACACACAAGATGTCTGGGCTATGAGCTTCTGCCCTCTCAAGTGTCAGTCTGTATTTATCATCTCACTCTGGCTGGCACAGGAGATCTATATCACTTGAGCCTCAGGGTTTTAAACTCTTATCAACTTGTGTTGTTAGGCTGAGACAAATAAAAGAATTGGTTCTCAAGCAATGACTTTTGAAAACATAGTGCAGGCGGTGCTTTTTTTTTGTTGCTTGTTCAAACTAGTCAGTAATAGCATGCTATGTTGGATCACATTGTTTTTAAGTATTAGGATTTTTAATTTTTTAGGAAAATGGAAATAAAAGTGAAACGTGCAGCAGACTTATGATGATGCTGGCGGAGCCTGAGAACCAAGACTATTATTTTTTTAGCCTTATATTTGATATGAAAAGACACTCGGGTGAGTTACTCTATATCCATTTGTGTTGATATATTTGGTATCTATAGACACTGAGGTGAGATTCTGTCCTGTCAGTGTGTACCTACACAGGGGTGCTGCGTGAGGTGGAGGGACAGAACTGGGGCTGGGGGGGCGTGGCGCCGGTCGTTGTGTTGGCGGGGCAGGCCAGGCCTCTCGAGGTACCATAACATCGGATATCCACACTCCGCCCTGCTCGTGTCAAACTGCAAGATCAGATTCAAACATGATTTGAACATTGTCAAGGAACAACCATGACATACTGAAGTAAACAAACGTAAGAAAAAATCGGCACAAACAGTGTTTTGGGACAGTAGGCATTCTCATGCTTGTAAACCCACTGCCACTTTTGCCTGTAGTATTGTAGGTACCATATTTTCTTAAGTATATTGCTATTTCACAGTAACCATAAGAGAGGTACTGACAGGTTTTATATTTGAATTGTTAGACATAGGTTTTGCAGTTGAATTTATAAACAACCTTTTAATATGCATCTATTGTTGATTTTTAACTGGTTGAATGTTTTTTCACATGAGTGAGAACATTGGGTTTAATGCCACTTTGAACAGTATTCCAGTAATATCACGACATATTCCTTAACGTGGGAGGAAAGCCTGAAGTGGTGCATGTCTTATACATTTATCACTTTCAGATGTTTACCGCTTTGGTAAAACCCACGAGCACAGGTATGGTACTGAAAAAATTAAAAACATAATCGGGCGAACTCGGATTCAAAGCCAGGATCCTAGATTTCTAGCATGCCCAAGAGACACAACTCTGTAGAGCAAATTGAACATTGTCAGCACTCAACATTGCCTCTTTCAGACGTGTACCACCTTGCTAAAACCTTTGAGTACAGGTATGGGGCTGACAGGCAAAGGATCACACTTGTCTAAAATGTGGGATTCAAACCCATGACAAGTGGATTCTGGCACAGGTAAGGGAGGTAACTCTGCATAGTGAGTTACGACCCCCTAAAACCTTTGTGACAGCTTTTGTTGCTAAGATAAATGAACCACTGCAGCCAAGATCAACAGGAATTTGTTTAATTTCTGTAACTTTTCATTAAATTAGAACAACATATGAATTATTTCCTTATTTTGACAAAGAAATAAAATAAATTAGTAATTAAGTGTGACAAACCAAACAGTGGTCACATGATACTTACGCAAAGGAGATGGCACTGGCAGAAGGGCCTCCTGGTGAGAAGGTGAGGGAGGCGAAGGTAACAGCCGTATAGCCTTGCCTGTTATCACTTGCTTCACAGCTGATGTCAACCTACAATCAGAATATGTGGGGCACGTTGCAAGCCACGAATCGCTTAGAGAAAGCAAATTAATAGCTCATCCCAGGGTCTGCAACAGTTCGAAGCGCTTGCACACTCTACCAAAATGGTGGCGCAAATACCACTTGGTTGCCATGACGTAATGAAGAACGTAATAGAAGAGGCTCGATGACGAGCTGATGAAGTTTATGACTACTTTGAAGATGTGGTGCGGACTGAGGATGATGTGGTGCTGCCTGTGTTCATTTCCTCGTTGATCCAGTCTAGTATTTCTTGTCCGGCTGTTAAAGTCTGCCGCCATTTTGGTTTGAGAACGAAGTGATCTCAGCCAGCGATTGTTTCGCTTGCAAGCGGTTGAAAGTTAGCGCACTGTTGCAAGGCGAATCGCTGTACATTGCTTGCATGCGATTGGCGCTTTGCAACGCACCCATACTCTCTACTCTTGAAGAGTTCAGTTTAACTTCATTCTGAACCGTATTCAGTTTTATCAAGACATACCAGCTGAACAAGCTTAAAGTCATGCACGTTGTATGCACTTATCACTTTCAGGGATATATCTAGTCCTGCTCACCAGCCGATATTCGGACCCAAGTGTGCGGCAAATGTGAGTCAAATTTCCCAAATTGGAATTAAACATTTCCCAGTTGATTCTGACATAGTTGTAACCAATGTTACGTCTCTGTAGATGTGACTTGATGTCACTGATAACAGGACCATTCATGAAGAAGAGGCTTTAATGCTTAGTTTCAATTTATTGCATTGAATGCAATGTTAAAATTCAAAGTTAAATTAATAAAATAAAGGAAAATAAGAACTTAAAATATCCAAATTTTGTACAAACTATTGATTTTTTCCACTTTGCCTTCACGGGCACTTAGTGTTCCTTCCTAGATAAATCCCTGACTCCTGAAACCCAGGACCACGGGTATGCTGCTGTCAAATTCAGAAATCTGAGATTCAGCAACAAGATGATAGCTTTTGTTTCTTTGTTGTTTAACGCCGCACTCAGCAATATTCCAGCTATATAACGGCGGTTTGGGATACGAAGACAAACATCAAGTCAGGGAGCCTAACAGCCCGATCCCGTTAGTTGCCTCTTACGACAAGCATAGTTGCCTCTTACGACAAGCATGGGTTGCTGAAGACTTATTCTGAGTGAGTGAGCTGGGTTTAACACCGCTTTTATTATAGTTCTAACAGTATTCCAGTTATATCTTGGCGTATCAGCTGAATGTGGGAGGAAAGCCTGAAGTGATGCAGGTCTTAGTCATTTACCACTTCGATGAAACTCACCAGGACAGGTATGGTGCTGGCACCGGGATTTGAACCCACAATCATAGGTTTCTGGCATGCCCAAGGGATGCAACTCTGCACAGCGAATTGCAGCACCTTAAACGACTAGGCCACCTGTCCCCCCGCGGTACTTTAAGAAGACGGGGCCCTCTGTGCCCCCAATTGCTTCATATTCACATAGTTAAAAACAATCACATATGCAAGATTTGATCAAGAGATGAAAAACCTACCGTATCTCTCAGAGCTACATCTGTCGCAGGGTCGGCCAGATCAGTTATTTGGATGATGATTGACAGATTTTGTCGACCTCTATTTAGATTGAAAGCATATGCTGTTGTATTTGTAGGGTCTCCTATATAAACTGTGCCAATTTCTGAAAACAAAATATCAATGGTTCAACAACAGTGATGAGAGGTCAATCTTTCAGTTTCAAATTCCAAATATATTACGCTACCAGTTGTATTACAAAAAAATTGTCATGGTTTTACCTACAAAATGCCTATAACAACTCTCTACACATACAGTGAGTTCAGCACATGCTCATAAATATATATCATGTACTTAAATATCCTCTTGTGGATACATGCTACTTAGAATATCATGACTTAGGAATAACTGTTTATGTTTGAATGGCATGTGATTACTGGTTACAAGCTTGTGCTGTAACAATATTTTTGACAATTTCAATTTTTTACTGCTAAGGTTTAATGGTTTTAGTTGGGATGGTTTAACATATTATGAAAAGAGTATAAACATAAAACAGATAGATTGGGCCTAATATGTCTATTTTGTAACATATAACGTATCAAGTTATAATTGACATCTAACTGTTACCAAAAAAAACCCCACAACATTTGTGTGATTTTGTAAACATCTAGCATCTGGAATTAAGCAGGTCTAGACATGATTTTGAGATAAATGTACGGTGTATGTCTGTCAGTATCAATTATCAGAACATGCACTTATGAATGTGACTTTATAAACATTTACGATTAATATTACTTTCATGTAATAAGAAAAAGTCTATTGCACAAAAACATTTGGGAGACGTGCAGGTGCATGTTTGTAAATCTCGTACACAATAATGCACGTTTCAATCTGAAGCAGCAAACACACCTTGACACGAGCACATGTCAGCAAATAAAATGGCGGCTATGACATAAATCAATTTTGTTAGTGATTCCATATTGAAATTCTTGCATATTTCATATACTGATCACGAAATCAGTTCATGTATCCGAACGCACAGAAGAAATTCTTAAACTTTCCGCCATTGTTTACGTGTTCCTAAGAGACGATGTAAAACACTACGCGATTGGTTGAGCGTATTCATTTTATGGTTGTCGTAAATTTACAGTTATCAACCACAATTCCTTTGTAATTAGATCACCATATCGAAAAAGAGGAGTTTAGTGTGTGGTTGAAACGTTCCGTGAAATAAATATGTTCTAACAACACAAAAACCCTTGTGGAATCACACAAACGACAATCGAAAAAAAATCGTTCGGCTACAAGTTACCGGACTCATCCTATATTATTACAGTCAGTCTTCGTCCATTCATCATTTATAGTATTTCTTTTACACCTCGTTTGAAACTATGGCCTAGCTGTCTGTAGTAAGTGAATATGCTATTACGCCGCTTTGGTCAATATTCCAGCAATATCACGGCGGAGGACACCACAAATAGGCTTCACACATAGTACCCATGGGGGGAATCGAGCTTGAACTCGTTACTTGTATTTGTTAGTAGTAAGAAGGAATATTTGTCATTTATCTTCATTGCCCCTATCTCAACCGTATACGTCATCTCCTGGCAAGGGAGATAACTGACTGTAAAAGTCCAGTTTCCATCCATGCCCAACTGGGTTATAGCGAAAACGGCACCTCGGCAAAACGTCACCGGGCGAAAACGGCACCGATTGGCGAAAACGGCACCTCGACTCAAGCGAAAACGGCTACTGTGGCCTGGCGAAAACGGCACCTTATTTTTTCTTTTACCTTGGTCAAATAAGTGCTATTAAACTTATATGGTAACTTAATTGCAAACACCAATAATTGTGAGATGCTAAAACTAGGCTGGAATTTCTGGGCTCCATCGTAGCGCCATCAGTGACCAGTGTCACCTCCTTTTAACCAATCAGACTCCACCTCTCAAAACACTTGCGTTTGCTTCAAACAGAATGGCGGTGCCCAGTAATGACGATCAGATCGATAACAATGAAGGTCTATACTGTAATAAAACGGGTCTTACTTCGCATATTGCATCAAATCACGTGAGCACCTTGATTGAAAACAAGAAAAGATTTGGAAAATATCCGTTGGCGGTACACATGCTTTGCAAATCCTGCAATCGACCGAAATCTGCACCGCTGTTAACGAACCTGATGTCGATTTCGTTACGCTCTTTAGATTGGACTGAACATAGACTCGTTATTCCAGCCAAAATACAATTCCGTAATTCCAGCCTTGTTCGGCAGGGGTACCATAGTTCCCCTAGCAATCACATGAGGATGTTCTTCTTTTAACAGCTTTTATTCACATTTTGTGTAGAGATCCAACCCACTCTATGTGTCACTTAATTAGAGACTTCGGCCGCAAAGCTTCACTCTCAGTCGAAATGCTGGTGCCTGAGATTGGTTTCAGGTTCGAAAGAATTCGAAAAGAAGAGGGGGGGGGGGGGGGGGGGGGGGGGGGGGGGCGCACCAGACTGCCTATCTTGGGGTCCGCTCCGGGTTCCTACATCGCAACAGTCATCATTATCGTTACGACTGGTCGGTAACCTTTCCCCTTGCAATAGACTATTCCGCCCCCAAGTCTTTCTTACCCCGATCTTTTATTTGGCTCTCTGTTGGGTGGATTCCACCGTTTCCAGGAATTTTGACCTCCCCTCCCAAGACCATTAAATTTATGTTTTATTTGTAGACTGCCCTATTTCCGACAGTTCGGATGCTATTTCTAAACCTTATAACTCCTATCATGATATGTGATAGTTCCGTTGGCCCGAGTCCCACTTATGCCCTCACTTCAGACCACTGTATGCCTACTCAACAATGTTACCAAATTATATTATAATTCGTAATATATTCCCTCTTATTTTCATGGATCAATGATTTAAACTTACAACTAATTATCTAAATATATATTATAATGTCACGCCTATAGTATAATTAGCCACCTGCAGTCTGTATCTGAGACCATGTAGTCGTTCGGTCTTTAATGTTGAACAAGGTGTCGGCAAACCTATACTAATCACATGGTGCCAAGAGAGTGGGACGACTGCGTGTCGTCAAGTACATTGTAACTCCTTTCCTTCGGTTTTATCCTACGGAGAAGGGTTTTAAATATCATAAAAACCTGAAGACAAGTGTTTTATATAACGTATCAACCGAAAAGGGGACACGGGTGGCCCAGTCGTCTAAGACGCCGCGATTCGCTGTGCAGAGTTGCGTCCCTTGGGCACGATTGTGGGTTCGAATCCCGGTTCGCCCCGATTATGTTTCTAGGTTTGTCAGCACCATACCCATGCTCGTGGGTTTCACCGAAGTGGTAAACGTCTGAGACCTGCATCACTTGGAGCTTTTCTCCCACATTAAGCTGACACGCCGTGATATAACTGGAATACTGTTAAAACGGCGTTAAACCAAACTCACTCACTATAACCCGAAAAAAGAAACTTAAAACATCAACATTTTTATGTTCAAACACACTTTCCATGAACCTTAGGAAGCGGGCGTAAAATATCTGCTGCTGGTGTACGGTACTTGATAGAGACATTCTTAAAAGCATTGTGATTCATCAGCGCCTCCGTAGCCCACTGGTGCACTCACTGGACTGCAGATACCAAGGTCGATCCTCGTTCACGACAAGCTCTCCATGTCATGTCGTGTAAGAGAGAAAATGTTACACCTTGATCTTACGTTTCCAATATGTATGATTGAAATAACACATAACAAAAATGACAAGCAAAAGTGATTTAATTATTAAAAAAACCATGCTCATGTTGTCAATCACTGGATTTTCTGGTCCAGACTCTAGATGATTAACAGTCATATAGCTTTGATATTGCTTAGTGCGGGGTAAAACGACAAAGGAAATTACGAACTTTATCTGATACCACTGGGGTTGTGAAACTGGGGTTATAAAAATGGGGATGCACATTCAAGACATTCCAAACCTCTTTGGAAAGAAAAATGTTACATGCATTTAATTTTGAGGGTGGCAAGAAACAAATCTTATATAAAAATGGGGGGTGGGGCGGGATATCTGCAAAATATGATACAGTCCCAAGGTTAATCTCTATTTGAAATTACCATTACTAATTTCCTTTCTGCTATTACTTTGACTGCCTGTTAATAACACACACACACATTGTACTATATAGAATTAAAAGGCTTCTTTGTTTACCATGTTACTTCCCGAGTAACTCATGAAATGTAGCTTTCTAGTACCGCAAGTCTGAGAAAGTACGATTTTCTCAATTCACATTATCCTACGATCATGCCACAGGAACTCGTTATTGGTCAGTAAATAGAAATATATACCCGCTATATGTCAGTAGAGACTTACATGTAGGGGGCATATATTTTAATTTAACGACCAATGACGAGTTCCTGTGGATCATACTCCTATTTACACGTGCTGAAACATTATTGTCCGGATTTTAAATTGCGAGATTGTCCAATCAGAAACAGTGTTACAAAATAGCAACAGCGCCCTCTGTAAACATGTGCTTGTAATTTCCCCAGTGTTTTTGAGAATTTATCCAAATTTAAATCTGTCAAAATGTGTGAAGTGACGAAAAGCAACTTTGAAAATTATTTGCCTCTTATAGAGAAGTCTGTAAAGCAAGCAGATTTCATTGGTATGAGAGTTTTTTTTGTGGAAAACGCCAAAGCAATACTCAACAGAAGCATGATGTTTATTTCAGCAATCGTATATCTTGGTATCAAGCTAAACCACATTGTTTACAAATATGCAGACACACTGAAGCAAATGAAGAAACATCGCTCACAGTGACATATATACTAGAACACAGACCATAAACTGTTTCACACGCGATTCGCAAGAAATATTTACTCGTCAGACATATATATATGTAAAATATAACCTCAATTCTTAGACAACAATACCAGAATAGCCAACAAATTATTGGGGTGGCGCCGGGGTGGGAGGATTTGTCTTAGGACTGTATCATAGTTTGATGACACCCCTCCCCTCCCCATTTTATGTAACCAGTTTTCATGGCTCCTCCCGAAATACATGTAACATTTCCTCCATACCTACCTATATTAAATTTAATTTGTAATTGTTTTATTTGGAAGAATAGAACTGTGTCATGTTATCATGCCCACCTATATTATACCATAGCATTGATATACAGCTGTCTTTGTGTGATCAAGTTATGTCTTCCACTTCAGCTATTGACACAGAATTCACAGGCTTGACTGTGAATGACAGCATGAAATACAGGTATGTCTTCACCTTGTTCTCTTCCCAGGCTAGTCAGGCCTTGCAACTCATGCTTGTCCCAGTAGAAAGCCCATGTGACTATGATAAATGTCAGTAACCCACACGACACAGAGACCACAAGTGGGGATTCAGTGGTCACAATGGTGGCTCAATGTGGAAAATACTTGGCTAGTCTTGACTGGACAAAAACCCAACATTCGCCTGCGAGTGTGTGAATGTTGTTTTAAGCCAAATCAGAAATATTAGTCTGGACCACAAAATCTAGTGACAGTATTGATCCTCGCCATTTCAGTACGTTGACATGCCAACTCTTATAAGTGAGTGAGTGAGTATGGTTTTACGCCGCTTTATTTATTTACCCTAGTGGTTAAAGCATTTCCTCGTCATGCCAAAAACCCGGTTTCGATTCCCGACATTGTTGCAATGTGTGAGGCCCATTTCTGGTGTCCCCTGCCGTGATATTGCTGGAATATTGCTAAAAGCCTCGTAAAATGGAACTCACTAACTTACTCGCTAAAAGCGAACTTGTTACTGGAAAGACAGTATGTTAAGTTTTCAATAGATATTTTTCAAATTTATCATATTTCATCCATGGAATAATGTGAGTGGTACAAGCTGTACAAGGTTATGATTCTTATGTTGAAATTGGTTTCTGAATGATCTTTGTATTTGGTTGTTTCAGTTTGTTTGACAGCGGAGGAGACAGATACAGGAAGCTGAGAAGTAGCATATCCCAGTTGACTGTGTGTCAGATAGGTAGGTACATAGTAGCATCTCCCAGTTGACTGTGTGTCAGATAGGTAGGTACATAGTAGCATCACCCAGTTGACTGTGTGTCAGATAGGTAGGTACATAGTAGGATCTCCCAGTTGACTGTGTGTCAGATAGGTGGGTACATAGTAGTATCTCCCAGTTGACTGTGTGTCAGATAGGTGGGTACATAGTAGTATCTCCCAGTTGACTGTGTGTCAGATAGGTAGGTACATAGTAGTATCTCCCAGTTGACTGTGTGTCAGATAGGTGGGTACATAGTAGTATCTCCCAGTTGACTGTGTGTCAGATAGGTAGGTACCTAGTAGGATCACCCAGTTGACTGTGTGTCAGATAGGTAGGTACAGAGTAGCATCTCCCAGTTGACTGTGTGTCAGACAGGTGGGTACCTAGTAGCATCTCCCAGTTGACTGTGTGTCAGATAGGTGGGTACATAGTAGCATCACCCAGTTGACTGTGTGTCAGATAGGTAGGTACATAGTAGCATCTCCCAGTTGACTGTGTGTCAGATAGGTAGGTACATAGTAGTATCTCCCAGTTGACTGTGTGTCAGATAGGTAGGTACAGAGTAGCATCTCCCAGTTGACTGTGTGTCAGATAGGTGGGTACATAGTAGCATCACCCAGTTGACTGTGTGTCAGATAGGTAGGTACATAGTAGTATCTCCCAGTTGACTGTGTGTCAGATAGGTAGGTACAGAGTAGTATCTCCCAGTTGACTGTGTGTCAGACAGGTAGGTACATAGTAGCATCTCCCAGTTGACTGTGTGTCAGATAGGTAGGTACATAGTAGCATCACCCAGTTGACTGTGTGTCAGACAGGTGGGTACATAGTAGCATCTCCCAGTTGACTGTGTGTCAGACAGGTGGGTACATAGTAGCATCTCCCAGTTGACTGTGTGTCAGATAGGTGGGTACATAGTAGCATCACCCAGTTGACTGTGTGTCAGACAGGTGGGTACAGAGTAGCATCTCCCAGTTGACTGTGTGTCAGACAGGTGGGTACATAGTAGCATCACCCAGTTGACTGTGTGTCAGATAGGTAGGTACAGAGTAGCATCTCCCAGTTGACTGTGTGTCAGATAGGTAGGTACCTAGTAGCATCTCCCAGTTGACTGTGTGTCAGATAGGTAGGTACATAGTAGTATCTCCCAGTTGACTGTGTGTCAGATAGGTGGGTACATAGTAGTATCTCCCAGTTGACTGTATGTCAGATAGGTAGGTACATAGTAGTATCTCCCAGTTGACTGTGTGTCAGATAGGTGGGTACATAGTAGGATCTCCCAGTTGACTGTGTGTCAGACAGGTAGGTACATAGTAGTATCTCCCAGTTGACTGTGTGTCAGATAGGAAGGTACATAGTAGCATCTCCCAGTTGACTGTGTGTCAGATAGGTAGGTACATAGTACGATCACCCAGTTGACTGTGTGTCAGATAGGTAGGTACATAGTAGCATATCCCAGTTGACTGTGTGTCAGATAGGTAGGTACATAGTAGGATCTCCCAGTTGACTGTGTGTCAGATAGGTGGGTACATAGTAGTATCTCCCAGTTGACTGTGTGTCAGATAGGTAGGTACATGGTAGCATATCCCAGTTGACTGTGTGTCAGGTAGGTAGGTACATAGTAGGATCTCCCAGTTGACTGTGTGTCAGACAGGTAGGTACATAGTAGTATCTCCCAGTTGACTGTGTGTCAGATAGGTAGGTACATAGTAGGATCTCCCAGTTGACTGTGTGTCAGACAGGTAGGTACATAGTAGGATCTCCCAGTTGACTGTGTGTCAGACAGGTAGGTACATAGTAGCATCTACCAGTTGACTGTGTGTCAGATAGGTAGGTACATAGTAACATCTCCCAGTTGACTGTGTGTCAGATAGGTAGGTACATAGTAGGATCTCCCAGTTGACTGTGTGTCAGACAGGTAGGTACATAGTAGGATCTCCCAGTTGACTGTGTGTCAGATAGGTGGGTACATAGTAACATCTCCCAGTTGACTGTGTGTCAGATAGGTGGGTACATAGTAGTATCTCCCAGTTGACTGTGTGTCAGATAGGTAGGTACATAGTAGGATCTCCCAGTTGACTGTGTGTCAAATAGGTGGGTACATAGTAGCATCTCCCAGTTGACTGTGTGTCAGACAGGTAGGTACATAGTAGTATCTCCCAGTTGACTGTGTGTCAGAGAGGTAGGTACATAGTAGTATCTCCCAGTTGACTGTGTCAGATAGGTGGGTACGTAGTATCTCCCAGTTGACTGTGTGTCAGATAGGTAGGTACATAGTAGGATCTCCCAGTTGACTGTGTCAGATAGGTAGGTACCTAGTAGGATCACCCAGTTGACTGTGTGTCAGATAGGTAGGTACATAGTAGCATATCCCAGTTGACTGTGTGTCAGATAGGTGGGTACATAGTAGGATCTCCCAGGTGACTGTGTGTCAGATAGGTAGGTACATAGTAGTATCTCCCAGTTGACTGTGTGTCAGATAGGTAGGTACATAGTAGCATCTTCCAGTTGACTGTGTGTCAGATAGGTAGGTACATAGTAGGATCTCCCAGTTGACTGTGTGTCAGATAGGTGGGTACATAGTAGCATCTCCCAGTTGACTGTGTGTCAGATAGGTGGGTACATAGTAGGATCTCCCAGTTGACTGTGTCAGATAGGTAGGTACAGAGTAGGATCTCCCAGTTGACTGTGTGTCAGATAGGTGGGTACAGAGTAGTATCTCCCAGTTGACTGTATGTCAGATAGGTAGGTACATAGAAGTATCTCCCAGTTGACTGTGTCAGATAGGTAGGTACATAGTAACATCTCCCAGTTGACTGTGTGTCAGATAGGTAGGTACATAGTAGTATCTCCCAGTTGACTGTGTGTCAGATAGGTGGGTACAGAGTAGTATCTCCCAGTTGACTGTGTGTCAGATAGGTAGGTACATAGTAGCATCTCCCAGTTGACTGTGTGTCAGATAGGTGGGTACATAGTAGCATCTCCCAGTTGACTGTATGTCAGATAGGTAGGTACATAGTAGCATCTCCCAGTTGACTGTATGTCAGATAGATGGGTACATAGTAGTATCTCCCAGTTGACTGTGTGTCAGATAGGTAGGTACATAGTAGCATCTCCCAGTTGACTGTGTGTCAGATAGGTGGGTACATAGTAGCATCTCCCAGTTGACTGTGTGTCAGATAGGTAGGTACATAGTAGCATCTTCCAGTTGACTGTGTGTCAGATAGGTAGGTACATAGTAGGATCTCCCAGTTGACTGTGTGTCAGATAGGGGGGTACATAGTAGCATCTCCCAGTTGACTGTGTGTCAGATAGGTGGGTACATAGTAGGATCTCCCAGTTGACTGTGTCAGATAGGTAGGTACATAGTAGGATCTCCCAGTTGACTGTGTGTCAGATAGGTAGGTACATAGTAGGATCTCCCAGTTGACTGTGTGTCAGAAAGGTGGGTACATAGTAGCATCTCCCAGTTGACCGTGTGTCAGATAGGTGGGTACATAGTAGGATCTCCCAGTTGACTGTGTCAGATAGGTGGGTACATAGTAGTATCTCCCAGTTGACTGTGTGTCAGATAGGTAGGTACCTAGTAGGATCACCCAGTTGACTGTGTGTCAGATAGGTGGGTACATAGTAGCATCTCCCAGTTGACTGTGTGTCAGATAGGTGGGTACATAGTAGCATCTCCCAGTTGACTGTGTGTCAGATAGGTAGGTACCTAGTAGCATATCCCAGTTGACTGTGTGTCAGATAGGTGGGTACCTAGTAGCATCACCCAGTTGACTGTGTGTCAGATAGGTGGGTACATAGTAGCATCTCCCAGTTGACTGTGTGTCAGATAGGTAGGTACATAGTTGCATCTCCTAGTTGACTGTGTGTCAGATAGGTAGGTACATAGTAGCATCTCCCAGTTGACTGTGTGTCAGATAGGTAGGTACCTAGTAGCATCTCCCAGTTGACTGTGTGTCAGATAGGTAGGTACCTAGTAGCATATCCCAGTTGACTGTGTGTCAGATAGGTAGGTACATAGTAGCATCACCCAGTTGACTGTGTGTCGGATAGGTGGGTACCTAGTAGCATCACCCAGTTGACTGTGTGTCAGATAGGTGGGTACATAGTAGCATCTCCCAGTTGACTGTGTGTCAGAAAGGTAGGTACCTAGTAGCATCACCCAGTTGACTGTGTGTCAGATAGGTAGGTACCTAGTAGCATCACCCAGTTGACTGTGTGTCAGATAGGTGGGTACATAGTAGCATCTCCCAGTTGACTGTGTGTCAGATAGGTAGGTACCTAGTAGCATCACCCAGTTGACTGTGTGTCAGATAGGTGGGTACATAGTAGCATGTCCCAGTTGACTGTGTGTCAGATAGGTGGGTACATAGTAGCATCTCCCAGTTGACTGTGTGTCAGATAGGTAGGTACATAGTTGCATCTCCAAGTTGACTGTGTGTCAGATAGGTAGGTACCTAGTAGCATATCCCAGTTGACTGTTTGTCAGATAGGTGGGTACATAGTAGCATCACCCAGTTGACTGTGTGTCAGATAGGTAGGTACATAGTAGCATCTCCCAGTTGACTGTGTGTCAGATAGGTAGGTACCTAGTAGCATATCCCAGTTGACTGTTTGTCAGATAGGTAGGTACATAGTAGCATCTCCCAGTTGACTGTGTGTCAGATAGGTAGGTACCTAGTAGCATCACCCAGTTGACTGTGTGTCAGATAGGTGGGTACATAGTAGTATCTCCCAGTTGACTGTGTGTCAGATAGGTAGGTACATAGTAGCATATCCCAGTTGACTGTGTGTCAGATAGGTAGGTACATGGTGTGTATGTTTGGAGTCACTGAGATTCCGTGCAATGTTTTCAAATAAATACTCACTCAGACACAGTATTTCGAGCACCAGACAAAGTAATAACAAGTACTATCTCTTAACGTCTTTTGATATGACGCAGCCAGGAATTGAACCCCGATCTTATGCTCTCTGAGCATCGTGACACCTACTCCAGTTGCTTATCAGTGTTTTCATATTGCAGGTGTGTCTGCCTTTGTGAAGCAGGGCACAGAGAACAGGTGAGGATATCATGCAGTCATGGGGGCATACGAGGTGTCAGGTCACACAAGGTGTCAGGGTACACAAGGTGTTAGAGCATACGAGGTGTCCGGACATGCAAGGTGTCAGGGGCAACAAGGTGTCAGGGGACACAAGGTGTCAGGGCATACAAGGTGTCAGGGCATACAAGGTGTCAGGGGACACAAGGTGTCAGGGCAAACAAGGTGTCAGGGCATACAAGGTGTCAGGGGACACAAGGTGTCAGGGGACACGAGGCGTTAGAGCATACAAGGTGTCAGGGGACACAAGGTGTCAGGGGCAACAAGGTGTCAGGGCATACAAGGTGTCAGGGGACACAAGGTGTCAGGGTACACAAGGTGTTAGAGCATACGAGGTGTCAGGGCATGCAAGGTGTCAGGGGCAACAAGGTGTCAGGGGACACAAGGTGTCAGGGCACACAAGGTGACAGGGCACACAAGTTGTCAGGTCACACGAGGTGTCAGGGCACACAAGGTGTCAGGGGCAACAAGGTGTCAGGGCATACAAGGTGTCAGGGGACACAAGTTGCAGGGCATGCAAGGTGTCAGGGCATACAAGGTGTCAGGGGACACAAGGTGTCAGGGCATGCAAGGTGTCAGGGCACACAAGGTGTCAGGGCATGCAAGGTGTCAGGGCACACAAGGTGTCAGGGTACACAAGGTGTCAGGTCACACGAGGTGTCAGGGTACACAAGGTGTCAGGGTACACGAGGTGTCAGGTCACACAATGTGTTAGGGCACACAAGGTGTCAGGGAACACGAGGTATCAGGGCATACAAGGTGTCAGGGTACACAAGGTGTCAGGGTACACAAGGTGTCAGGGCACACAAGGTGTCAGGTCACACAAGGTGTCAGGGTACACAAGGTGTCAGGTCACTCGAGGTGTCAGGGCACACAAGTTGTCAGAGCACACAAGGAAGCACTCAGAAAACGAACTTAATGACCAGTTCCTATTTAAATAATTTAAGGCAGCACCATTCTATTTTAGTCACAATGTCGATTCCGACAACTATGCCTTTTCCATCCAAAGGGTAGTTCCATTGAGGAAATGTTTGCGTAATCTGTGTTGTTATCTTTTGTTGAAACTTTAAATTATCATCAAAGTTGTGAATTAATGAAGGCAAATCATTTTAGAAAGCTGACATCTGATTGGCTCAACAACTCATGCAGCCTTCATTTACTTTGGGCAGTCGGCGTTTCCTCTGGTGTCCCTGATCCCCAGTTCCGGGAGGTGCTGTCAGATTGTCATGTTGACAGGTATTGTGTCGGAGTGAATGAGGTGATGTTAATGAGATGGAAATTGACAAGTGTTTTATTTTGTTCTCACTAGGTACTCGGTTCGCACATTCAACTTCCATCTGTTTCCCCGATCGTTTGGGCCTCACGATCCTCGCTTCCTGATCCAAGTAAGACGGTTTGCTGAAGTCTTTTTGTGATTACTTGATTCATAGAATTGTAGCTCTCAAGAGCTTTCATATATTTCATGGTGTCAAAACTGTTACATTTCCTACATCTCTGAAGACCCGTTAAGAACCGGGTAAGAACAGGTCTTCAGCAACCCATTGCCGGAACAGGCGACCATGCTTGTTGTAAGAGGCGACTAACGGGATCGGGTGGTCAGGCTCGCTGACTTGGTTGATGCATGTCATCGCTTCCCAATTGCATAGATCAATGCTCATGATAACAATCACTGGATTGTCTGGTCCAGACTTGATTATTTGCAGACCGCTGTCACATAGCTGGAACGTTGCTGAGTGCGGCGTTAAAAAACAAACAAACAAACAAACAACATCTCTACCATGAAGCTGATGTGCCAGCTGTTAGACAACTAAAGCTTGTATCGTGATGCTTTCCCGTGTAAACGTGTATAAAAGTTAATATCTCAAGACGGACACTTCTATCATTGAGTGGTGAAGTGGTCTTTTCTTGGGGATTACTGCATTAGACCAGTGTTTCCGCAGAGTTTGAAACTACCAGTCCTGGTGGACTGGCAACTCTAAATTTTTGTCAGTCCCAACTTTCAACAAATAAAAAAACGCATGAAAAATACCTGGTTTTAATTCTTTCAACATGTTCAATGCCTTGACGTCATCTCTGAAGTAACTGAAGTTAGTTCTACACACAAAGTTCAGTCACAAGTTTCTTTTATTTCTGAATATTTCGAGGGTAAGTCACTACAAATATATATTTAACCTCGAAGCAAAGCAAAATGTTACTTCCTTGCACTAAAAATAGACAAGGGGAACCCTGATGAATTCAGACAAGCTGACTTTGTTTGAAACATATAATATCGCCAAGGTTTTGTTCGACAACACAGATTTATAAGGTACTTTATTTGCCGGTCCCAGGGACTGGCAGTCACATGAATTCCGGTCCAAGCCTAAATTGCCTAGATTTACTCGTAAAAACTGGTAATTACCTGTAAACGGGAACACTGCAGTAAACTGGGAACGCAATAATACAACCTCACACTTTATATCCTCACACCCACGGGAACTGGAACTTGTCGTAAGAGACAACTTATTGGATCAGGTGGTCTGACTCAGTGACTTGGCATGGAACGTTGCTCATAACGTCAATCACAGTCTTGCTGAGTTAAACGTTAAGCAGCTACAAACAAACTTTAACTGATCCCAGTTGTCTTCCCTTCGGCTTGTCTACAGTTGATATGTTTTTCTTTCTTTTTGCAGTCATCATGTGTTGAATTTTTATGCAGATACAACTTTGACTTTCAAGCCGTGAGTGTTATTGTTCTTGTGTACAGGGAATGAGTGAGTATGGTTTTACGCCGCTTTTAGCAATATTCAAGCAAAATAACGGTGGGGGACACCAGAAATGGGCTTCACACATTGTACCCATGTCGGGAATTGAAACCCATGTGATGAGCGAACACTTTACAACACTTAAAAACCTTGTACATCACCTTGAGGGTATTTACAATACTATACAACCTTGTATAGTGTTGTATGTTTCCCCCAGACATGCCAGATGATGTACAAGGGTGTATAGTGTTGTATATCCCCCAGATGATGTACAAGGATGTATAGTGTTGTATATCCCCACAGATGATGTACAAGGTTGTATAGTGTTGTATATCCCCACAGATGATGTACAAGGTTGTATAGTGTTGTATATCCCCACAGATGATGTACAAGGTTGTATAGTGTTGTATATCCCCACAGATGATGTACAAGGGTGTATAGTGTTGTATATCCCCACAGATGATGTACAAGGTTGTATATCCCCCCAGATGATGTACAAGGTTGTATAGTGTTGTATATCCCCCAGATGATGTACAAGGGTGTATAGTGTTGTATATCCCCACAGATGATGTACAAGGATGTATAGTGTTGTATATCCCCACAGATGATGTACAAGGTTGTATAGTGTTGTATAGTGTTGTATATCCCCACAGATGATGTACAAGGTTGTATAGTGTTGTATATCCCCCAGATGATGTACAAGGATGTATAGTGTTGTATATCCCCACAGATGATGTACAAGGATGTATAGTGTTGTATATCCCCACAGATGATGTACAAGGATGTATAGTGTTGTATATCCCCACAGATGATGTACAAGGTTGTATAGTGTTGTATAGTGTTGTATATCCCCACAGATGATGTACAAGGTTGTATAGTGTTGTATATCCCCCAGATGATGTATAAAGGTGTATAGTGTTGTATATCCCCCAGATGATGTACAAGGTTGTATAGTGTTGTATATCCCCACAGATGATGTACAAGGTTGTATAGTGTTGTATATCCCCACAGATGATGTACAAGGTTGTATAGTGTTGTATATCCCCCCAGATGATGTACAAGGATGTATAGTGTTGTATATCCCCACAGATGATGTACAAGGTTGTATAGTGTTGTATATCCCCCCAGATGATGTACAAGGTTGTATAGTGTTGTATATCCCCCAAGATGATGTATAAGGGTGTATTCTGTTGTATGTTTCTCTAGATGATGAACAAGGTTGTATAGTGTTGTATATCCCCACAGATGATGTACAAGGTTGTATAGTGTTGTATATCCCCACAGATGATGTACAAGGGTGTATAGTGTTGTATATCCCCACAGATGATGTACAAGGTTGTATATCCCCCCAGATGATGTACAAGGTTGTATAGTGTTGTATATCCCCCAGATGATGTACAAGGATGTATAGTGTTGTATATCCCCACAGATGATGTACAAGGATGTATAGTGTTGTATATCCCCACAGATGATGTACAAGGTTGTATAGTGTTGTATAGTGTTGTATATGCCCACAGATGATGTACAAGGTTGTATAGTGTTGTATATCCCCCAGATGATGTACAAGGATGTATAGTGTTGTATATCCCCACAGATGATGTACAAGGATGTATAGTGTTGTATATCCCCACAGATGATGTACAAGGATGTATAGTGTTGTATATCCCCACAGATGATGTACAAGGTTGTATAGTGATGTATAGTGTTGTATATCCCCACAGATGATGTACAAGGTTGTATAGTGTTGTATATCCCCCAGATGATGTATAAAGGTGTATAGTGTTGTATATCCCCCAGATGCCGACAAGGTTGTATAGTGTTGTATATCCCCACAGATGATGTACAAGGTTGTATAGTGTTGTATATCCCCACAGATGATGTACAAGGTTGTATAGTGTTGTATATCCCCCCAGATGATGTACAAGGATGTATAGTGTTGTATATCCCCACAGATGATGTACAAGGTTGTATAGTGTTGTATATCCCCCCAGATGATGTACAAGGTTGTATAGTGTTGTATATCCCCCAAGATGATGTATAAGGGTGTATTCTGTTGTATGTTTCTCTAGATGATGAACAAGGTTGTATAGTGTTGTATATCCCCACAGATGATGTACAAGGTTGTATAGTGTTGTATATCCCCACAGATGATGTATAAGGGTGTATTCTGTTGTATATCCCCCAAGATGATGTACAAGGTTGTATAGTGTTGTATATCCCAACAGATGATGTACAAGGGTGTATTCTGTTGTATATCCCCCAAGATGATGTACAAGGTTGTATAGTGTTGTATATCCCCACAGATGATGTACAAGGTTGTATAGTGTTGTATGTTTCCCCAGATGATGTACAAGGTTGTATAGTGTTGTATGTTTCCCCAGATGATGTACAAGGTTGTATAGTGTTGTATGTTTCCCCAGATGATGTACATGGTTGTATAATGTTGTATATCCCCACAGATGATGTATAAGGGTGTATTGTGTTGTATATCCCCCAAGATGATGTACAAGGTTGTATAGTGTTGTATATCTCTCCAAGATGATGTACAAGGTTGTATAGTGTGGCATGTTTCTCCAGATGATGTACAAGGGTGTATCATGCTGTATATTTCAACCAGATGATGTACAAGGGTGTATGATGCTGTATATTTCAACCAGATGATGTACAAGGGTGTATGATGCTGTATATTTCCCCCAGATGATGTACAAGGGTGTATCATTCCTGAATAACAGCCAGGAGGACCTGATCAGAGAACATCTCAGCAAGAAGCTGTTGTTCCAGGGACTCAGTAGGTAGGTAGCCTCCTCACGCAGCATGGCACTCTAGGGGTTCCTTGTTCCAGGGACTCAGTAGGTAGGTAGCCTCCTCATGCAGCATGGCACTCTAGGGGTTCCTTGTTCCAGGGACTCAGTAGGTAGGTAACCTCCTCATGCAGCATGGCACTCTAGGGGTTCCTTGTTCCAGGGACTCAGTAGGAAGGTAGTCTCCTCATGCAGTATGGCACTCTGGGGGTTCCTTGTTCCAGGGACTCAGTAGGTAGCCTCATCATGCAGCATGGCACTCTGGGGGTTCCTTGTTCCAGGGACTCAGTAGGTAGGTAGCCCTCTCATGCAGCATGGTACTCTGGGGTTCCTTGTTCCAGGGACTCAGTAGGTAGGTAGCCTTCTCACGCACCATGGCACTCTAGGGGTTCCTTGTTCCAGGGACTCAGTAGGTAGGTAGCCTTCTCACGCACCATGGCACTCTAGGGGTTCCTTGTTCCAGGGACTCAGTAGGTAGGTAGCCTCCTCATGCAGCATGGCACTCTGGGGGTTCCTTGTTCCAGGGACTCAGTAGGTAGGTAGCCTCCTCATGCAGCATGGCACTCTAGGGGTTCCTTGTTCCAGGGACTCCGTAGGTAGGTAGCCTCCCCATGCAGCATGGCACTCTAGGGGTTCCTTGTTCCAGGGACTCAGTAGGTAGGTAGCCCTCTCATGCAGCATGGCACTCTGGGGTTCCTTGTTCCAGGGACTCCGTAGGTAGGTAGCCTCCTCATGCAGCATGGCACTCTAGGTGTTCCTTGTTCCAGGGACTCAGTAGTTAGGTAGCCCTCTCATGCAGCATGGCACTCTAGGGGTTCCTTGTTCCAGGGCCTTAGTAGATAGGTAGCCACCTTATGCAGCATGGCACTCTGGGGGTTCCTTGTTCCAGGGACTCAGTAGATAGGTAGCCTCCTCATGCAGCATGGCACTCTAGGGGTTCCTTGTTCCAGGGACTCCGTAGGTAGGTAGCCTCCCCATGCAGCATGGCACTCTAGGGGTTCCTTGTTCCAGGGACTCAGTAGGTAGGTAGCCTCCCCATGCAGCATGGCACTCTAGGGGTTCCTCACTTGAGTTTTGTGCTGCATTCACCAATATTTCAGTAATGTTTATTCAATTCTGAAGTGCCTGTATAGGTAATGCGACTTTACGCAGTGAATTGTAGCACCTTAGATGACTGGGCCACCTGCCAGTCCCAAACAAATTCTGCGGTAAACTTGTCCAAATTCTGCAGTAAATTTACCAAATTTCTGCAGCTAAAATTAAAACATTCTGCAGTAAAATTATAACCATACTCCCCAAAATGATAATACAAAATCTTAATGCAATTTTTTCTTTAAAATTTTTAATCTTTTGCATTTCAAGACATTAAATTATGCAAATACATATGCATTCATGTAGGATATCTATTTATGGTTCAGAGCTCCAGATAAGCTGCGTATCTGCGTAAAATACGCATCAGAAATGCAGAAATACGCAGTAAGATAAATTCAAAGTGTATCAAATACGCAATGAACATTACAGATACGCTACAAAAATAAAACTTGTGCGTATCATCAAAATATTGTGAAGTAACCCTGCATTTTCGATTAGCAAATCAGCAACTTATTTTGAAATTATAAACGGGCATTCCGTCAACCTTGCCAAACTCCACGATGACAGTTACATCATGATCATTTGCCATCACACTTTCTTGTGGAAGTATCGTGGTATTTTTGAGTCCTATAAAGCTCTCAAACCCACACGACACCAGTTTGCAGGGACTAGAGGAATAGGGTTTTTTAATATGTAACTTAAATACCCACATGTGTAAAAACTAGTGGGTAACTGAAATTTGAATACCCAGATAGAATTACCGATACCCAATGATTTTAAAATGCATGGGTAAAATACCCACAACACCAAAAGCTTATCTGGAGCTCTGTGGTTAGATGAAATACATGGTTTATGTAGTCGTAATACCACAAGAACTCACAAAAGTGGGTATTCATTAAATGTTTGGGAATCACTCAAGCCTAAATTCAGTGCAAAAGCTTGAAGATAACGACAATTAGTGTATTGATTGATAAAAAAAGGCAAATTCCTATATTTTTCTGCAATTCTGCAGTAAGTTACATTTTCTGCAATCTTTCCATGATCATAAAATCGCAGAATTCTTCTGAGACTGACCTGGGGTTACGGGTGGCCCAGTCGTCTAAGGCGCCGCGATTCGCTGTGCAGAGTTGCGTCCCTTGGGCACGCCAGAAACCTATGATTGTGGGTTCGAATCCCGGTTCGCCCCGATTATGTTTCTAGGTTTGTCAGCACCATACCCGTGCTCGTGGGTTTCACCGAAGTGGTAAACGTCTTAGACCTGCATCACTTCGGGCTTTCCTCCCACATTAAGCTGACACGCCGTGATATAACTGGAATAATGTTAAAAGCGGCGTTAAACCCAACTCACTCACTCACTCACTCACTGAGACTGACCTGTGCCAAAATTACCCCTTTTAAACAAGAACCCACAAGAGGGCAAAACCTAGAATCATAATCAGATCAAACCTTCTCTAGTGCAATGCAGTAAAGCCAGCGTGGGTAAATTACTTTACTTTAGTCTGATTTTGTCTGGTTTACATTTCTGTAACGACACCTCTAGCAATACGCTGCTCAATTCCTGATGTTGATTGTAAAGGGAGGTGGATGAGAGGGTTCTTCAGCAACTCTGTTCACAAGTGGCGGAGAAGTTTGTCACAGTGAAGGAGGGAGACATGTTTGTGGTCCACAAAACTGAAGGTGAGTAGGGAGGGCTCATTGTTTAGAAATTGATGTACTCAGAGGTGAGTTGGGAGGGCATATTGTTTAGAAAGTGATGTACTTGGGGGTGAGATGGGAGGGTTCATTGTTTGGAAAATCATGTCTTCGGGGATGAGCAGGGAGGTCTCATTGTATGGAAAATCATGTACTCGGGGGTGAGCAGGGAGGTCTCATTGTATGGAAAATCATGTACTCGGGGGTGAGCAGGGAGGTCTCATTGTATGGAAAATCATGTACTCGGGGGTGAGCAGGGAGGTCTCATTGGCTCATTGAAATATGGAGAGGCTACTGTTTACTGCTGGATATTATAAATGTGCATGTCTGACTAATCCAATTGAACTCACAGATTGTTGCTTTATCAGACAAATTTGCAGACTACAGTATTAGTGGAAATGTAATCGTTGCAATCACAGAAAACACAGAATTGGTTTTCCAAGCTTTTACATTTCATGTCTGCGACTTGAGAATATGGATATTTGTCAGACACAATGGATTCATTCTAATAATTTGTCCAGTATGAAATTATATAGAAAATAAACATAGTTTAATAAATGTTTTTTATTAGAATATGTATCTTCATCAAAGATAGTTCCATATCCTTAGCATGCGTTGATTATTTTGTAATATTGTTTGTAGCTGTGATTGAATATGCCTAAGGCTAAAAAAAAAAAAAAGTCTTGGTTCTCAGACACCACCCGCATCATCATAAAGTCTGCCGCACGTTTTGTTTCTATTTCCATCCCCCCCCCAAGAAATCCTTAATACTTAAAAACAATGCGATCCAATATGGCACACAGTTACTTCCCTTTACATGTGCACCACCAAGCTCCTCACAGCGATAGTACGTTCCCGGAGCTCTCTATACTATCTCTGCCACCAGTCAAAACTCCCCACTGTGAATAGGTGGCCACAACCGTGCTTGGAGTTGAACTCGCAACCGAATGACCGTTATGTTTACAAACAAGTGACGACTGTCATGACGCCAAATACACTTACCCCTGCTAAATTACTTTCTTTGTAGGTCAATTTGAATTTCTATTTCATTAAATCTATCATGTCATTGATATGGTAAGAATGTAAGGGAGAAGTTGGTTGATTTTCCGTTAGTCTGCAATCTCGAACCAATCTGATTATCAAAACAACAAAGTAAATTCATCTGGAAAACATGGTCAGTCGTAAACCTTTTCAAATTAAAATATGATGGCATTCTCACAGACATAAACAAAAGTATAAACGTTACTACATATGGGGTTGGAGGGCAAATTTCAAGATTCTTGTAATGGCCGCGCCCACACTGGTGGCAGCGATGTTACCGAGAGTGTAACGATGGTGTCACGCGCTGGGAAGGAGCTTGGTGCACCACTGCGCATCACGTGTTATGGCCATGGCGGCAACAGGAATCTGTGTGCTTGTTTATGTAGGGAGGCCCTTTCACAGGTTGATGGTACACAACTGTTTATTTGGTTACACACTAGTTTGAACAAGCAAAAAAATAAAACCACCATGTTTTCAAAAGTCATTGTCTGGGAACAAATTCTTTCCTTTTTTTAAGCCTAATGTAGCCATGTTGTTTTTATTGAAACCAGCCACAACCTGATGTCTGAACCAAAGTAGGGTGTTGACATCACTTAAGTTGACCTGCTCCTGTTTGTGGTGGCTTGTGGTCGTGTGTACAGCGCACGGGTCATTATGTCTGCACCAAAGTAGCGTGATGACATCACTTGAGTTGACCTGCTCCTGTTTGTGGTGGCTTGTGGTCGTGTGAACAGCGCACAGGTCATGATGTCTGAACCAAAGTAGCGTGATGACATCACTTGAGTCGACCTGCTCCTGTTTGTGGTGGCTTGTGGTCGTGTGTACAGCGCACGGGTCATGATGTCTGAACCAAAGTAGCGTGATGACATCACTTGAGTCGACCTGCTCCTGTTTGTGGTGGCTTGTGGTCGTGTGAACAGCGCACAGGTCATGATGTCTGAACCAAAGTAGCGTGATGACATCACTTGAGTCGACCTGCTCCTGTTTGTGGTGGCTTGTGGTCGTGTGTACAGCGCACAGGTCATGATGTCTTAACCAAAGTAGCGTGATGACATCACTTGAGTCGACCTGCTCCTGTTTGTGGTGGCTTGTGGTCGTGTGTACAGCACACGGGTCACAAATCAGAGAAAAGTTAAGCAGTGTTGGTCACGGAGAGTCCTTGGATGGGTGACCGTGTTTCGGCAGCTTGGCTCCTGTGAGTTTCTAGGGCTTCGGTCCAGCCCTACACTGAAGCAGATGTACAACATGTGGTGTCTCCTTGGGCAAATGACTTTGTTCGAAATGTGCCTCTGTTCACCCAGCAGGAAGTGGGTACCCGGTAGGATGAGATGGTAATGTGGGGGTTAACATTCTAGAGCTTAACAGGCAGCTTAGGTTGTATTCTCCCCAGGGAGCTGAGAATGATTCTTGAGTGCACACTGATCCAGTAATAATAACACTTTGAGAATGCCGCTGAGTGGTGTGGAAATATGGGCCAAATGAATGGTCTATTGTTATTCCCCAGAGGTCCAGAGTATCAGCGACTATGTTCTCCACAACGAGATCCGAAGCCGCTTCCCTGCAGTGTGGACGTCCACCGACTCCATGGGTAATGTACGTACCCTGTTACGAGATTATTTTCAACTTGAAATGCAGAAGTTAACTCAGAATACACACAGCACTACATTGTGAAATCCGCAAATGCTACCAAGAGTATAATGAAGGTGTCGTGCTTTGGGAAGGAGCTTGCTATGTCCATGTACAAGGGCAGATAACTCTACTTCTCGTACAAAACCATTATGGTAAGCTCAACCCACTGCTGTTGGCTGCTCCTCAACTCTGGCCATGACAGCACTTGATATGATTTATCAGTAGATGAATCATTTGCTACCACCGACAATTACTACACATATAATTACCATGATTACATCAGTGTCGGCCTCCACTAGTGTTACCGCCTTATGCTTGTCGTAAGAGGCGACTATGCTTGTCGTAAGAGGCGACTATGTTTGTCGTAAGAGGCGACTATGCTTGTCATAAGAGGCGACTATGTTTGTCGTAAGAGGCGACTATGCTTGTCATAAGAGGCGACTATGCTTGTCGTAAGAGGCGACTATGCTTGTCGTAAGAGGCGACTATGCTTGTTGTAAGAGGCGACTTTGCTTGTCGTAAGAGGCGACTATGCTTGTCGTAAGAGGCGACTATGCTTGTTGTAAGAGGTGACTAACAAGATCCAGTGGTCATGTGAGAGAAGAGGCATTAGGGTCAACTGGTCTTTGCCTGTGTCCAGTGTTTGAAGATAGTATTGTTGTTGATGATGCAGTTGGTGGTGGAGGTGGTGACGTCAGAGAAGAGGCGCCAACTAGATGAGGACAGCCAGGAGAGTCGAGAACAGCAGCAGTAGGTGACTTGGTTAAACTCCAGGATGTGATATGTATGTCATAGGGCTGGGACAGGTAACTCGGGTACCCAGGTCGGGCGGGTACTGAGTAGGACCCGGGTACCCACAGGACTACCTGGACCCGTGGTTAGTCACGTGATATATTGCTTAATGACAAAAATTATCTAGAACTCTATGGTTACACTACAAGTCACAAATGTTCACATTTCTATGCACCCATTCCTTCTGACTTTTCATATGGTTGAATAAAGATATATCTTGAGTCGACTTCAGTGTATGAATGACCAGTTTGTTTAATACATGTCGGACATTTTGTACCTCTTGAGACCTACTTTGGGTAATAGGGGGGTGGGTACCCGGGTAGTAAATTCGGACTCTTCCCTGCCCTAGTATGTGAGTGCTGGACAGGCTTGCATCTTAAACGCTGGTAAATATCAGAGATTATTACCCAAGTGTGTTTGTATCATCAATAATATTAGGAATAAAAATTGTATTATGCAAGTCTTTTGTGAGCATATTACATGTTTGTTTGTGACACTGTATGATCCTTGTGATATGTTAGGACACAAGGGTAAACATCTGATATCATTCAGCGTCATTCTGAAAGTAAAATTGACGTTTAAGACATATTTTCATTCTATGAAGTAGCTTCAGAAACTGTGTATGAATACAATGCCTGCGTGAACTGCCCCATTCATTATACAGTTCCCTAAAATCAACAGCCATGTTTGTTTATTTAAGCCCTCTGGAAACCTCCACCTAAACATTTGGGGGGGGGGGGGGGCACGGGTGGCCCAGTCTTCTAAGGCCCTGCGATTCGCTGTGCAGAGTTGCGTTCCTTGGGCACGCCAGAAACCTATGATTGTGGGTTCAAATCTCGGTTAGCCCCGATTATGTTTCTAGGTTTGTCAGCACCATACCCGTGCTCATGGGTTTCACCGATTCACCGAAGTGGTAAACGCCTGAGACCCACATCACTTAGGGCTTTCCTCCCACATTAAGCTGACACTCCGCGATATAACTGTAATACTGTTAAAAGCGGCGTTAAACCCAACTCACTCACTAAACATTTTGGGAACATAAGTCTGTAGATTTTAAACAAGTAGGCCTCGCATTGAAGCACGGGACTTGTCGGGGATCAAATATCAGTTTGCTGTATACCTTCTACTAATGATATATGTTGTATATTTGTTGTAGAGAGTTTGTTATACACATACATTTTATGTAATAATATATAGGAGATAAATTGGGGATTTTGTAACATATCTGTCTGTTTGCTCTATCAGCAATAGAAATTGGCACTAGTCCGATTCCGTTCTATCCCTGTTCTGTATGTCAGTATTGCTGACTCAGCACCATTCACCCACCCATCATCCTGCTCCAGATTCATCTTCTCCATCTCCATTCATTCACCTCAGACAGTGGTGTTAATGGCACTTTTGTTTCAGGTTGTTAAAGACACTTCTTGGGTTTACGCAAGTCTTCAGGATTTTGACTGAGTACAAAAAGGTAGACATGAACATTTTTTGAGAACTTATGCCTAAAATGTTATCGGGGTAGTGATATTTGGGTACAGCAAATTATAAATACTGGTAAAGTATAAATTTTTTGGCTTAAGGGAGCTCAACACAAGAAACAAATTTGTTCACTGGGCGTCCTGGAGGTGCTGACAAGTCATGTTTTGTGAAATATCACAAAAAAATTGTTAGGCTTCTTTCAGAGAAAAATATTATGTGCCTTGAAGCAGTGAATGAAAATATGTTCTGTCTTTAACAAATATACCAGGCCACCACAAAGAGTATTACAATGTCGGTGTTTGATGATGCTCCTTAACTTCCTGTGAACTATGACAACAATTGTGCAGAGTTATGCCCCTTTGATGGGCCAGGATGTACTGGTCATTGAAATATATCCCAGATTTTCCCTGATTAAGTTTATTGTTATATCAGCCATCTTGTAAGTTGTTACGCCAAAGTGACAAATGACTACGATAATGTCACACTGACCTCAAGTCAGGGCATATGTGAAATACTGTTAAAGGCGTTTACCCCACTCACTCACTCACTCACTCACTCACTCACTCGCTCACTCGTTCACTCACTCACTCACTCACTCACTCACTCACTCACTCACTCACTCACTCACTCACTCACTCACTCACTCACTCTGTGTTTGCAGCCGCTGGTAGGACACAACATGTTGATGGACCTGATGTTCATGTATGACAAGTTCTTCCAGCCCTTACCACGTGAGTAGGTAGCATGTACAGCGATTGGGAATGAGACACTTTTTATTCCCCGTTAAGTAAACAACAAGTCAAAAATATCATGTCGGACATTTTAATTAGACTAAAGACAGAAACACAAACCTTCCTTGCCACACTGACCAAATCGCCCCAAAATTGATATGTTTCTATATATTCAACGAAAGTGAATAATTGACCACTTTCTGTTATAAAGTGGATAATGGAAGTTCAATCTAATATTAGCAAAAGCAATCTCCTGACTGGAGCTCTGCGGACGTCTTCATCCCACAACGAATAAATGTCAACTCAAACATGTTACTCCGTTCAACGTAGTGGTCCGTCACATCACCATGACACGCACGATATTTTACAAAAGAAAGAAAAGAACATGCGCAACAGGTGTGTTTGGGCGAGCACTTCCATATTAATCGAGTGTATTTGGATGAGCTATACCAAACCCAACCAAGAACAATTGTTTCCTTTTGTTCAGCGATAGAAACTAACATTTTCAGTCCACTCGTCCTTGTAATATCAATGGCAAATTTCTACTAGTCCTTATGATACCTTAACTATTGGGCAGTTTGGCAAGGACTACAGGACGAATGCCAATTTCTACCACTGATGTACACACAGTGAAACACTGCACAGCTTTGTCTATGTTTCCATACCAAGGGTCCTTAGGCACTTTGGGAAAATCAATATTTTGTTCAAAATAAGGATTTTATTTTTGAAGTTCTTATTTTCCTAAATTCAGAGGTATTTTAACATTGTACAGTCATGCCCCGGTTATACGGACTTCAGATATCCGGAAACCTCGGTTCCCGGACGATTTTCATTCAAAACAAAATAATTACTATATAAATTTACCCATATATACGGAAATTCAGTTTCCGGAACCGGATGGTCATTTTCATACACAAAACACTGAAATGCACACAAAATTGTCTCACTTACCCAGACAATACACTTCCGCTGGTGGTAATCCTTTGATTCGTGAGAAGTCAATTAACCAAGTGACACGGAGTTACGTTTGAGACGAGCTTGTTTATTGTACATGTATGAGTATGGCCTGTCAACCAGCCAAACGTAAGCGACACGCAGTTACAGCACGCGAAAAAAGGGAAATTTGTCTGTTTAAGGAAAAACACCCGTCAGCAAGTTTGGAAACCATCAGCAAGCATTATGACACTGAATTTGGACATACCATAGGAAAATCGACAATTGGTGACATTTTAAAGACAAACAGAAGTGGCTTAATCTCCCGGAAAATTCAAATGATCCCGTGTAGCAAAACACCAGAAGATGGAAGATGCATTATATCTTTGGTTGTGTGACATGACAAGTCGTAATGTGCCCGTTAATGATGAAATGCATGACAGATTTTTTGAAACGTGTATGTCTTGAATAAAGTTTGAGTGGTTGTATCTGTTTGCTCTGTCATCTGTCATGAGTTGCATAATTGAAGGGAAGTAACTCTTCCAGTAAGAAGCTGGTTTCAGTTATACGGAAATTCATTTATACGTACGAATTGTGAAATGATGCAAGTGTCCGTATAAACGAGGCATGACTGTACTTGACATTGCATACAGTGCAATATTGTAAAACTAAGCTTTCAGCCGTTTCCTCCATATTGGTCCTGTTATAAGTGATATGCAGGTCACCTCTCCATCAATCTCACTAAAATCAGACTTTAGTTCTCGCTACCGCTAAACAAAGATCTGAGGACATCCCATTTCAGGTCACGTCAGACCGACCTTGGGCGAACTTTGACTGACCAATAGAATGACCAATCAGAAGGCAGCTTTCTCGTGCTTTACGACACTAATTTCAAATTGGCGACTACTTCGAAACATATTTTGACAAATTCTCGATTACAAATTTGAAACCTAAACAAAAGAACATTCTGGAATGGCTAATAGATGGTCTAGATTGTATGGAATCAGTCGTTAAACCTGTAACTATTGTTTGGAATACCCCATGTTAAAGTTTTCGAGGTTGTATGATTAGAAATCACATTACAACTGTCACTTTCATGATCTGGTAGGCGATGCTCTGATTGTTCGGTTGAAAGGTCGTTCTGACGTGACCCCTAATGGGATGTCTTCAGATCTTTGTTTAGCAGTAGCGAGAACTAAGGTCTGATTTTAATGATGATGATGATGATGATGTTGATGATTTAATTGATAATTGCAGGTAATTTACATACAGAAAAATTCATGTTATGATTAATTGAATCAAATTATGTTCAACACCTTATCAACGCAAAACAGAGAATGCGTGGCCACTAAACTCAGGAATTCAAGTTTTGGGGGTTGGGGGTGGGAGGGTATGTCTCAAAACTTAAGGAATTCAATTTTTTATCTGACATCAAACTTGATGAACTGGTCCCTAAGTAGTGTGTCTGAATTGTACGTATGAATCTTATGTAGTTATGAAAGCTGATTGATTTTCCTGACACAGAACTCAACATCCTAATTGTAGTTCTGTGTTTGTTCTCTGAATAAGATCTTATAAGCATGCTGCATCAAATATAGTGCAATCCAAAATCATTTTTCAGAAACTGTTTGGCTGGTGGTTTGAGTTCAAATCCCAGATTAAACCCTTATTATGATCCTTGGTTTGTCAGCACCAAGATTCTCAAAATCGAGAACCTGGTTCCTTGGGATGTTTTCTTGAAGCAGCTGATATGCAATGATATGACTTAACTTTTGTTCAAAGTGTCGTTAAGCCCAACTCACTCACTCAACCTTTAAGAGCACTGGTCTGGATCAACCTCGAGGTGCGAAGTGTGGATATGTTTAATATCTTAATACATCAGCAGCATTGTTAATTGCAGCCAAATACCAGGACTTCAAGAACAGCTTACATCAGCTTTTTCCTCAGATCTACGACACTAAACATTTGGTCTTCGTTTTGAGAAAGGTAAGATCATGTTTCTTGTTTTTGTTTGTTGTTTATCACCGTACACAGCAATATTACAGCTATATGACGGCGGTCTGTACATAATCGAGTCTGGACCAGACGATCCAGTAACTGACATCATGAGCATCAATCCACGCAATTGGGATACGATGACATGCATCAACCAAGTCAGCGAGTCTGACCACCCGATCCTGTAAGTCGCCGTTTACGACAAGCATTGTCTCCTTTTACGACCAGCATGGGCTGTTGAAGACCTATTGTACCCCGGATCTTCACGGTTCAGTAACGTTATGACAATATTAGTGATTGATAATTGTTTAACCATGCATCAGTAATCTTGTTCATGGTGATGTGACAGAAATGTATGTCTGTCTTGCTATTTTTCTGAAACAATTGTCAAACATTGTGTTTACCAGAGTGAGAGTTTTGTAAATCCAATATGGCACACATACAATATGATAATTATCAACGCTTCATATAGTGAAGGTGGAATACACATAGAGGAAAGTTTTGTGTATGTAGAAGATATTGTTAAAAGTGGCATCAAACTAGACCCACTCACTCACTCTGTATATACTCACCGCCAATGGAAACATGAACCATAGAAACATATAGAGAAGTACCGTATTCGACGTAATAAGCACCCAGGGCGCTCTCAAAATTAGAAACAGGGGGCTCTTATTAGAATATTATTTTGGTGAAAAAAAACAAAGTTGAAAGATAAACTTCGTGGTTTATGCTGACAGCCTGAATTGTTTATGTACGACAGATATATTTTTCCAGAATTTGATTGCCCAAAATTAAGGGTGCATATAACACACGAGTACGTATTATACGCGAACAAATAAGTCTTGTGTACACTGATTAATCGGAAGGGTGCCAATTGGGATTGTTCACTAGCCAATATATTAAAAAATATCGCCGTGGGCGCTTATTAGAGCAGGGCGCTTATTACGTCGAATACGGTAAGTACGTTAAGAAGAGATGTTTCAAGTGTGTACCACTTAATGACAAAACTAACAATCAGTCAAGGGTTACCACAGACAAATGCATGAGACAAATGATGCATCTCGAGTCATACACAACATACCAGTACGTTCGTTGTACATTGAATAGCTCTTGAATGTAAGCAAGTCTTTACATGTTAACCAACATGTAAGGTATTCGTGTTTCCTTTGGCGGTGAGTACATATTCAGTGCTGGACACGTACCAATGTAGGGAATAGAACCCAGGCCTTCAGTGGGAAGAGTCAACGCTTTAACCACTAGACTATCCCATCAAACGATGTTACTTACACATGTTTGACCTTGTGTGTGCTTCCAGGATGGCCTCTTTGAAATAAATCAGCACCATTAAATTTCTGTTTGTTTCAGACATTGGAAGACAAAACTTTGGTTGAATCAACCTCCCTGCAAAGTCTGTACACTGCCCTAGATAGGTACAACATACTTTATGTGTTATATATGCAAGGGCTACATGATGTTTTATGCGTCCTGCATTAGGTTTTATACCACGAGCAGGAGGCAAGTGGAGTTTAACCTAACAAGGGATACATAAAACCCCATTTACCCCGAGTGATCCTGCTACAATGAATTTGTCTTACCGAAATGTTTTAATCTGCTGTTGTGAAAGAATAAAAACAAATTCAAAATTGATAGAAAACAGCTGTTCGATTGTGCTGAGGTTAACTTGTGCTATGTCACATGACTTTCATTGACTCGGGAAAAAGCGTGCAGCTTTTTGTTTTGAAGCTGGGTAAGGGATTTTTTCTTCCACTGAGAAATCCACATGCCGCCTGTTTTCTTCGTGGCGGGGTATAAGGGATTTATTCTACTCACAAGCGGGATAATCATATTTTATCAAGATCCCGTGAATCATTCAGATCTCATCATTCTGACATGGAGGTATGATAAATGTGTTTGTTGAGGGTCGGAATGTGACTGAATTTGATTGATTTGGTGACTGATGTGATTGATATGGTGACTGATGTGATCGATATGGTGACTGATGTGATCGATATGGTGACTGATGTGATCGATATGGTGAGAGATGTGATCGATATGGTGACTGATGTGATCGATATGGTGACTGATGTGATCGATTTGGTGAGAGATGTGATTGATATGGTGACTGATGTGATCGATATGGTGAGAGATGTGATTGATCTGGTGACTGATGTGATCGATATGGTGAGAGATGTGATCGATATGGTGACTGATGTGATCGATATGGTGACTGATGTGATCGATTTGGTGAGAGATGTGATCGATATGGTGACTGATGTGATCGATTTGGTGAGAGATGTGATCGATATGGTGACTGATGTGATCGATTTGGTGAGAGATGTGATCGATATGGTGAGAGATGTGATCGATATAGTGAGAGATGTGATCGATATGGTGACTGATGTGATTGATATGGTGACTGATGTGATTGATATGGTGAGAGATGTGATCGCTATGGTGACTGATGTGATTGATATGGTGACTGATGTGATCGATGTGACTGATGTGATCGATATGGTGAGAGATGTGATCGATATGGTGAGAGATGTGATCGATATGGTGAGAGATGTGATCGATATGGTGACTGATGTGATCGATATGGTGAGAGATGTGATCGATATGGTGAGAGATGTGATCGATCTGGTGAGAGATGTGATCGATATGGTGACTGATGTGATCGATATGGTGACTGATGTGATCGATATGGTGACTGATGTGATCGATATGGTGACTGATGTGATCGATATGGTGAGAGATGTGATCGATATGGTGACTGATGTGATCGATATGGTGACTGATGTGATCGATGTGACTGATGTGATCGATATGGTGACTGATGTGATCGATATGGTGACTGATGTGATCGATGTGACTGATGTGATCGATATGGTGAGAGATGTGATCGATATGGTGACTGATGTGATCGATATGGTGAGAGATGTGATCGATATGGTGACTGATGTGATCGATATGGTGACTGATGTGATCGATATGGTGAGAGATGTGATCGATATGGTGACTGATGTGATCGATATGGTGAGAGATGTGATCGATATGGTGACTGATGTGATCGATATGGTGACTGATGTGATCGATGTGACTGATGTGATCGATATGGTGACTGATGTGATCGATATGGTGACTGATGTGATCGATATGGTGACTGATGTGATCGATGTGACTGATGTGATCGATATGGTGAGAGATGTGATCGATATGGTGACTGATGTGATCGATATGGTGAGAGATGTGATCGATATGGTGACTGATGTGATCGATATGGTGACTGATGTGATCGATATGGTGAGAGATGTGATCGATATGGTGACTGATGTGATCGATATGGTGAGAGATGTGATCGATATGGTGACTGATGTGATCGATATGGTGACTGATGTGATCGATGTGACTGATGTGATCGATATGGTGAGAGATGTGATCGATATGGTGAGAGATGTGATCGATATGGTGACTGATGTGATCGATATGGTGACTGATGTGATCGATATGGTGAGAGATGATGTCGATATGGTGACTGATGTGATCGATATGGTGAGAGATGTGATCGATATGGTGAGAGATGTGATCGATATGGTGAGAGATGTGATCCATATGGTGACTGATGTGATCGATATGGTGAGAGATGATGTCGATATGGTGACTGATGTGATCGATGTGGTGAGAGATGTGATCGATCTGGTGATTGCTTTGGCTGCAGATGGATCTGATGTGGTGACCAAGTTAGTGTTCGATGTTACCAGTGTGACCAGTAGCTTCCTGTTTTTCCAAGTGTAATATGTACTCTGAATTTGGAGACGAAACACTTGATCTGTCAGTGGGCTACTACACAGACAATGTGACTGTAAACTAGTCTTGTTTCAATAACGATGACACATAAAAAAGGAGAAAGTTTTCTAAAATGTCATGGAAATGTTTTGTTTGTATATCATCATTTGATGAAGTTTGTCATCCAGATAATCGTATATTTGTTTAGGGATGTTTACTACATAGAGTTATGACAATTGTAATACTGAGGTCACTTAGTGATATGGAGACCTGATTCCAGAAACAAACAATCCCACCGTAACAGTTGTGTTTGTTTCCAACAGCACTCAGGGCAAGCAAAAGGTTCTCTTCTCTCCGGAAATAGAACACGGCGCTGGATACGACCGATACCGTGAGTTGACATGATCATTCATTTGGGCAACATCTTTACCGTATTCACCATCAATAATAGTTACTTGGTAATTATATACACCTCTTTGCAAAACAAAAAATACCATCTGAAATAATACATAGTTTTGGTCATAGGAGGGAGTGCTTATGAAGATTACTTACAGATTGGCCTAGAAGTTGGTTGGGAGGCGCTTAATATGGTGAATACGGTACTGTTACCTAATCTCCAAGACCCAAGTAGAAAGGTCCCCAGCACTTTGACACTTGTTGCAATAGGCGACTCAAGGGGATGGGGTGGTCAGGTTCATTTACCAGGTTGATAACAACAGGCAGGCAGGGTAACAACAAGTACCATCTTTTAACATGTTTTGGTATGGCGCGGCCAGGGATCAAACCTTGTACCTTCTGCTCACCTGACAGACGCTACAAACGTAATCTCCATGGTGATGTCCGCTTCAGCAATGTTCAGTGTAACCGTAATTGATACAGACAGAGATCATCCATGCACTCTTCCTGTTACCATGACAACATCCCTGTGTGGATTCTTGGTTCGAAGCAGTCCCCAGGTTGTGGTTTCACCATACCTTATAGTGAAACAATACAGTAGTCGGGATATGAAATGATTTCGATGACAGCGGGAGAGAGAAAGACCATGTGCAGCATGCAGCAACTGAAGTCTTGACATGTAAGATTGAACACCCTTCATCACCTGCCGGTTTGGCTCGGTGGGAAGACAGTGAGGAAAGTAAACATGATATGTGAGGTTGCAGGTTTGAATCACCTCATGGAATTTTCATGTGAAAGATATTCTGACTTTTAAGAATCAACATTAGAAGCATATCTAATGGATGTTTATACAGTTCAACTGTAAAACCAAGCTATTACCATTCAAATGTAAAACCTCCTGGCAGGTCTAATTGGAAAGTAGTACCTCTCACAAGGCTATTCTGAGCAAGATAACTTCTATAAAGGTAACACTAGTTTTCAGGGCATTATCATTTACAGAAGCAATTTACTGAAACATTTCACATTTGAAACATTTACTGCAATCAACACACAACGAATGTCACTGACCCACTTTTATAAATTTGGAAATGTCATAGAACAAACCAGATGATGTCACTGTTGAACATCAGTATGACGTCGCCTAACAATTGGTGTGATAATGTTCCGTCGTCAAGCAATATGAGGGCAGTACCAATATGAGTTGAATATCAGTATGAATATTGTTTACAGTATTACAGGTAGTGTGATGGGCCTGTTTGTCCCAAATGATGTGTGATGGTCTGTTTCCAGGTGGTCAGTTTGTGCCCCACGAAGCAGGTTTTGATGCCTACCAGTGTGGATATGGTGAGTTGGATGTAGATGTGTCTCCTAGTTCACCTTGACCAGTGTGGATATGGTGAGTTGGATGTAGATGTGTCTCCTAGTTCACCTTGTCCAGTGTGGATATGGTGAGTTGGATGTAGATGTGTCTCCTAGTTCACCTTGACCAGTGTGGATATGGTGAGTTGGATGTAGATGTGTCTCCTAGTTCACCTTGACCAGTGTGGATATGGTGAGTTGGATGTAGATACATCTCCTAGTTCACCTTGACCAGTGTGGATATGGTGAGTTTGATATAGATACATCTCCTAGTTCACCTTGTCCAGTGTGGATATGGTGAGTTGGATGTAGATGTGTCTCCTAGTTCACCTTGACCAGTGTGGATATGGTGAGTTGGATATAGATACATCTCCTAGTTCACCATGACCAGTGTGGATATGGTGAGTTGGATGTAGATGTGTCGTCCTAGTTCACCTTGACCAGTGTGGATATGGTGAGTTGGATGTAGATACAACTCCTAGTTCACCTTGACCAGTGTGGATATGGTGAGTTGGATGTAGATGTGTCTCCTAGTTCACCTTTTCCAGTTTGGATATGGTGAGTTGGATATAGATGTGTCTCCTAGTTCACCTTGTCCAGTGTTGATATGGTGAGTTGGATGTAGATACACTCCTAGTTCACCTTGTCCAGTGTGGATATGGTGAGTTGGATGTAGATGTGTATCCTAGTTCACCTTGACCAGTGTGGATATGGTGAGTTGGATATAGATACATCTCCTAGTTCACCTTGTCCAGTGTGGATATGGTGAGTTGGATGTAGATGTGTCTCCTAGTTCACCTTGTCCAGTGTAAATATGGTGAGTTGGATATAGATGTGTATTCTAGTTTACCTTGACCAGTGTCGATATGGTGAGTTGGATGTAGATACATCTCCTAGTTCACCTTGTCCAGTGTGGATATGGTGAGTTGGATGAAGATGTGTATCCCAGTTCACCTTGTCCAGTGTGGATATGGTGAGTTGGATGTAGATACATCTCCTAGTTCACCTTGTCCAGTGTGGATATGGTGAGTTGGATGTAAATAAGTCTCCTAGTTCACCTTGACCAATGTGGATATGCAGTTCGAATCTAGTATTTTTTCTAAAGGATCAGTGAAATTATATGAATTGATGTCTCGTGGTTTAGTCTTATCCTGGAAATGAACAAACTGTACAACCTTTGAAATCAATGATAGATCGAGTCTCAATGCCATGATATAGTTGGAATATTGCCCACAAACAATATTCACTCTCCTACTCTCAAATAAGCTATTAATGACACTGTACTTGGAGTGTATCTGGATGTCTTTTTGTTTCAGTGTTCCTGAGATTAGCACACATTATTACACTTAAAGAAGTCAGGTGAGCTAGTTAATTTTGAAGTTTACTTATCATATAGCCTTATTACATGAAGTTTTGCATTGTTTAAAGTCTCTTTGTAAAGTTTTTCCATATATTCTTACAGAAATATATTTCATCTTCACACTCAATTAACTTTAGATTTTGTAATGACTACAGAGAATGGTGATTATTATTTCAAATCCTACTACCCTCATTACATAGATCCATAGATTCACTGCCAAACTTGTACTGGTCGTAAGTGGACTCAGTGACCTGATTGCCATTGTACCCAAACAGCCTGGATCACTGTTCACAATATGAGTCACTGGTTTGTCTGGTCCAGACTGGATGATTCACAGGCCTCTGCCATACAGTTGGAATAGAGTGGTGTAAAACAACAAACAAACAAAACTAAAGTTGTTAAAAATGTCACATGCAGCCCTTATACAGACTTGTACCTGCCTAAAACATCCAAGGATTAAATTTGAGTTCCCTCAGTTAAGATTTGATCTCTTTTTCCTTTTCTGTAACCGCCCACTGTAACGAACTTGAGTGGAAGTTTTAATATGGGTTTTGTTTACATTCATCTTTAGAGATTTTAAAATCTGACTTTGAAATGCAAAAGACACATTTCTGTAATATATGTTTGTTTCTTTGTTTGTCCCAGGTCCACGGAGGCGGGGCCTTGTTCCTTCACACAGTACATGTTTGCCTTGAAGACCTGTGTCAACCGAGTCAATGTGATCCGGGGAGCCCTGCTGCACATTGTCAGTGTAGAGTTTGGTTATCTCTAGCATCTGAAAAATTAGTCATAAGATACAGTGAAAAGCTCCTCCATATCCAAAATTAATCCTACATGACAGAAGTTTTTGGGTCATTTCTGCTGCTTATCACAACATCTATACCTCTCATCACTTGGTTGTTGTCACTCCAGCTTCATAACGGTGTAAGACCCGTGAATATCCGGGGTAGAATAGGAGAATAGGTCTTCAGCAACCCATGCTTGCTGTAAAAGGTGACTATGCTTGTCGTAAGAGGCGACTAACGGGATTGGGGGGGTCAGGCATGCTGACTTGGTTGATGCATGTCATTGATCCCAATTGCGTGGATCGATGCTCATGATATCAGTCACTGGATTGTCTGGTCCAGACTCGATTATTTACAGACCGCCGTCATATAGCTGGAATATTGCTGAGTGCAGTGTTAAACAACAAACAAACAACAATGATAACGGTGTAAGGATCTACATCGAAACATCACAATAAACCAAAGTTCTTATCCATAAAGTTGTACGTTTTTCTTGTACTTGTTTGAGATTGGTCCTGTGATTCTGACACAGTCTACAGTACAGTGAACCTTGGGTTTCCTCTCTCTGTTCCAGAGACTTGATGGTGCCGATCCTCCACCGAGGAACCCCGAGCTCCTGTACGTGAAGTCCCGTAGGATAGGCCACAGTCTCAGTGCAGCGCAGGTGATAAATACTAGGAAGAGATATGTTGTAGAGACCTTTGAATATCAGGGGTAGAATAGGTCTTCAGAAACCCATGCTTGCTGTAAAAGCGACTATGCTTGTCGTAAGAGGCGACTAACAGATATGGGCGGTCAGGCTCGTGGACTTGGTTGACGCATATCATCATATCCCAATTGTGTGGATTGATGATCATGATGTCAATCACTGGATTGTCTGGTCCTGACTCAATTATTTACAGACCGCTGTCATAATGCTGAAATAATGCTGAGTGTGGCGTTTAACAATAAACAAACATCTGTTGTAGATGTTTATAACTGTAACATCTTGAAGCATTTTAGTTTTTGATTCATATGATTCCTTGTTTTATGGATCTGCCAACATTAAACAAATCTTGAAGAAAAAATGAGTAATGTAAAAAACTTCAGATGATCAAAATTGGAAGCTCAGAAACTCTTGTGGTTTGACCAACATACAATTCCTTGGAAATCTGTATTAAAAAAAATGTTTTTGTTTCTATTTGTATATGAACCACCAACCCTTGTTTCAAGGGACTAATAATAAGAAGCCTATGTTCATTTGAACTTTAAGAAGCTAGATTGTGTAACAGATGATTGTTTCTGCCAGCTGGCCCACTGGTTCTCTCCTTATGGTTCCGTGGACGTCAGGATGATGAGTGCACAGCGTGGGCTGGTTGCCACGGGAAACTACAGATGGTGAGTGACTGACAGAGTGGGCTGGTTGCTAGGGGAAACTACAGATGGTGAGTGAGTGCACAGCATGGGCTGGTTGCTACGGGAAACTACAGATGGTGAGTGCACAGCGTGGGCTGGTTGCCACGGGAAACTACAGATGGTGAGTAAGTGGATGTTAGGCCGAAGAGCACCAAATAGCTTGAATATTGCAGATTGTGATGTTAAACATCTGTCGCACAAATGCAGGCACAAACACTTACCAGATGACAAGGGACACTTCATGCGCTGATGGCCCAGTCACAAGGCACAGTGGCACACCCATCATTCATCTATGTTTTGGTGTTTCTGCATTACGGCTGACTAACTCATTTATGCATGTTTCAGTGCCAAAGATATCCTGGAGAATTTCAAGAAGCACGACAAGATCCGTGTGTGCTACTACAGTGTGTGGAGACATTCTCCGGTAGTCAGGGGGGCATTGTGGTAAGTACCTACAAGGGACATAACGATACTTTGTCACAGGCAAGGTTGTGGAGCAGTACACCGAGTTAATGAGGTTTCAAGATTCTTCAGCAATATTCTAGCATGATTGGGACCCCAGGCACCTCCGTATTGTTTAATGTAATCATGATATTCTGTTACCTCTTTTGTTTAATGCCACTCTCAGCAATATTCCAGCTCTATGGTGGCGATCTGTTAATATTCAACTCTGGACCAGACAGTGATTGACATCATGAGCATCAATCCATACGATTGGGATACAATGACACGATGACATGCAGTCAACCAAGTCACAGAGGCTGATCACCTGATTTAAATTGTTGCTTTTGTTAAAAATTTAAGAGCATGAATAACAGTTTAGCTGTTGGGTGTCCCCGTGGTGTAGTTATGCTAACTTGATACCAATACACCTTGTGGTCATCCGAGTATGAAGAAAGCAGCCCAAGGCCATGGTGACCACTGCTTTTGATTCCCCTCCAAATCTCACACACATTGTATGACATCTGCAAAAACTTGGGATCTGGTTCAAACGCAAAATTTGACTTGAAAAAAAGTTCTTTCATAACAGTGGTTTAAAATAATGAAAAACACTGAGAAATGTTAAATGTGTTGAGCAATGGTTATATTGCAGGACCAGTGTCGTGGTGTCAAGTGGCATCTGCTTGTGGGTGCTGTACTCAAGCAGCAGGAAGACATGACGAAGGATCACACATAGTGAACATTAGTCACCAGGACGATAGTATTACAGTCAAGATGTGGCTGTGCAACTCTGCCCAGAATGGAATGGCCATCGACTGATTGAATAGATTGTTTTATTGTAGGAATGACATGAAAGTTCATCTCTTTAACATGGGGTGATGCAATATTAAAGGGAAGTTTTCAGAAATACCAGATCATTATCTGCATAGACAAACAATTTTCTCATTAAATCGCAAATTAATCCTTTCCCCACATTATTTGTGAAACCTATATACATGTATATATATGTCGTACTTAGTATGAAGCCAAGAAACAGCAGAAATGGGAAAATTAAATTCCTTGAGTTGACAAAAATGCTAAAAGAAATTGGTTTCCCAACTAATATTTGAGGTCCCTCTAAGCACATTTTTTTCATTCTCTCAATGACCCTATTTTCGGGAAACAAAACATTTGTTTGTTTTTTAACGCTGCACTCAGCAATATTCCAGCTATATGATGACGGTCTGTAAATAATCGAGTCTGGAGCAAACAATCCAGTGATTGATGTCATGAGTATCAATCCATGCAATTGGGATAAGATGACATGTATCAACAAAGTCAGCGAGCCTGACAAGTCGATCCCCTTAGTCGTCTTACGACAAGCATAGTCGCCCTTTACTAGAGCATTGGTTGCTGAAGACCTATTCTAACCTGGATCTTCGGAAACAAAATGTTTCCAAATTGAAAGCAGTTCTGAAAACGCAAGAAATGATCTATGCCTCTGTACATTCACATTCATTATGCCAAACTTGTCATGATTGTATTGATATTATTTTAGCATGAAGAATCTAATTGATGGAAACAGTTAATCTTCATCAAGCTTTCAAATGGAGTATGTATGGGTTCTCCAACACCAAGGACGTATACAGTTGCATTTCCTCGATGCCAAATGATAACTGGCTCAAATCTCAAGCATGAACATCAGTCTTTGTGAAATGTCAATTGTCTAGATTCATGTCTTATCAGTTGATTAAGCTGATGTGGTGCTCAGCAATATTTACTCTCACAGTTGATTAAAAATAACTGAAAATTGAATAATAAATATCTTGATGTATTCTACCTATGGAAGGTTTGAGAGGCATCTCTTCAGACTGTTTTATGATGACTCCATGCCCTGCTACACTTGTAAGAGCCAAAATAAAATGAGGATCTGGTTAAAATTTGAATGTGCTCCATCAGCGATTAGGTCCGGCTGTCTGGATACTGATGAAATATTGCTAATTAAGTGAGCAAGTTAAAAGTTCATATCGCATTGCTGAGCTCCAGATAACTTTTTGAGCAAACTCAAAGGTTTCAATTTTAATTGGGTAATAACATTTTACATTTGGTAACCAATATTTTTTCACTCATCTTTTCATCACTCTTTTGGGGTTTTGCCAAAATGGGTAAACATTTTGAGATTTAAAAACCAAGTAAAATATTGTTTTAGATGTAAGGGTTCTAACTATAGGCTTGACTCGGAAAGTAAACTAGCTTGTAATTGTGTTTTCGGAAATTAGCTTCATGGTATGCATGCTGGAAAAGCTTCATTGGGTATTTATGCATGCCATTTTTATACATTTGAGTTTTTCATTTAATGCATGCGTTTCTGTACGCAAGTTAATTGAAAGTAATTGGGTTTTGAATATTTTTTATTTTTTGGGGGGTGGGTGGGGATAATTTACGCAAATACTCAGCTTATCTGTAGCTCTGGCAATGGCAGTATTGCAGCCATATATAGCGATGGCTAACTGTGACAAACAAGGATATAAGTTTGAGCACAGTAAATACATTGAAAATTGTGAAGCGGGCATCATTTGCTATTTTTGTCTGTTGAAGCCATGTAGCACCTATATGTGGATTTATTTCATCAAGTCATTTCTCTGGCTGCAGAGATATATGTAACAGGGATACAGAAATAAATAAAGATCAATTACAAAACAAAATAGTTTGCTTTTTAACGCTGCACTCAGCTATATTCAAGCATGATGGCAGTCTGTAAATAAAGTCTGGACCAGACAATTCAGTGATTGTCATCATGAGCATCCATAGCAATTGGGAACCGCCTCCGTGGTCTTGTGGTAGAGCGTCCGCCCGGAGAGCGGAAGGTCCAGGGTTCGATCCCGGGCCGCGTCATACAAAAAGACGTTAAAAGATTGTACTTGTTGTTACCCTGTCTGGCGCTCGGCATTAAGGGGCTAAAACAAGGACTGGTCAGCTCGGAGTCAGTATACTGTGTCTGAGTGGGGTATTCATGTTAAACTGCGGCATGGTATCTCAGTGAGCTAGCACTATAAATCGGCATCAGTCCGGACTAGTACAAGCAGCCACACACACACATACACGTGCATGCACGTCGCTATATAAGTGCAGTAATCTTGGACGCGACGTTAAACCCAATTTCACCTCACCTCACCTATAGCAATTGGGATACCATGACATGCATCAACCAATTCTAACACATGCTAACCAACACGATCCAGCTTCTTGCCTCTTACAACAAAACACATTTCCTTTAAGGGGGCAATACAATGATGGGTAGTAGGCTGTTTAAAGTAAAATGGGATGCAGAACGAGTGTGTTTGTTTCTTTCTTCATACAGAAAGGAAGTGAGTAATCATGCCAAGTTTTTAATGACAAAATAATCCACAATCAATGACGGCAGTGGTAGAAACTAACATTTTCTACTGGTCTTTATGATACCTTAACTATCGGGCACTTTGGCAAGGAAAATAATGGTATGAAAAACCAAGGGGTGTATGCGATTTTCGCAAAGTTTATGCCAGTCTGGGAACAATCGAATCCTGTAAATCCAGTCGTTGCGAGGATTCACACGTAGTCAACTGATCACAATCGGCGCCAACACACAATTCGCCGACTAATCCACAAACCCCTTTTGAGTAAATAGTTTATGGCAGAATCACATCAGACAAAGAGTTTAATTCATGGGTCATGGCTTGCACGACAGTACATGCCTCCCCTCACATTCGCCTTTAATCATCACGTGTGATGCCATAAGCAAGCTGGTCGTCGAGCCACCATGACGCTATTCGGATTGAAAACTAATGGTCACCGACGCGTTCGTTTTCCCGCCTCATGGCAGTAAAAAAACGCATTTGTCTCAGTTTGAAAGCATCGTCATTACAGCTGAACATGGCATGCCAACAACCAGCTGTAGAAAGAGATGCATGCGGGGTGTATTTGGGGTGTATGTTGAGACCATGTGCGTGTATACGGAGAGAGAGACAGACGAGAAAAAGTGACAGGAAACGATCTGACAACCGGCAGTTAATGTAATGTCGTTAACAATGTGGCAACAACAAATTTGTATTGTTTTGTAATTATTAGGATGGTAGAAATAATAACACGCGGTCCTAAAGCATCGAAACCAAATAGTATATTTCATAGTTGTCGATGCAAGAGAGGCGGTATATTACGACAACTATGTGAAACTGGTACCATAGCTCTAGTGCGTGGTCGCTGGCTAGACGGAAACCAAGTCTCTACGTTCGGATGGCAGGTCGGAGAGAATCAGCGAGGGTTACGCACACATTGGGGATAGTATATAGTATTAATAAGAATGTTTTCGTTTATCACAAAATGTTTTTAGGCCTAACATGGATATTAACTTTAGAAAATTATTTTAAGTCAGAATGCACATAGGAAGACAGGTGTTAATCACAGAGACTGGGAACCTGTCAATTGTACGAAATGTGAATGTTTTTTCGATTAAGAACAATACACTAGGAAACGGTGAAGCACCCCCTGAGATAATGAATTATAACCCATCAGCTTTACTGGCAATAATGATTATGGCAAGAACGTTACATCGTAAGAAAGTGCCCGTTCATGTTTGCCCCTTCTTATTATTATGCAGTATATTCAGGCATCAATATTATGCCCGTGAACATGGCACTAGGGAGGCGGAAGATGGCAAGTACTCCAAATGCATTCCATGGGATTGTCCTTCCAAGCTATCGGGCGTCAAATGGGCCACCTACCAAGGCAAGAATGGAGACTATAAATTTAGCAGGATCACTCGGGAACATGAGGATTATATGCGGCTTTTTGCTTTGAAGCGGGGTATAAAGGATTTATTCTGCCTCTCAGAAATCCACGCGCAGCCTGACTTGCCCGTGGCGGGGTATGAAAGATGTATTTTCCCGCAAAGAAATCTATTTCCCTCCCAGGAGTGAGCGAGTTTGGTTTTACGCCTCTTTTAGCAATATTCCAGCATTATCACGGCGGGGGCTTCGGCTGACCCACCCCCACCCCCCTCCAAGGAGGGATACAGAGTATGTTATCAAGTTCACGTGGACTTATCAGATCTCATCATTCTGACATGGAGGTATGATAATACACTTTGATATGGGTTCGTGGACACTTGCATCGGGAAGATGCAGCTAGGCTACATTACTCAGTCATCAACCGTGGCTCCTTGTTTGTTTTATTATTGTGATACATAACGTACATTTAAAAGTTTGGAAATAATACAGTGTTGGATCAATCATCGACCAGCCGTCAATGCCATCCAGGTGAGAAGTGAATGTTCACATTTCTGACATCGCATTATTATTGTATATGTAAAATAAGACAGAAAGATGGACGGAAACCATTGATTATTTTAGATAGTGTGTATTATGGAACCACCAAACCTCTGGGGATTTCATACCAACAACTCTATGGTATGATAAATAAAAATAAGGTAGGGTCATCTCAAAAATAAAATCGGGGACGTAAAAGGATATGACAGCTTTGATTAAGGGGTGATTTGGCGTATAATGAGTGAGTGAGTGAGTTTGATTTTACGCCGCTTTTAGCAACATTCCAGCAATATCACGGCGGGGGACACCAGAAAATGGGATTCACATATTGTACCCATGTCGGGAATCGAACCCTGTCTATGAGATCATATCTCCGCACCATTCATGACTATCGCAGGCAGGGCTTCCAGATCATTTACCTGGATTATTCCACTGACTACATGTGACTACCGTCAGATGAACGAAAAGGTCCCATGGTAACATCAGGTAAAGGTAATCGTGTTATTGTTTTGAACCGTAATCTGGGGCTTATTGGTGGATATGTGCTAGGTTTTGAGGCCAAACTGGTGATTATCATAAGGTAATGAATGGTGGTGTGTTCCAAGACTGGTAACAACATCAGCTACTGCCCAATCTAAGCAACCCCAGTGTCCTTGTCATGGATAACGTCAGGAAACGTCCGGGAACCAGATACTGTCGCGCCAACCACGAATAACCTGAAGACGACCATGCAGGAATATCTGACATCTAGCAATGTCGATTTCAGACCATCTGAAACGAACGTTCAAGTCACGGACAACATCCGCCTGAATAAGAAACCAGTGAAGTACAAGACGGATGTCCTGGCGACACAACACTATCCCGTTGTCTTACGTACTCCAGTCAGACATTGTGAACTCAACCCTATTGAGCTTATCTGGGTTAACTGTAAAGCGTTCGTGGCAAGACAAAACTCGGTAGCTATTACCAGTTATGTCCCTTTTATGTCCCTCCTATTGACCAATGAGATTCCACCTCTCATATCACTTACATTTGCTTCAAATAAAATGGCGATCTGAACTAGCTTCAAGATCGTTATTGTAATAAAACGGGTCTTACTTCGCGAAATGCACGAAATCACGTGAGTGCTTTGATTAATAACATAAAAAGATTTTGAAAATACTTGATGGTCTAAGTGTATTTTGAGCAACAAATAACCCAAAGATTAATGATGACAAAACAAATGTTGGTGATAAAAAATACTAGTTACGGATAGATATAATTACTTAGGAATTACATTTGAAGCAAATGGTAAACTTAAAAATATTGCTAAACCTCTCCTGAAAAAGGCCCTAAGGCCTACCACAAGCTTCAGTCTCCATTTTTAACCAAGATATACCAACAGCTCTTCATCAAAACATTATTCGAGCCTGTACTCCTATATAATAGCGAAATCTGGGGTATAGAATCGATCCTCCTGAACAACTCTGATTCATTCATTCTCGAGAAACTGCAGCTCAGATTTTGTAAATCCATGACTGAAGGATTTGCAAAGCATGTGTACCGCCATTTGGTTGTCGACAGATATTTTGCAAATCTCTTCATGTTCTTAATTAAAGTGCTCAAGTGATTTGATGCACCTCGCGAGGTAAGACCCGTACACTCATACATGTACAGCAGTCGTGGTGAACAGGTAACTCTGCTTATACACTGACATGCATAGGCTGCTCCCTCTGGTGTCGGTATGTCGTTGACAGTTCTCACGGTCCCTTTTCAATGTTACGTAGTGCATCCCACATCTCCAATACTATACCTTTCGATTGCCGTTTGTATACATGACACCACCTCGGGGCGTGGGAAGAAATCTCGAATGTGATGCACATAACTTCAGCAAATATATGTCCAAATTAGAATATAGCTGTAAGCAGCAATGGCAGATTCCAAATGACGCGCGTACAAAAAAATATTCGGCGATATTCAAATCCTCAAATGGTTTGCTGGTACCAACGTCGTCAAAAGTAAGGCACCACTTGCAGTACATCGCTGCTATGAAATTCGCGTATGCCGGAGTGTTCCAGGGTATTTATATCCATTCCCGACGTCGTCCATAATCGAATCCTCAAATGGTTTGCTTGTACCAACGTCGTCGAAATGTCAGGCACCGCTTGCGCTGATATCGCCGCTACGAATTTGGCGCGTCCCGGAGCATCCCTAGGTGTCTTAACCCATTTCAAACCTCGTCCATATTCAAGAAACTTCAAAGAGCACCGCGATTCGCCTTCATGCTTATACCTAGAATTCAAAAGAAGTCGCCTTCGTGCAAAAAACCAACAATACAACACGTGGCTGTAAAAGTCTTGGATAACGTTAGCGCTTTGGGAACAAGATGACTTCCTAGTGTCAAGCTATTCGGCTCTGATTGGTTAAATGGCTCCCGGTCGGATCTATGTATTATCAATCAGATCGTCTTGACTTGACGCCGCCATTTTGATTAAAACAATTGCAAGTATGAGAGATGGAATCTGATTGGACAATAGGAGGGACATTGAAGGGACATAACTCGTAAAAGCCAATGGTTTTGCTACGATCGAGTCTGGAAATTCCAGCCTAGTTTGGCAAGGGTGGAAACTGTACTTTTACAGTCTGTTAACTCCCTTGCCTATGGAAAATGTGAAAAAACCCATAATACTTCAGAATACTTTTGCTGAAAGTAGATCTTTGGTGAATAAAGGATAGTATGGGTATACACCTGGCTACATCGGTCCGTGGGTAAACCAACTCAATCTATTCTTAGAATAAAACCACAATATTATAAGTAATTCAGATTTCCTATCACCAACATTCAAAAAGACAATAAAGTCTAAATTAGACTCTCACTTCACATCTTCCCGAGGCAAGTGGGTTAACTTACTATATAAAAGTCCAGTTTCCACCCTTGCCGAACTAGGCTGGTATTATGGAGTTACATTTTGGCTGGACTAACGAGTCTATGCATAGTCCAATCAAAATCGCGCACCGAAATCGAAATCCAGTTCGTAAAATGTCGTGCAGATTTCGGTCGATTGCAGGATTTGCAAAGCATGTGCACCGCTAACTCGATGTCAGCAGATATTTTCCAAATCTCTTCATGTTTTTAATCAAGGTGCTCACGTGATTTGATGCATTTCGCGATGTAAGCCCCGTTTTATCACAATATAGATCAGATCGCCCTGTCTGGGCGCCACCATTTTGGGTGAAGCAAACGCAAGTGATACGAGAGGTGGAGTCTCATTGGTCGATAGGAGAGGCTTAGAGGGGACATAACTGGTAATAGCCACTGGTGGCGCTACGATCGAGCCCAGTAATTCCAGCCAAGTTCGGCAAGGGTGAAAACTGGACTTTTAAAGTCAGTTAACTCTCTTGCTTCGGGAAGATGCTCACTTCAAGGAAACTCTTCAGATGCTAATGCAACTAAAGGCACATGAAACAAACTTAGGACATACAGGGCATTTAAAAATGAGATAAAATTAGAACCTCATCTCAGTCACTGTAAAATACGGAAATATCGAGTGCACTTTTCTAAACTAAGATTAAGTAACCATACATTAACTACAGGACTTGGAAGACATACAAAACCTCCCTCCCTACTACATCAGAGACTGTGCTCTACATGTTCAACCAACGGGTCAAGCAATGGGGAAAGCCTTGTTTGTATTTAGTAGTAACCTGACACATTCTGTGACTAGTTCCATACTGAGAGGAATTTCTGGAGGGTGGGAGGTGTCATACTGGATAACGCTTTTACTGCTTTACCTCACGCTTCAGGCCGTTCCGTCATGCACGACAACACACGAATATTTTCTAAGTCATCATCATTGTATCTGTAAAAGTACCTTTTTATTAGGCTAATCACAGTACCAGTTAGGATAGGCTAGATTAGATAGATTTGCGTTTTTTTTTTATATGTATGCTATTTTCATAGCTCCATTATTCTGTTTATTAGATGAAGCCAGAAAATATTTTTTTTAGCATTTCCAACAGTACTTTACTCGCCTCTTACGACAAGCATGTTATTGCTGAAGACCTATTCTGACCCGGATCTCTACGGGTACTCTCTAATGATGTAGGTCACAGTGCCGCTAGCACACAGATTACTTGTCAGGTTAAATGCTAATGACAAGTTGTTGACGAAGTCGCGCTATCCATGACCCTCCCCTGTTGACAGAAGCTTTTCCACATTACGCCAACATTTGTAGGGGACAATTTCTATTTGAACAGCAAATAAGCAGTGATTCTTTGACAATTCACAGATAATATATTGTGACATTTATCATAAGGTAGGGGGGATGTGTGTGTGTGTGTGTGTGTGTGTGTGTGTGTGTGTGTGTGTGTGTCCTCAAGTGGTTGACCGTCTACCAGATTGTATTTTTTTAAAAATTATTTCGTAAACGGAGGGCTAACAAAACAAGACGTCATACACGGCAATTCACCTAAAAAAATTAGATTCCCTATAAGCCGTGAAATCACCGAACCATTCAGCCCGACCCGGATAGACCATTTGATTGGTCCGCTACCTGCATATACTCACTTCTTATTGGTTGACCTCTTATTGAAGACCGTTAAATAGCCGCCGGCGTTAAAGTCAGTTGTATATTCCCCACTGTCTAACAGGCTCCACCACAATGCTGTTGTTGCCAGTTATTTCGCTGGTGAGTTTTTTCATTGTATTCTATAACACCTACCTCCCTTCTCGCTCGTATTGTAAACTGCAACATTGTTAACCGTTATAATAGTTCATGTGATTTGGACATTATTGTTAGAGTACAAGCATATAGAGAAATGAGGATGTGAGCAATGGATGTTAACACAATTAACTAATACATTTACATGGTTACCTGGAAGCTAAGCATTACACAAACCGGTATTGTCCGTATATAAGCCACGGGAAATACCACTATTTAATGTTCTATCCGAAATTAAGCCCAGGGATTAAACTCGAAAAGGTGAGGTGAGGTGAAATTGGGTTTAACGTCGCGTCCAAGATTATTGCACTTATATAGCGACGGGCATGCACGTGTGTGCGTGTGGCTGCTTGTACTAGTCCGGACTGATGCTGATTTATAGTGCTAGCCCACTGAGAAACCATGCCGCAGTTTAACATGAATACCCCACTCAGACACAGTATACTGACTCCGAGCCGACCAGTACTTGTTTTAGCCCCTTAATGCTGAGCGCCAGACAGGGACAACAAGTACCATCTTTTAACGTCTTTTGGTATGACGCGGCCGGGGATCGAACCCTGGACCTTCCGCTCTCTGGGCGGACGCTCTACCACAAGACCACGGAGGCGGTCAAACTCGAAAAGGATTACGTCAGACTCAAGATACCAACATTAGACGTTAACAAGGAACGAAGCCATAAAGCTGACATCACAGCGACATAGTAACTTCGTACTCGTTTTAATCTTTATACTTCTCTATAATGCATCATAGTACATCATGATGTCGGATTTCTTGTTTTGAATAAGATAATTATGTTACAAACTTCTTCACGTGCAGAATATTATTTCTATAAAGTAATCTGATTGTTTTCCGATATTACGCCCATGGTCTTAATTTCGGATGGGCCTAAATACGGGAACCCCCCGAAGCTGCATCAATTCTCCCAGCTACAGGCTGTGGAATCCGGGATGAAGTCAAAAACAGAGATCACATGCAGCATTTTCTAGCGTAGCTTAATCCACAGAAGCCAGAAGTGCAAACAAACTGTTCCTGATATTTCAGTTCCTAAAATAAAAATTAGGTTGTGTTAATTGTGTAAACATAAAGACCACCTGCAATCACAGCTGTTGTCAATCTTGCACGTAATATATATAGAAATGTACATTTGGCACAGTTTCTATTGATAATTACCTGCGAAACACATTTCAATTCGTCATCGCCAAAACCTGTTGTATTGTTAATTTTATCGTATATGCTGTGGTCCTCTAAAACTCAGTCTGTAGCTTCACCTGTCAGTCTAGCTGTCCATGCCTCGATATCTCGAACGTTCTGATATAACGAATGTCCGGATATCTCGAAGTTACAACCCTCTAGGTTCGCGATATCGGGGTCCGACCGTTTATCGTAGATATATATTTATTGGTGTGATGCGTAGGTGTCATTGGTTGTAAAATGTTTATTGTCAATGAAGTATTTATGAATTGTCAATTGTCAGGCTTAAGAAATACGAAGCAATACATTTACTTATCAATGAGACGAATAAGTCTTACTTTTCATCAGACGACTAATAACGATCGGTTGATTGGAAAGTGTTGCGATGACGTGGATGTTTTGGACAGTTGCTCCTGAGATCAACCACTATTATTTGGCCTTGTCGAAACTTGATTAATTACAGACCGCAGCGATACATCTGGAATATTGCTGATTACGTTTTAAAACAAAACTGGTTGGCTGGCTGGCTGATTCACTGACACACTGACTGATACACCTCAGTGAACTAAGGCAGCTATAGTTATTCTGTACCGCCGAAACAACTAAAGATGACTATGTACAGTCTTTGTCCGTTTCACATCTACGCGATGTAAATTACGAAACTGAGACGCACTGTCTGTGATATAAAATGGTATGCTGAAAAGAAACCCCTAGATTGATATATACTCTGCCAAAAAAGAAACGCAAAAGTAATAAAGTCGTAAATATCCGACAGAGTGTTGCCGACATCCATACATAACGAACACCAACAATGAATTGGTCATTTCTGCATGGATTGGGATTGATTTGTGTTGAAAGAATGAGGTACTGCAGAAGTTTGGCGAAAAGAGGGGAAATCGCAAAAAACACAACCACGTGAGAACCTGGCGCCGAAACACACCAACATGACTTGGCTATAAAAAAAATGTTGATCGACCAAGCCATCGACCAAGCACCATTACAAGACTGTGGAACCGTTTTCAGACACACGGGACAGCACGGGACATCACTTGGTTGATGCATGTCATCGTATCCCAATTGCGTGGATCGATGTTCATGATGTCAGTCACTGGATTGTCTGGTCAAGACTGGATTATTTACAGACACCCGCCATATAGCTGGACTACTGCTGAGTTCGGCGTTAAACAACAAACAGTATTTCCAAAACAACATGAAAATATGTAGAAAACTGTCATTCAGGAGCCCATTTATTAAGGTTTCATACTGACACGTGTGTACGTTTCTACCACTCACTCACTCACTCGCTGATAACACCTTTACTGGTGCTTGAGCCATCCACCTAATAACTCTATAAACAAACTACGTATTTAATTCATGTAGAAAATGTATTTATTTTATTATACAGGTACATTTTAATGTTTCGTGGTTTTAATATAATTTATGTTTTAATCATGTTTTAAGAAGTGTCTGGTAAGCCTTTACCAGGCTGGATATTGTACATTGTATTGCTCAAATAACATATTATATTTTTATTATGTACAATATGTGACACCGTGATAAAATATATCTATCTCTACTCTGTTATATTCGAAACATTCCTTTAACGAATATACCGTGCGACTTTGACGGTAATGCGCGTCGCCATTATCTTGATACAATATACCTCGACAACATGTCTCATTATATACAGAACCACATTGCTTTCGATCTAATTATAACTGTACGAGCAAGGGTGCGGATACATTCGGACGCGTAGACACACAACTGTTGGCGTGTGTTGTTGACATGACGTACTGTAGCATCTACACCCGACCGCCTTCTTCTCTCTTATTACCTTGGGCTGAGATTGATGACACAGTAACTGTGAACACCACGTAAAACATCGTGAGGGGTGCCGGGTCTTTGTAACCTCATTCACAAAATTAAAGATGGCGGGGTGGTCAAGGGGGCTGCAGGTGTGTGTGTGTGTGGGTGTGGGTGGTGGGGAGGGGGGGGGGGGGGGGGGGGGGGGCTGCTGCAGGTGGATGTTGATGTTGATGACACATAACAGAGATAACAGATATTGGGGATCATATATACTCACCGCCAAAAGAAACGCGAACCATAGAAACATATAAAAGTATGTACGTTAAGAAGAGTTGTTTCTACTGTGTACCAGTTAATGAATGAGTTTATTCACCGGCCCGTGGATCGGGTCCCATCACAATGTCATGTTATGCACACTGGCAACAATCAGTCTCACATTGTTACAATGGCATCTTTCTACAAAACTGGCACATCCTTAAGAAGAGTGTTCCTTTTCTTGAGCGCAAGAAATACATACTTTGCAAATCTTCTTATAACAGAGGGGTTGCAGCTATATAACTGTTTTAGTTTACTAGAGTTGGACTTATGCAATAATATTTAGGAAGTACCTGTTCCCTTAAAATCGAGTACAAATTAATGACAAAACTAACAATCAGTCATGTGTTACCACAGAGTGTCTGTATTCTTATCACAATATGCTGTACGTATTTTTTTCATAACACGTGTGATAAGGGATGTCAAATGTAACAAATGTTATATTTGGGATAACACTTTCTGAGTAAAGTACAGATTCTCGTACTTTTTGGGGTTTAGTCTTGATTGAACCCATACTGCCAGAGTGAGGCACCTAATCGTGAGCACACAAAGTCGGCGATCTAACTCACTCAGCCACCGAGGCTTCTACAAAAATGAAAGTCCGACAACTGGTAGTCTAGATCACGTACTTTGTGTACCCCTCTGACAAGTGTAAATTTGCACGGCTCCTATGGCCGAAAGCTATGAATGCACAATGCCATTTAGAAAGTGGTCAAATGTAACAAATGTTATTTTGGAGATAACACTTTCTGAGTAAAGTACAGATTCTCGTACCCAAAATCGTACGAGAATCTCTACTTTTTTCAGTTGTCAAATGTACATGTATTACACGTAGGGCTGACAAACAACGTGTACTTTGGCTAATGCTGTTAACACTATACCGCATCACTGCCGACCTAGCCAAGTACAAAGCAAATGTGCAGCACAATATTCAACGACACAACAGGCATTCCCGATAGTCACTGTTTGAATACATGATCAAATTATAATGTGCAAACACGTGTATACAAACCGCATGATCTGAAGATTGGTTGAACACATGGTTTAAACCGCTCCACCTCCAAGTACCTTCACGTTAGTTTCAAAGTGATTCATTGCAGTATTGGGTTTGACGCTCTCTCGATAGCTTTCGCTTGCCGTAAAAGGCGACTATGCTTATCGTAAAAGGCGACTAACGGGATCGGGTGGTCAGGCTCGCTGACTTGGTTGATGCATGTCATCGTGTCCAATTGTGTGTATCGATGATCATGATGTCAATCACTGGATTGTCTGGTCCAGGCTCGATTATATACAAACCGCCGTCATATAGCGGAACTATTACCGAGTGTGGCGTTAAACAACAAACAAACAAACAATTTTATGATTTAAAACAAGCGAAATCAAAGTGACTTTAACATATCTATTTGAGAGATCTGGCACTTTTGGGAGTAAAACATCCTTTCAGAATTGTAACGGGCTATTGATTCCACATGTTAATTTAACAGTAATGTATAATTTCATGAACTCCTACCCCTGCCGTCATATAGCTGGACTATTCCTGAGTGCGGCGTTAAACAACAAACAAACAAAAAACAAACAAAAACAAACACCTCCCTACTGTACAGATTTAATCATGTATGTCGCTAAAAATGAACAATTAGCTTCTAACTTTTCAGGTAAGAAGAAGAAAGCTGTAGAACTGTATGCCAAAGGTGAACACACACGCATACCCACACACTAGTCGCTATATAAATACAATAAACTTCAAAGTGCACCGTATGCGGCTCTGTATCCCGGTATAAGGCTATGAACGGGTAACCTCCTATAACGCTTATAATGACCGTTCTGTTGTCTATTTCAGCTTCTGGTCGTGTCAGTCCCCGAGGTCGAGCTCCTGTGTAAGTGTGAGTGGAGCATTTAATTACACATGTTGTTTGTATGACAGTATTCTTTTATTTTGGTAATTTCAATTACTTGCTCGTTTTTACGAGGGATTTTTTCTCTCTCGTAATTTCGATGATTTTCTCGTTATTTCAAAAACTCAAAATTTCAATTATTTCTCTTCACTTCGATTATTTTCTTGCATTTTCATTTATTTTCTCGTTATATCAAGCTTTTTTAAAAAACTCGAAATTCCAAACTATTGGTAATTCCAATTATGACTTTTTCTCGTTACTTCGATTACTTTCTCGTTATTTCATGTTTATTTAAAAAAAATTCTAATTTTTATGAAAATAATTGAAATAACGAGAAATGTCGATTTATTAAGTAAATTAATGCAACCAAAGTGGCACCATTAGGCATTCGTAGAGAGCAAATTGTGACACTATAACGAGGTATCACTGCATGTTATAGCGAAACCAGAGAGAACTACCCGATGCAGATTAGGCTCCGACTGTGACACAGACGAATGCTGCGTTAGCACATTCCCGCAAATCGGCAGGAAGAAGAGATCCTTATTCTCCCGTTCGGGAGTTTGTCAACACCTCCAGACAGTTGGCCAAGGTTAGTGTTTAGTGTAAACTGTGTACTGACGTTATAACGGGGTTTCATTGTTTCTCGCACACATGTGGGTGAGAAACACATTTGAGATGACTGGTATAGAACGTGTGTGAGATCGAATTCCAATCCTGTGATTGGCTACTCTATGGTGATGACCTAGAGTCAAATTATGACGGACAAATGTCCTGATGGTAAGTCATTCATAACTTACTCATGTTTCAGTGGAATGTTCACCTACGTCTGTGTTGATCGTTATGGGTTTTTTAGCATGTAACGTGAGTGAGTGAGTTGGGTTTAACGCCGCTTTTAACATTATTCCAGTTATATCACGGCGCGTCAGCTTAATGTGGGAGGAAAGCACGAAGTGATGCAGGTCTAAGACGTTTACCACTTCGGTGAAACCCACGAGCACGGGTATGGTGCTGACAAACCTAGAAACATAATCGGGGCGAACCGGGATTCGAACCCACAATCACAGGTTTTTGCGTGCCCAAGGGACGCAACTCTGCACCGCGAATCGCGGCGCCTTAGACGACTGGGCCACCCGTGCCCCCTAGCATGTAACGACATACATATGTCCCTCCTCTTCAACCCTCATGCACTGCGTCGAATAAAATTCAAAATACATGAGGCAAGGGCGTTAATTGACTTTAAAAGTCCAGTTTCAAACCCTTGCCGAACTAGGCTGGAATTCCTGGGCTCGACCGTAGCGCCACCAGTGCTTATTAGGAGTTATGTCCCTTCTAAGCCCCTCATATGGACCAGTCAGATTCCACCTCTGGTATCACTTGCATTTGTTGCAAACAAAACGGCGGCGCCAAGTCAAGACGATCTGAGCGATAATGAAGATCTATATTGTGATAAAACGGGTCTCACATAGCGAAGTGCATCAAATCACGTGACCACCTTGATTAAAAAACTCGAAAGGACTTGGAAAATATCGGTTGACAACGAGTTGGCGGTGCACATGCTTTGCAAAACCTGCAATCGACAAAAATCTGAACGACATTTTACGAACCGCATTTCGATTTAGGTGCGCGATTATGATTGCACTATGCATAGACCCGTTAGTCCAGCCGAAATGTAACTCCATAATACCAGCCCAGTTCGGCAAGGGTGGAAACTGGAGTTTTATAGTAAGTTAACTCACTTGGGGGGGGGGGGGGGGGGGGGGGGGGTTTAAAGCGTTCGCTCGTTACGCCGAAGACCCGGGTTCGATTCCCGAGATTGGTACAATGTGTGAAGCCGATTTCTGGTGTCCCCCGCCGTGATATTGCTGGAATATTGCTAAAAGCGGCGAAAAACCAAACCATACTCACTCACTCACTCACTCACTCACTCACTTGCCTCGGGAAGATGTTATTGGCTAGTGTTCACAAAAAAACACGTTTCACGTAGGCCGGTTATGAGACATCTATTGCATCACGTATATTTACAGCTCAGCTGCGATAAATGCATCACCGAATTCTTCATACATTTTAGAATTAAATGACAAATGGTCTTTGTCACCAATGTAATGCATATGAAATCAAGCGATTTCAGAAATGCTTTTGAAAACGTTTTCTTCACGTGAATTTGTATGGTTTGGAAACGTTTAAGGAACAAATTCTGAAAAAATCTAAAGAAGGTATTAAAAAATATATATATCCAACTGAAGAGACAATATTCAAGTTAAGATAACGTTTATCAGTATTCTAACAATAATATATTTGTAGGTGTTTGGTGGAAACATATTTTAATTTTCATTCAGGGGTAGATAAATGATTGTGGTAACTATAATAGCATAACACTATCATGCATCACATTGAATACAAAAAGTGGTACACCAGGAACACCCCAACCTACTTAACGGTCAGTGGCTGAATGCAGATACAAATCCAATTCTTAGCAATAATTTAAAGCCAAAAAAACACAAAAGGATATTTGATCTAGTAGCTAATGGTATTTAACAACAGTTTCTGCACTTACGTTTGCATCATTCACAGCTCCTGGTGTATTTGGTGTATTCCTCAATACATCCAACATCTCCATGTGTATCTCCTGGAATGCTGTTGTCTCCTTTTGTCCCTGGCTGCAGTGAAAACAACAATGTTTCACATTATGACAAAGTTATAACTTGAACTATATTCAATAAGCATTATATTGTTAATCCAAAGATGAAATATATTATAAATAGATTCAATACATGTACATCAGCCTACAGATTAGTAATGTATAAAGCAAGTACCATAATCAAGAAAAAAGATCTAACATCTTTTTTCCACATCCCACTCCAAGTGTAAATGATGGAGACAAACCAGTGACTGACAGTGAGAAACGTCCTATGAACTCAACGCACAAAGACACACAATCAACCAAGCTATTTTGTCACCTATTACGATAAACATGGATTAGGGTCTGGAGACATTCTAAACCAAAATCCAAACGGGAATAGATGTTTGAAACACCTGTTGTAACCTAGCTACGAATCATGCCATCATTGTGGAAAGTTATTAGCTGGACAGCAGTTTCGTAGCATTATAACCAGCTGGTAACCAGATTCGTTCAGTCTTTGATATATTTTTTCCTATCATTGTCAAAAAGAGTGAACCAAGTATATGAACTTTATTTGGTCCAACATTTACTGAACAGTGCCAAAATTAAGTTCAATATAATTCAACACGTCCCTTTTTAATTATGGAAACCCATTTGTCTAGAAACTCTCCATGCTGTGGCCAGTCTAGGTCATTTACAAAATTCAACATGCTGTGTTCATCTGTACATACTAAGGAAGAAAAAATAATGTTTCGAAAACTCAAGATTTAAACTATATGCCCATGGGCCTGCCCATACACGTACAGGCTGACATCGGCTTCGAAAACTAATCTGCCCGCTTGCAAACGTCCTTTGTGAATGTTTGAAGGTCTTCATTGATGATATGAATTAAGTTACGAGTTTCCTGTAGTTGTATGTGGATCACATTCTCTTCTCTTGTCCCGTCACATCAACCTTTAACTGTTGTGCGTGTGGTTGACAGGTGCAGTTGGTAAGACATAAAAAATGTTCGGTACAGTATTCAAAATTTAAAGTGGTGTGCAAGTCCATGCGCAGCTACATGTATTATCATAGTTGTTTACACCAGGGCTGTTATGCATTGTGAACTTCATTTCAATGCCACATTTAATAATGACTATTACTAACAATGGATTGCAACGACAGATCATGTTTGAAAAGAAGTTGGTATCAAACAAACCATGACATTAACATTACCAGGCTGTGAGAAACTCCTGGTTGTATTCGCCAACTTAAGTACAGCAGTGTCCGTTACACAATGTGATAAGCCACATATTTCTGCATTCAACATGTAATGTTGATGTGAATTTGATGATTGTTCAAGTACAAAAGGGAAAATATTTTCCGCATATGCACATTAAACTTTTCACTTGGTATTGTGTAGGTTGGTGTCTGGTGCAGTTGTTAGGCTTTCAGGACTGTAATTTTCTAACCACTTCAGACTAACCACTGGTAGTCTAGGGGCGCGTTGCAAGTCAGGGATTGCTTAGAGAAAGCAAATTAATTGCTCATCCCGGGGTCTGCAACAGTTCTAAGTGCATGTGCACACTTCCAAAATGGCGGCGCAGCTACCGCTTGGTTGCCTTGACGTAGAAGAACATAATAAAAGAGGCTCTATGACGAGCTGGAGATATTTATGACTAATTTGAAGATGTGGAGCAGACTGAGGATGATGGGGTGTAAACAACCTTTACTCATTTCTTCGTTGATCCAGTCAAGACTTTCTTGTTCCGCTGTCAGCTGCTATTTTGGTTTTTAACCAAAGCGAACTCAGCCAGCGATTTTTTCGATTGAAAGCAGCTGATAGTTTGCACACTGTTGTAAGGCATCGCTGTTCATCGCTTGCAAGCGATTCACGCTTTGCAACACGCCCCTAGATCACATACTTTGTGTAAATGGGCAAGACTCCCATGTCCGAAAGCTATGAGTGAGTGAGTGAGTAAGGTTTTACGCCGCTTTTAGCAATATTCCAGCAATATCATGGCAGGGGACACCAGAAATGGGCTTCACACATTGTACCCATGTCGGGAATCGAACCTGGGTGTCGGCGTGACAAGCAAACTCTTCAACCACTAGGCTACCCCTGAAAGCTATGAATACGCAGTGCCATTTAGAAAGTTGTCAAGTGAAAATGAACTTACCCCCTAAGAAAACAGAGTTCAACGATCTAGCTCTTGTGGTCAGGCAGCTTAGCAAGATGATGGGGACATGCTGGAAAAAGGCACCAAATTTTTCCACGTGCCCTTTTTGATGGGAGCCACTTCATCAAGATGGCGGATGGCAGCCACCTTTGATTAAAAAATGTAACATCTATAAGTGCCAATTTCTCGTCTTCCTAACCCCTTAGAGGGTCAATATTGGTGTCAAAATATACATTTTCTGGGGCAAGGAATGCAACAAAACTATTTAGTATGTCACTAGATGAGTATTTATGCCAATAATCAATCAATATCTTTAAGATATATGTCTGTTTAGCAGCTTGGGTATTATGCATTGTATGACAACAGCCTACTGCTGAAGCACACCGATGCCCTTTAAATGAACCTGGAACTGAAGACAGATCTGAGCCATATAAATCCTTCCTGAAAATGTGCATGCTTTGGGGAGCTAAATAAATTGCCAGCACCCCTCACTTTTGGAAAAGACATTGATGTATTTTATGTAGAAAACCTGATGGACATCTTCATGAGTTCATGACTCTAAAGGCAGATAACAATGTCAGGGTTATGACCACAGACCTGCAAGTAACTGAGTTATTGAGCAGAATTGAGGGTGGTGACCTCATTGCAATAGATGCAAAATACCACTTGTTCAGCTGCGAAAAAGGCTCTTCATCACGAGTGCCTTAGACAAGCTTGATCATAACCCATCAAGTACCACAGCCTTATGGTCCTTCCTTTGCACAGGCATCAGTCTCTTTCAGTTCCCCTCCAAGGCCCTGTTCCACAAAGCGATCTTAGCGCTAAGTCGATCGTAACTCCAATTCTTTAACACTGACTTACAACAATCGTAGCGCTAAGATCGCTTTGAGGAACGGGGCCCAAGTCCAATGTGGGACACTTCCAGGATGGAATATGCATGCCCTCTCCAGAAACGAAGAAGAATCATCGGTTGCCTGACAACTTCACCATTGTGCCGGCAGTTGCACTCAAGAAGGCCAATGTGGCTGTTCCCAATACACCCAATCCGATCAAAGCTGTGGAGGGACACCTGGGGGGGGAGCACAAGGGGGACATTTTGGCCTGGTCAGCCTACCACCCATCTCTACAAGGCGTATCAGATGATGTACTGACTGCCCTCACACAACTCTTGCCACTGTTCTTTGAGAAGGCTGCTACAATTTCCATGATCAAGCATGGGATGGATTACAGCGCGAAGCCATGCAGTTTCTGATTCCTGGATAGATCCCAATAATGGCTGTGGATACGCACTGGCCAAGTTTGTTCAATGGAACTGGTCTCAAACACATGGTGAAGATAATCATGTTTGGTGGTCTCCCTTTTGAAATGACCAACGTGGAACACATACGGGGAATACTTGGAAGCCTCTGGATGGACCATTGCACCGACTGAGGCCAGTATCGCATCCTCTGGCACAGCTGATTCCTTCCTTAAAGCGTCGCACCTCACCAGGACAAGACATGCCCACAAAGTGAGCGCTCTGGCATTGGCCAAGCTGCAACAGGATGCCTTCTTGGACATGGTGACTGTGGGACCACATGATGAGAAGACCAAAGAAGCTTGGAGACAAGATATGATCACCAAGAGTCCAACATTCCAGTACTGGGATGCTATCCTGAACATGGTTGGTTGGTTGGTTGGTTGGTTGGTTTGTTGTTTAGCACCGCACTCAGCAATATTCCGGCTATATGACGGCGGTTCCTGAACATGGAAATGCTGGGTCAGATATTTGTGTGGGCCCAAAGAAAACAGGATTTCCCCCCTATGTGGAATCACTGAGGGCTATCGTGCCATGGTTCTTCGCCCTTGGTCACCAGAACTAAGCCAGATGGCTTCCTATTCACATCCGTGACATGGTGCACTTCCTCTCCACTACCGACATTACCACATTAGACGTATATGCCAGTGGTGTCTGTGTTCAGCACATAATGAAACACTTGGAGACCTCTGAAAGAGTTGACGTGGTCTGGGATACCTACATCACGAGCAGAGTCAACAAGGTAGAAGCGAGGCAAGGGGATACGACGGAAGGTGGCTAGTCAGAACAAGCCACCAAGGAATTGGCCAGATTAAGTGCGTGACCCTATGAACAAGTAGGAACTCTTTAATCTCCCTCTCCAGCAGGGTTGCATGCACTGTGTGGCCAATTGGCAAGCAGGTTTTCATTACGTCTGGAATCAGAGTGGTTGGAACAGACACCAGGCACTCCATGCTGCCATGTAACCATGAAGAGGCTGAGACCTGAATACTGATTCACCTGCTTGATGCCCTGGAGCATGGCTGTTCTACCGGCTTCGTACACACTGTGGGACGGATGCTGTCGTTATCATCATCAGCAAGTTCCATGCCCTGCTCACCAAGTATCCAGCTGCAGACATCTTGGTCGCCTTTGGCACTGACAATAACTACACATATACCAACTACAAATACCATCTGCAATTCCCATGTGCCACTGTTACACAGGCTGTGACACAACTTCGGCATTCTGCGGGAAGGGAAAGAAATCGGCATGGGAGGCTTTGAATTCCTACCCCGAGGTCACCCAGGCCTTCAACTGCACTGCAAATCTGCACTAATATGATGCCCACCACTATCAGCGCTACACAATTATCCTTTATGGCAAGACGGGTGATCTGGAATCTGTCAATGAAGCACGTTGACAGTTCTTCTGCCAAAAGACACACACACACACACACACACACACACACACACACACACACACACACACACACACACACACACACACACACACACACACACACAACGGAAAAAAACGTTGTCGTTGTTTATCGCACAATAAAACACTGTACTTTTTTGTACGATAAACGACCAAGATTAAGATTATTTAATTATCACTAAATATATATGTTGTCGTTGTTTATCGCACAATGAAACACTGTACTTTTCTCGACAGGATAAAACCAACGGATAAAAACGTTGTCGTTGTTTATCGCACAAAAAAACACTGTACTTTTTTGTACGATAAACGACCAGGATTAAGATTATATATATAATGGGTACGTTTCTCGAATTATTACTAAATATATATATATATATATATATATATATAAACCAAACGGATAAAAACGATATCCATTGGCGCAATGTCGAATATGAAGGTCATGTAGGGTCGACTTTCAGTGTTTACAAACAAACATGGCGTCGCACTTGTCATTCGGCGATCGCATCAGAATGAACCATCGGGAATCAGGAGAATCTTCTGCAAAAATTGCTATCATTATTCAGAAGAATATTCCAGTGTCTAACTGGGACGTAGCTAAGGTATTTTACATCTTTGGGCGACTTTGGAGATAGAAATTGCGAAATAAGGACACAGGCCTAGTGGGATCAGTTCCATATCTGCGCTTGTAGACCTCTGCGGGTTGGAACCTTTTCCCAAAACAAAAACAGTTGGATTTTGTCCGAATTGTTATCTCTCGAGCGTACACACCGATGGATTGCCGCAAGTAGAAACAATACAATAATTGTGTAGGCTACTGTAGTTTTGCCTATACATGTATGTTGTTATGCCACTGTATAAGAAACAGATTTCAGTTAGAACTATATTGACTGTTGTCACTGTCCGACTGACACATCACTTACCTTCTAACGTTATATATATTAATGCGCGCATTCCAGGAAAACTTGCAATGTTTAGGTAATGTTTGTGACAGATGAGAAGAAATTTTTCAAGCACAGAATTGAAGAATGGCATTATATGATAAAGAGATTATGACACTTGTGTGTTTGGGGATGGTACAAAGCCTTGTTTAGAATATACTGAACTTGTGTATCATGTAAAGCGACTTAATTATCTATGTTACAGGATGTTTGACGAAGTATAACTCGGGTCAACCGAATGGCATTGTTTCCCAGTGTCCTTGTGAAGCTAACCTTGAATGTGTCGGAAACGGTCTTTTCGTCGTACCACAGGATGAAACAGGTGATGTACACTTGACGTGTTATAATGCAATACACACGTTTATGTAGTGCACAGGCGTGCACACAATTAAATGTCCATAATTGCTTATTATATGCATATAAAGATTATATTTGACACCCAAGTTTGTTTTATCAATTTATTCGTAAGCACCAAGCAAATATAGACTGCGTACTTACAATTCGAGTGCAGTCCAATATACAGTCGAACCCGTTGTCTCGAACTCGGATGTGTCGAATCCCCGGATGTGTCGAACTCACAGTCCGGCTGTCAGACAGTAACAAGGTCGAGTCAGATGAGTCGAACTCTGGATAAGTCGAACTGTTTCTCTTGTCCCCAAGGACAAGGGGGTTAGAATGTAGTAAAAATTTAAAACAACTTCACTACAAAAACGTTTATAATGATTATGTATTTCCTACTACCTATTTAAAGGGGCGGTGGGATAGCCTTGTGGTTAAAGCGTTCGCTCGTCACGCTGAAGAGCCGGGTTCGATTCTCGACATGGGTACAATGTGTAAAGCCCTATTCTAGTGTCCCCCGCCGTGATATCGCTGGAATATTGCTAAAAGCGGCGTAAAATCATACCCACTCCTGTTTATATGTTTGTGAATGTGATTGAAGCAACTTTGAACAGGATTTAAATAACCTTTGGTTCATGGCGTGTCAGCTATCTGACACAGACCGACAGAATATTTTATTCTCACCTAATGCTTACTCTTGCATTTACAGTACATATAACATATAATTTGGTTTAATGCCGGACTCAGCAATATTCCAGCCATATGCCGGCTGTCTGTAAATAATCGAGTCTGGACCAGACAATCCAGTGATTGATGTCACGAGCATCGATCCACACAATTGGGATACGATGACATGCATCAACCAAGTCAGCGAGCCTGACCACCCGATCCCGTTAGTCGGCTCTTACGACAAGCATGCATGTCGGAAGAGAAGACCTGTACTAACCAGGATATTCACGGGGCATATTATTGGGTAATGCATAAGTCGTTCCTCGAGGAATTATGGGAGTCTGTTGTTAATCAGACATATATACAATGATATGCTGTACACCATTAGCAATACAACAGGTGTTGGCAGGTGTGTGACAGGTAGTATTCATGGTATTCATGTTAAACTGCGGCATGGTATCTCAGTGGGCTAGCATTTTAAAATCGGCATTAGTCCGGCCTAGTACAAGCAGTACGTCGCTACATAAGTGCAATAATCTTGAACGCGACGTTAAACACCATTTCACCTCACTTATATTCCGTGCGATAAATGTTAGGGGACAGGCGCGGATGAAATACATGCCAAAATGTTTATCATATGATTGGTTGAATGGAAAGTATGCAAATTATTAAAACGTCATTATGTCAATGATTGAGTGCTCTGAAATAATGCTTGTCTCTTCAAGTTTGAACGAATAATTGGAAATATTACATCTCACAGGAACTTGTCAAGCCAAGAAAGTAACGTGCAAATCTGGTGCCGACTGCGGCCCTGGCGAGTGTTGTAAGGGTAACGATCAGGTGAAGGGCAGGAAGAAGAGGCAGATTGGTGGCAGCGTCGGAGTCTGTACACCTCTCCAGACCAGTGGAGGAAGTGAGTATAGGGAGGGTGACAGCGTCGGAGTCTGTACACCTCTCCAGACCAGTGGAGGAAGTGAGTATAGGGAGGGTGACAGCGACGGTGTCTGTACACCTCTCCAGACCAGTGGAGGAAGTGAGTATAGGGGTGGCAGCGACGGTGTCTGTACACCTCTCCAGACCAGTGGAGGAAGTGAGTATAGGGGTGGCAGCGTCGGTGTCTGTACACTTCTCCAGACCAGTGGAGGAAGTGAGTATAGGGAGGGTGACAGCGATGGTGTCTGTACACCTCTCCAGACCAGTGGAGGAAGTGAGTATAGGGGTGGCAGCGACGGTGTCTGTACACCTCTCCAGACCAGTGGAGGAAGTGAGTATAGGGGTGGCAGCGTCGGTGTCTGTACACCTCTCCAGACCAGTGGAGGAAGTGAGTATAGGGAGGGTGACAGCGATGGTGTCTGTACACCTCTCCAGACCAGTGGAGGAAGTGAGTATAGGGGTGGCAGCGTCGGTGTCTGTACACCTCTCCAGACCAGTGGAGGAAGTGAGTATAGGGGTGGCACCGTCGGTGTCTGTACACCTCTCCAGACCAGTGGAGGAAGTGAGTATAGGGAGGGTGAGAGCGATGGTGTCTGTACACCTCTCCAGACCAGTGGAGGAAGTGAGTATAGGGGTGACAGCGTCGGTGTCTGTACACCTCTCCAGACCAGTGGAGGAAGTGAGTATAGGGAGGGTGAGAGCGATGGTGTCTGTACACCTCTCCAGGCCAGTGGAGGAAGTGAGTATAGGGGTGACAGCGATGGTGTCTGTACAAACCTTCCAGACCAGTGGAGGAAGTGAGTATAGGGAGGGTGACAGCGACGGTGTCTGTACAACTCTCCAGACCAGTGGAGGAAGTGAATATAGGGAGGGTGACAGCGACGGTGTCTGTACACCTCTCCAGACCAGTGGAGGAAGTGAGTATAGGGAGGGTGAGAGCGATGGTGTCTGTACACCTCTCCAGGCCAGTGGAGGAAGTGAGTATAGGGGTGACAGCGATGGTGTCTGTACACCTCTCCAGACCAGTGGAGGAAGTGAGTATAGGGAGGGTGACAGCGATGGTGTCTGTACAACTCTCCAGACCAGTAGAGGAAGTGAGTATAGGGGTGGCAGCGTCGGTGTCTGTACACCTCTCCAGGCCAGTAGAGGAAGTGAGTATAGGGGTGACAGCGACGGTGTCTATACACCTCTCCAGACCAGTGGAGGAAGTGAGTGTAGGGAGGGGTGGCAGCATTACACACATGGAAAACGGTCTTGAAACCATGCGTAACTACAAACCTGTGACCTTATGGTTAGCTGCACGTCCCCCGTCAGTTGACAAACACATTGCTTTTGTAATAATTTGTTTTTAATGTGTATAGTTTCATAAGGTCGTGCAAATATGATTTTGTCATTTCACAGTAATGAGTGCCCAATGGGCACCCTCGCTTTTCAAGGAGTCTCTGTATAAAGCATATTGCTGTAGCGTCTACCCGGAGTGCGGAAGGTCGGTGGTTCGATCCCCTGGCCGTGTCATACCAAAAAGCCGTCATATGATGGTGGTTGTTCTTACAGCATAAAACAAGGACTGGCCATCTCGGTATTCATGTTATGATCTATCAGTGGTCTAATACTAAGTGAAATAATCTTCAACGCGAAGTTAAACCCCATTTGACCTCACCATGTTGCTAGTAGGGATGGGTATTGGAGGTTTAAAGTGTATGACAATAGTTTGCGATGCACAAGACTGTATTGCGATACGTATCACCATATATTGTATAATTCTAAATTTTGAATTCAGAAGCAGTCTGATACATTAAGGTATGAATTGAAGTTCATAAATGGTCCAAACAAGATGCTGGTAGAACATAATGTTTACTCAGTCAATAAATACGCAGCTATCTTGTGGCCCCGGATGCATGCTCCGAGGCAGCAAGGGCATTTGCCAAGTTCTTTGTTGTTTGTTTGTTTGTTTGTTTGTTGTATATAACATTAAACTTATGATAAAAATCGCTATTTGAAATCACCCGATATATCGAGCATGAAAAAATGATATTGTGATACGTATCGCGGAAAGAATGAACCTCAATTTACCGATATACCGATAATACCGCACACCCCCAGTTGCTAAAGTCTATATCTCCCTTATCTCAAGGTTGTCTGACGCAATATGGTTCCGGCAAGCAAAGCTCAATTGTCCCGAGGTGCCCGTGTGTGACGTCCCTCACGTGCCAGTCAACGGGGGTGATCACAGTGCCCCTGGGGGAAGAAGGTAAGCTGGGTCTGTCTCCCTCTGGGGAGGGGGGTGGTGGTGGCGGCGTGTTGGGATGGTGTGACATTAATGGGGTAGTGTTCTCATGGTTGTGATAATAGGACGGCATGGCATGGTAGCAGAATAGTGTGGTGGTAGTGTGGTGTTGAAGTACTAGGATAGTGTAGTGTTGAAGTAGAAGGATGCCGTAGTGTGGAAGTAGAAGGATGGTAGGAAGGTGGTTGGTGGGGTGGTAGCAGGGTAATGGATTGCTAGGATTGTGTAACTGATTTGTTTGCTTAAATCTGTTTTCGCATAAATATCCCTATTTGTTTGTGTTGGACAGGTATCTGCGTCTGATCACTTTCCAACCAGAGTCCTCCGTCAAACAGCAGCAGTTAAATGGATTCAAAATGTTCCCTGTGTTTCTCAACGTTTCTAAAAATGTCAAGCTTAAGATAAAAATAAAACTCTTTATGACCGGCCCTAGTGTTTATGAATATCAGTTTCCAGTATAGTTTAAATGAATAAAATCTTTTTCTGTCAACAAAGTTTGTTTATGAACTCAATTACTTGTTTAACATGCATAGAGTAAATATTTCATCCACATTACGTCGACCTGTAAATAATCGAGTCTGAACCAGTGATTGATATTATGAGCATCGCCCCACGCCGTCGGGGAACCATGGCACATTATCAACCAAATCAGCCAGCCTGACTACCGATCCATATGGTCGCCTCTTACAGCATACGTTGGTTGTAACCTGTTCCACCACGGAATCGCCACGATTTCCCCATTTCGGTTATTCGTTCAGGTACTATTTCAGGATCTCCGGCTGTTGCCATGGTGATTCCGGGTTAGAGTATACCTCGAATGCCTCCTTTTGTTTTGTTTGTTTGTTTGTGTGTTTGTTTGTTTGAAAAATAGATCCCAGATCCCACCATGGATAATATTGGTTTGTTTATTTGTTGTTTAACGCCTCACTCAGCAATATTCCAGCTGTATGACGGCGGTCTGGAAATAATCGAGTCTGGACCAGACAATTCAGTGATTGACATCATGAGCATCGATCCACGCAATTGGGATACGAAGACATGCATCAACCAAGTCAGCGAGCCTGACCACCCGATCCCGTTAGTCGCCTCTTAAAACAAGCATAGTCGCCTTTTACGGCAAGCATGGGTTGCTGAAGACCTATTCTATCCTGATGTTCACGGGTCCGAATGCCTTCTGCTTGTCGTAAGACTAAAATGATCAGCAGGTATTGACAGAGTATGACGCTCTGTGTCGTCCGACGGAGTGGATGTTTGGTGTGTCGGTCCAGATTCGAGTATTGACAATATTCTTTTCTCGCTGTTCCGATTTGTCAGTCGGAGGGAGAGTGGTTTACGGCCGCTTTGAACAGTATCATAGTTACATGACGGGGTGTCAGATTAATGTGGGAAGTAAGCCTGACGTAATTCAGGTCGTATTATATCTCTGATAAAACCTAGGAGCACGGGTCAATTGTTGACAACCAGCGAATCTGAGATTCGAACAGACAACCCATTCGTGACCAACGTGTTATTCCGGGACAAGCCGAATAGCGACTCGTGCCCCTCTCATGCATTCGTGACCAACTCGTGTTATTCCGGGACAAGCCGAATAGCGACTCGTGCCCCTCTCATGCATTCGTGACCAACTCGTGTTATTCCGGGACAAGCCGATTAGCGACTCGTGCCCCACTCATGGCTATTTTTGCGACCGGGTTCAGTCTTAGCGCAAACGGGCATACCTAAAACAATTGTCAAGTCGTTGCGTGATGGATCACATATATTTCTCCATATAGTCTATAATTTTTAGGTGCAATAGGACATCGGGATATGCGGAATTCATACAGTATGATTGAAGACATGTGTAAAATCAAAAAATATATCTGAGGGATTCTTTGACGAAGAACTTGAAATCATACGCACATTCTGATTGGCTTGTCGTATTTTCGCACATGACATTCATCGATAGGGGGACGAGTCTTCTTGCAGGTTACGGAAAGGGGCGAGTGGTGACGAATGCAGACAACCATCATTTTCTGGCACGCTCAAAGGGACGCAACTCTGCATATCGAATTGTGACTTTGGTCAACATGTGCGATTAGCATACACTGGTGAACTCCAGGTCAGCTTCTGATTTCAAATAATGGAGAGAGTCCAGTACTTTTACATATACTTATACTGACAGAGAGATGAATTAGATAAAAAAAATATGAAAATAAATGTAATAATTTAATAAAGTGTACATCTACACTGGGCCAAATTTACACCACAAAGCACGCTTAAAGCGCCACATCATTATTCCGGTCAATGAATGAGTGTACACTCGATTTACATTCTCAGCTCCTTAGGGAGTATACAACCAGAGCTACCTGTGAGGCGCTAGAAGGATAACAGTCACATTTACAACATCATCTTACCGGGTACCCATTACGATGTCCTAGAAACTCCCAGGAGTCAAGCTTGACCCCAGTGTGGGGCAGAACCGATGTCCTAGAAACTCCCAGGAGTCAAGCTTGACCCCAGTGTGAGGCAGAACCGATGTCCTAGAAACTCTCAGGAGTCAAGCTTGACCCCAGTGTGGGACAGAACCGATGTCCTAGAAACTCCCAGGAGTCAAGCTTGACCCCAGTGTGGGACAGAACCGATGCCATAGAAACTCCCAGGAGTCAAGCTTGACCCCAGTGTGGTGCAGAACCGATGTCCTAGAAACTCCCAGGAGTCAAGCTTGACCCCAGTGTGGGACAGAACCGATGCCCTAGAAACTCTCAGGAGTCAAGCTTGACCCCAGTGTGGGACAGAACCGATGCCCTAGAAACTCTCAGGAGTCAAGCTTGACCCCAGTGTGGGGCAGAACCGATGTCCTAGAAACTCTCAGGAGTCAAGCTTGACCCCAGTGGGGGACAGAACGATGTCCTAGAAACTCTCAGGAGTCAAGCTTGACCCCAGTGGGGGACAGAACGATGTCCTAGAAACTCTCAGGAGTCAAGCTTGACCCCAGTGGGGGACAGAACGATGTCCTAGAAACTCTCAGGAGTCAAGCTTGACCCCAGTGGGGGACAGAACGATGTCCTAGAAACTCTCAGGAGTCAAGCTTGACCCCAGTGGGGGACAGAACGATGTCCTAGAAACCCCCAGGAGACAAGCTCGCACCTGGTCACCCATCCACCTACTCGCCACCACCACCTGTGACCTGTACCTGTGACCTGTACACAGGACAACGTGTAACCACGCCCACAAATCAATGTCACTAAAGTACGCATCAGTTACATCATTTGACGTTAAATTTTGGAAGTAAAATGAAATACTGGCAAAGTTTAACGTCAAATGATGTATCTTACAATACAAATATGTCAGGACGCTACACATGTTCATTTTTTTCGTTCAGCTTTATATCTTATATCAGTATGTCCTGGATCCCGGTCTGACGCTTGTGAGAACCGCCATATTGACGGGTGATAAGGCCGCACCCGAGTTATCGGCCCTGATTTACAAACTGAAATAGACAATCAGGTTTCATTCATTTCATCACAACCTTTGACAAAGCATGTTACTCTTCGTTGGACTCATGGTAAATTTTAATTTTTCAATGTATTCCTTAGTGACTTATTCACAATTACATGACTTGGGGCGTCCGCCCTGAGAGCGGAAGGTCCGGTGTTTGATCCCCGGCCGCGTCATACCAAAAGACGTTAAAAGATGGTACTTGTTGTTACCCTGTCTGGTGCTCGGCATTAAGGGGGTAAAACAAGGACTGGTCGCTCGGAGTCAGTATACTGTGTCTGAGTGGGGTATTCATATTAAACTGCGGTATGGTATTTCAGTGGGCTAGCACTATAAATCGGCATGCACGTCGCTATGTAAGTGCAAAAATGATGGACTCGACGTTAAACCTCATTTCACCTCACCTGACCACTGAAGGAGCGTCAGGTAGCCCAGTGGCTAGAGTATGTGCTTGTCATACGGAAAGCTAGGGTTCAGTTCCCATCTTTGGTACACTGTAGGAATCCGCTTAATTGGTGGACTAGTTCTTAAACGTTAATCCACCCTCACTCGCTTCACAGTCTCTAACACAAGATCTATGTTGATCCTTGGCTTGACATAAATTAGATTAAAAATATAACTGAATAACTAAGTTTGCAATTGACGTAACACTTTCAAGGGGATTTCTACGCAAAGACCGTTAACATGGCTAAGGCCTTGTATCTAGGAGAATATAACCTCTACAGTTAAAAATATATACCAATATATATCGACATGGAGCCAGCACAATACCGAGAGCGGAGGCAATCTAGACTTGCCAAAGCATTCCAGACTTGAGTTGGTTAATTTCTTAATCTTGTCATGATTTTCTGACTCTTGAGTTACCTCCCGTAGATTGTGGGCGTGGCCGAGGCTGCTGTGGGCACGAGCTGTAGGTCTGAGAGCGACTGTGGGAGTGGTGAGTGCTGCATGGCACTTGTCCCCATGAAGGGAAAACGAGCAACCTCGGGGCAGTGCCACCCAAAGGGGACAGAGGCCTCCAAGTCACGTGAGTAGACTCAACTGTGCCGAAATAAAGTCACGAATATATATTTTTCTGGAGCAAAAACTATGTTAAATATGTTGAAGTGATGCATTAGGAAATATACATATAAATTCCATACTCTTGATTAAACTTTCGGTATGATTTGTTCCAGGGTGTTATGTTGAGAATCGCTTCTACGAGAACGGCGTTTACACAAATAAGTGTCCCTGTGCCTCTGGACAGAAGTGCGAGTCTCTGGGATTCATGGATATGCCCATGGGAACCGTCGGTAGGAACACTCACGCCTCTTTGTCCTTGTGGCCCTCACTTGTAGTGATAAACAACTTGATAGGGGACACATCCACGTGGTACAATGATCAGCAATGCATGGGGATGTACTGGTTAGCGCGTTGTTTTTATATATATTAAAGGTCACATTTGTGGGTGATACGCCAACTTATCACACTACTACTACCACTACTGCTTCAACAACTACAACTACCACTACTACTACCACTACAACTACCACGACTACCACTACTACTACTACGTCTACTACTACTACCACCACTACTACTGCAACTACTACAACTACTGCTCCAACACTACAAGTACTACTACTACTACCACCACTACAGCTACTGCCACCACTACTACAACAACAACTACTACTACTACCATTACTGCTACTACTACTACTGCTACAACTACTACTACTACAACTACCACTACTACGACGACTACCACTACCACTACTACTACAAGGGCATCCTCAAAGCGCCAGAATGTCATTCTCTATTTTCCTGGGGAAAGTGTTGTATCACAATATCGACAACACACCGAAGTTGCAACACAATGTATCGTTTCTCTATCACATATAGATGAATAGTCAGATCTCGAAATAGTGTGACATAAATAATTAAGATGTGACGGTTAAAATGATGAAGCAATACATTCCATGTATTTCTACAGGCGCCTGTCGCCAGGCAACAAAGCTTGCGACCCCAACTTCCTGTCAGAGCGGCGCGGACTGCGGCCCTGATGAGTGCTGTAGATCCAGGATCAGGCCCCTTGGCCGGAGACAGCTTGGGGGTGGGGGAGTGTGCGAACCCCTCGGGACAACAGGCTCCAGTGAGTACGACACATTGTATAAACAAAGGGAATGCCAACAGTGAGCCCTCGTTAATCCGGACGTCATGTTCCCGGTACAATTATCTACATTTACACATTTCTAGATTAACGAATCATCGGAACAGCAAGTGCAAATTATGAATTCGATAAATGTATACATCTAATTATTTAATCAGTGCAAGATTGGATTACAATTTGAAAATTTCGAGTACTGCTTCGCAATATTGACTTCCCATATTTCTCCGATTTATACTCGGTCCTAATGCATTGTGGAATATGGCGACAACGATATTTCGAGATCCGTTTGTTCAGGAAATATCAAGTGTTATGTTCTCTGTATATGATTATGTACAAAATCAACTTTTTATATTCTTGAAAGCTACGAGACCACTGTTGGAAGCTAAGGACTGCACGCTGGTCAAATAAAAACACTGGCGCTTTGCAAAACGAACAGTCTAGATTGACGAGTTAAATGAGACGTTAACAGTTTATTACGAAACATTTTCAAGAAAATAACAAACGGCAAGAAGCGATATTAACTCCATAAATGACCATTTGTCATTATTTTGCCTTGACAATGTGGCGCTTACGTAGAAAGGAAGTCAACAGTTTGTGCACGGGCAAGACACTTACGATAAAGGGAGACAATTTGCGGGGAGGTAGCTCTTGTTTGACTAAAGTTCCGTCAAGTGTTATGTTCAGTGAAATATCAAGTGTTATGTTCAGTGAAATATCAAGTGTTATGTTCAGTGAAATATCAAGTGTTATGTTCAGTGAAATATCAAGTGGTATGTTCAGTGAAATATCAAGTGTTATGTTCAGTGAAATATCAAGTGGTATGTTCAGTGCAATGAAATATCAAGTGTTATGTTCACTGCAGTGAAATATCAAGTGGTATGTTCAGTGAAATATCAAGTGTTATGTTCAGTGAAATATCAAGTGTTATGTTCAGTGAAATATCAAGTGGTATGTTCAGTGCAATGAAATATCAAGTGTTATGTTCACTGCAGTGAAATATCAAGTGTTATGTTTACCTCAGTGAAATATCAAGTGTTATGTTTACCTCAGTGAAATATCAAGTGTTATGTTTACCTCAGTGAAATATCAAGTGTTATGTTTACCTCAGTGAAATATCAAGTGTTATGTTTACCTCAGTGAAATATCAAGTGTTATGGTCACTGCAGTGAAATATTTTTATGTGCTATGTTCACTGCAGTGAAATATCAAGTGGTATGTTTACCTCAGTGAAATATCAAGTGGTATGTTCACTGCAGTGAAATATCAAGTGGTATGTTCACTGCAGTGAAATATCAAGTGTTATGTTCACTGCAGTGAAATATCAAGTGTTATGTTCACTGTAGTGTAACATCAAGTGTTATGTTTACCTCAGTGAAATATCAAGTGTTATGTGCACTGTAGTGAAATATCAATTGTTATGTTCACTGCAGTGAAATTGTAAGTGTTATGTTCACTGCAATAGAAATATCACTTTTCTCGTCTTCAGAAATCTCAGTCTTTCACACAGAAGTATATAAATGAAAGGAAATACTTCATTGTTTCGTCTAGGCTGCTTGGCGAGCTACCCATCAGGAAAACCTAAAACTATGGCCTTCACCTGTCCATGCAAGACCGGCATGACCTGCTCGCCCAACGGACAGTTCGACGTACCCCTGGGGGCGATGGGTACGTGAGACAGTATATGAATTATCATGTTGTTTTACGCCGCACTCACCAGTGTCCATGTCATGTGACGGCGGCCTGTCAATAGTTGAATCTGGACCAGACAGACTAATGATTGATATTATGAGCAACGATGCCCACCGTCGGGGCACACTGCCACCATGTCACCGAGCCTTACCCCGTCCATGTAGTCGCCTCTTACACGCAAAGTTACTGGGGATCTATTCTAAAGCTGAATCCCCATCAGGCGAATTATTGGACGATCTCTTCTGAACGAGTTTACACAAAATGTGAAATTATCATAGTAATATTATCACATGTCGTTTTAGAATGTTAAGTATATTATAGTGTATTTAAAATGGCTAACGTATATGAAGTTTGAAAATCAGTATAATTAAACTTCAGAATAATGAGTTGTGTTTACTGTTAGACACGTTCGGGTCAAAAACAGGTCATGGTTGACACTGTCGCCTGAAACCGCCACAATTCATTTTTAGGGTGCTTAAGACGTGTTAGAACCGAACCCCAAGATTCGTTTATGACTTGGGTGATCCTTGGGTGATCCAAAGTGGTCAACGACTATAAGATTACATTGTTTGTATTCATTAGGATGAGTGAATGTTGTTTTACACCGCAGTCAGTATATGTTCGAGTCTGGGCCGCAGAAACCAATGGTTGATAGGATGAGCAACGATTGACATTGGAGTATGGTGACACTCAATCAGCCAGGTCATCTCTTGTGTACTGGAAATATACATGACACATCTTTTAAACCATTCACTGCTGATTTTAATATCAATATGTTTCTTTTTCAGGTAACTGCAAGTAAATTGATCTCAACAAATAAACTTCTTTCTAAATCCCCGCCTCTGCCTTGTCTATAATGGGGCTCACATTAACAAACGAGAAACCACCATTTAATTTGTGTGTATCGAGACAACGCCTCGTTATGACGCTCAGGTAGCAAGGTTTTGCCTGTTAGTCAACGTGTATCGACCGTCTTAGTGACATCTTCCCGAGGCAAGGGAGTTAACTGACTATAAAAGGCCAGTTTCCACCCTTGCCGAACTAGGCTGGTATTATGGAGTTCTAGTTTGGATGGACTTACGAGTCTATGCATAGTCCAATCAAAATCGCGCTACGAAATCGAAATCCGGTTTGTAAACTGTCATGCAGATTTCTGTCGATTGCAGGATTTGCAAAGCATGTACACTGCCAACTCGTTGTCAGCAGATACTTTCCAAGTCTTTCATGTCTTTAATCAAGGTGCGCACGTGATTTGATGCATTTCTTGATTATCGAGCAGATCGTCCTGACTTGGCGCCGCAATTTTGTTTGAAGCAAATGCAAGTGATACGAGAGGTGGAATCTGTTTGCTTCTTAGGAGAGGTTTAGAAGGGACATAACTGGTAATAGCCACTGCTGGCGCTACGATCGAACCCAGGAATTCCAGCCTAGTTCGGCAAGGGTGGAAACTGGACTTTTAAAGTCAGTTAACTGTCTTGCCTCGGGAAGATGCCTTCGTGATGTAGTGGATAGAGCGTCTGTTCGGAGAGAGAAAGGTCCGGGGTTCGATCCCCGGCCCCGTTCTACCAATAGACGTTAAGGGATGGTACCTAATGTTACCATGCCTGGTACTAGGCCTTAAGCGGATAAAACAAGGACTGGTCTTCTCGGCGTCAGTATACTGTGTCTGAGTGGAGTATTCATGATAAACTGCAGCATGGTATCTCAGTGGGCTAGCACTATAAAACCGACACTAGTACAAACAGACTGACGCACACACAGACACACATACACACGTGCAAGGCGATGTTAAACCCCATTTCACCTCATCTCCACTTGACTCACTCTACGTCATGGGCAGAGAAAATAAATGAAATGCTCTTGTAGAACATGCACCCATGTGGTGTATGACCGTCTTCTCGGTATCTTGGGTCTCCTTTCACGTCTTTAAGGAAATTGCCAATGTTTGAAAATACAATGTGAGAGCTGAGGTACGTATTATTTTCGAGATGTTGCGGACATTCCATATGATGAACATACACCCTCTTTGGTGGAAGTCAAAATCTATATGTTAATAACCTGCAGTGGCTGAAAAGTTCCAAGTTTAACTATGCCAAGGCTGGAACAAACACACAACCAGACAGCATGCCCCTGCAGGCGGGACTACATATTCTCTGTTGGCGACTATGGACAAAATTGGCTACCGCGCTGTCATCGAGTATCTGCCACCGTTAGAGGTGGGGAGAGGGGTACAAGAGTGGAGGAGAGAGACTGGAAGATGGTCCAAGAGCTGGATGACTTTCAACTGCCACCACGAAGGCAAATGTTGATAAAATACATATTTTCTCAGAAAGTCCGCTTCTCGAAATGGAACTTGGCACTGCACCTCTCCTTTTGGTATAGAAATCGTACCCCCAATTGGAAAATAATCCATGAAGTTTTTTTTAAGTTATAGGTCGCACAAATTTTAAAGTTAATATATATTCTAAGTTTAAAACATGAAAATCATATTTTTTCAGAAAACACACATATCAAAATTTAACTTTGCGCTTCACCTCTTCTGTTAGTATGGAAACTGTTCCCTAAATCTGAAAATAATCCATGGAGTAGTTTTCTAGTTATAGGTCGCTCAAATGTTTCAGTTAAAAGATTCGAAGAAAAAACATCAAAAATAGCTGTATATTTTCAGAAAATCCAAATATTGAAAACAAACTTAGCACATCACCAAAATTAACAATTGTCCGCTAGACACGCATGTGGTCCTTGCTGGGTTGTGTGCCGTAGGTGGTAATATGTTACATTCATGATGCCATAGCCGTAAATTAATAATAGACAAACAAGAGACAAGTGTGATGTGCATGGTTTATTACAGGATGGGGTGTATAATGGTCGACAACAGTCTCTGTGTCGGGCACCTTCCATCTGAAATAAAAGAAAAAAACATTAGGAAAGTAATCAAGCTTGAAGTGAACATCGATTGTTCCATACACAAGAGAACACCTAACTTTCGTGTATATGGACACATTTGGACCCTTGTGTTTGTGTACATATAAAGACATTAGCATACGAGCATGTGTGTCATACTGATATAACAAAACGAGTGTCAAAATCATGTATTTCCCGAGCGAGAGCTAGGGTAATACATGCATTTGTTCACGGGTTTTGAAAAATTAGTATGACGCATATGCGAGTGTAATAATTTCTTTAGTACCCATTATTTCTTAATCCTTTTGAGCCCCCCCCCCCCCCCCCCCCTTTTAGAAAAATGAACTAATGACGAACGCAGTTTTACAAAACCACAACTGTCGAATGTCGAATAACGGCGTTCGTGATCAGTGCTTTTTTCCGAAGGAGAGCACAAAAGGATAAAGAAATAATGGGTAATTTCGTAAAATCAGAATGACACATGCTCTTTTAATAATCTCTATGTATTTACAAAGGTATGCAAAAGTGCTCATTAAAAGGTTTAACGTACATACGTATATTTACTGATTATTTAAATTTCAGGAGGTAGTGCAAAGGTATATTTCCACGTATGCATGTTTGTTTTAACTTTTGTAATATAAACGCAAAGTATTTCTGCATACGTGATAATATACAAGGTGGTTACCGTTAGAGAAGGACATTTACTCTAAAGTGTATGCTTTGTGTGTATCTTGTGTGGTCTCCGACAGTGGTGTATATCTAGTACATGTAGTACATGTAGTATATCTTGTATATCTGGTGTATATCTTGTATATCTTGTGTGGTCTCCGACAGTGGTGTATATCTAGTACATGTAGTATATCTTGTATATCTGGTTTATATCTGATGTATATCTAGTACATGTAGTATATCGTGTATATCTTGTATATATCTGATGTATATATCTGATGTATATCTAGTACATGCAGTATATCTTGTATATCTGGTGTATATCTAGTACATGTAGTATATCTTGTATATCTGGTGTATATCTAGTACATGCAGTATATCTTGTATATCTGATGTATATCTAGTACATGCAGTATATCTTGTATATCTGGTGTATATCTAGTACATGTAGTATATCTTGTATATCTGGTGTATATCTAGTACATGTAGTATATCTTGTATATCTGATGTTGTCTTGTACATCTTGTATATCTAGTGTATATCTAGTACGTATATCTTGTATATCTGGTGTATATCTGGTGTATATCTACTCACAAGTGCCGGAGGGCGTGGTACAGACGGAATGGTCGCCGAATGTGGTACAGCACTTCTTCTTGGGGCAATCACTGTGAGAGCGACATCCGTGAGTCAATGGAGACACGCACGTTCCTGAAATAATGCATGACATCAACAGGTTATGCATCTGCTATAATATATGTCTGTCTGTCTGATAACATATGTATACTTGTATAAAAATTCAATATTCAGTATTCCATAATCAGTTATGAATGTTTCATGGGCATTCTAGAAGTTGATGAGTAAATAAGAAAAATAAGTTTATGATAACAACTTCTGGTTTATTGCATATAGCGACGTTTTCGATGTAGATTCTTACACCGTTATCAATCTGGCGTGACTACAACCAGGTAATGTTTGTTTGTTTGTTGTTTAACGCCGCACTCAGCAATATTCCAGCTATATGTTTGTTTATTTAACGCAGCACTCGGCAACATTCCAGCTATATGTTTGTTTGTTTATTAAACCCCGCACTCAGTAATATTCAAGCTATATGATGGCGGTCTGTAAATAATCGAATTTGGACCAGACAATCCAGTGATTGACATCATGAGCAAATGGGGATACGATGACATGCATCAACCAAGTCAGCGAGCCTGAACACCCCGTCCCGTTAGTCGCCTCTAGGACAACAATGACCAAGCAATGAGGGGTGTACATTCATATCTTGTCTGCTACTGACCTTCATTTGAGTTGGGTGTGTCAGGGCGCAGTTTGCACGTGAAGCCCATTTCGCAAGAACACATGGCGACGAGGGGGTTGTTGGGGTTCGAGGTCAAGCTGCAATCTGAAATATACATCATTGAGCAGTTAATTCATCTGTATGCACATCATGTTATCATTTACCTCATCAGTTGTAAAACAAATGTGAGCGTGAATAGTTAAAGAACGTTTTAAGACTGGATTCGTGGCTTGGAAACGTTAATATGGAAAAATAATATTTTTTCTCAGTCAAATATAGTGAGTGAGTGAGTTGGCTTTAACGTCGCTTTCAACAGTATTCCAACGGCGTGTCAGCTTAATGTGGGAGGAAAGCCCGAAGTGATGCCGACGTTTACCACTTCAGTGAAACCCACAAGCACGGGTGTCGTCCTGACAAACTTAAAGTTATTGTCAAGCCGAACCGGGATTCGAACCCACGATTCTAGGTTTCTTGCATGCCCAAGGGAAGCAACTCTGCACAATGCCGTTCCCAGTGAAATCGTTCAGTGTAACGTGGCATGTTCTTTTGATTGCATATAATCGTTAACAGTAACCGTCTGGATTGCAGGATTTCCGGATAAACGGGGTCCGGATTAATGAGGTTTCGTTCTATTTGAAACCACGGGATAAATCGATGTCGACATGAAATATCGTCAGTAATATGTCCCCGATGTGATTAACACGTTAAAAACACCATTTTCGGCATTCATTTGATTGACGGAGACATTGGATTTTGTCTTACCACCCGATCCCGTTAGTCGCCAAGCATAGTCGCCTTTTACGGCAAGTATGGGTTGCTGAAGACCTATTCTACCCCGGATGTTCACGGGTCCTCAACTTACTGCTTTTCTCGAGGCCGTGAGGTGCGCACACTCCTGCCACACTTCCTGGAGAAGTCTCCTTACAGCATTCGTGAGCTCCACACTGCGCCTGGCTTGTGCAGGGTTTAGGTGGGCTATTGCAGTACTGTGTGAAGAGTTGCCCTGAAACAAACGTTAACATTCATTAATCATTTAGCAAAATTACGAACAAGGGATGACGCCATCTTAATTATTTCCCACAATGCTTTGATATAACTTCACGTCGGAATGGACCCCTTCGCGAACAATGATTATTGTGACATGAGCTAGCCACAGCATGAAACTGAAATAATATTACTGGGTAAGAATTATTAAAATTCAGTGCGCCGATATCCTTCATCCTGTATACAATGTGCATTAGGGAGTGAGTGAGTGAGTGAGTATAGTTTTACGCCGCTTTTAGCAATATTCCAGCAATATCACGGCGGGGGACACCAGAAATTGGCTTCACACATTGTGCCCATGTCGGGAATCGAACCCGGGTTTTCGGCTTGACGAGCGAACGCTTTAACCACGATATTTATTTACGATTAAACTAGAGTGTGTTTGCGAGAACCTGGGCCCCGTTCCATAAAGCGATCTTAGCGCTACGACTATCAGCCAGTATTAAAGAAGTTGTTAACCATAAAAATTGTGTCTATCTTGTCATCAGTCAACTTCTAACAATATATCGTAAGCCAGTGTTGAAGCATGGAAGTTACGATCACCTTAGTGCTAATATGGCTTTGTGAAACGGGTCCCTGATCCTTAAATAATATTTATGAACATTAAAAAGTCTGGTAATGTTTTGCGCCACTCCTGTTTGCAGCATACCCACGTTGCGTAGACGCTGATTTTCAAAAAGCTGCGTCAATGCGTAAGCGTTATTTACGATTAAACTAGAGTGTGTTGGCGAGAACCTGGGCCCCGTTCCACAAAGCGATCTTAGCGCTACGACTATCGTGAGCCAGTGTTGAAGTATGGAAGTTACGATCACCTTAGTGCTAATATGGCTTTGTGAAACGGGTCCCTGATCCTTAAACAATTATCGTGTGCTGTTGACATTTAAAAACCACGAGCGCTCTAATTGTGCGCCGTGCATGAACATGCACGTGCAATATTGATAATCACGAGCTTAAAGTCGAAGAGATGTCTTCACGAATATGTATTGAAAGATGCATTTATTAATTTAAGAATAAATGATCTATTTTTATTGAACTTTATACGAAGCACAGTTTCTTTTTCCGTTAGCATATATCACGAGCACGAGTGTGTTTGTATTGTAATCCACATGTTTGGTCATCGGTCAGTGGGAAGGAACATTTTTAAGGTCTACTCACGCAAAAGACAGACTCCTGTGGATGACCGCCACCCGCCACGGAAGCAGCACTGACCACTCGTACAGTAGGCGTCCGTCAGACAGTCACCGGAGCCGGCCACGCCCTGCTGGAAGTTGGAGGAGATTCATATAGACATAACATACATACATACGAGCGTGCGTGCGTGCGTGCTTACATACATACATACACACATACATACATACATACATACACACACACACACACACACACACACACACACACACACACACACACACACACACACACACACACACACACACACACACACACACACACATACATACATACATACATACATAGGTATAAAGTGAGTCTGGGAGGGATTTACAATGTTACGTCGCACCGGCATTACTTTAGCCATACTTTAGTTTTTGACATTTTCGCTTCACATTTCAGCGATTCAATAGCTACATGAAAGACATGAAAGTACATTTTCCATGTTTTCGGTTGTTTTTATACATGATTAATCACATATTTGTATGACAAATTGTGTTAATTTGCAAAAGGTTACGATAAAAGTAAGTGAAATATCAAAATATTGAAACACAGACTCCATGTCCCTTATGGGCCACCGTAGTATCGAGTGATATTTAATAAAACATAAAGAGTATGTACCGTAAAACCTCTCAAGACTAACATTACTTCAAATATCAAAACCTCTCAAGACTAACATCACTTCAAATATCACTCCCTGTCCACATGCGACATATATACGAGTACGTCACGAACTCGGTGAGCAACATCATCCAACAATCGCTGTTGAGTCCATCCATTAATGGTCTTTGCAAACTAGACCGCCTCCGTGGTAGAGCGTCCGCCCGGAGAGCGGAAGGTCCGGGGTTCGATCCCCGACCGCGTCATACCAAAAGACGTTAAAAGATGGTACTTGTTGTTACTCTGTCTGGCGTTCGGCATTAAGGGGCTAAAACAAGGACTGGTCGGCTCGGAGTCAGTATACTGTGTCTGAGTGGGGTACTCATGTTAAACTGCGGCATTGTATCTCAGTGAGCTAGCACAATAAATCGGCATCAGTCCGGACTAGTACAAGCAGTCACACACACACACACACACACGTACATGCACATGAAGTAACCATTTTTCGCTAGATAAGTGCAATAATCTTGGACGCAACGTTAAACCCCATTTCACCTCACCTCACCTTTGCAAACTAATATTTACGAGTAACCCCGACATTTACAAATATTGGCTGTATTTCCACCACGATCTGTTATTAAGAAAACATCGGTCACTCGCACGTCGCCCTATTCTACGAACAACGTGGCAGCTAAACCGCACCAACAATAATACAGGAATAAAATACCATGTCTCAATTCATGCTGCATCAACAAAACGTGTACGGCATTATTGACGAATAGCATATGGTCCAACACCACACCATGAAAAGGGGTATCAGCAGAAAAAATAAAATAGATAAATTTGATCGTCTCCAGTATCAGTTTACAAAGGTTCAACACTTACAATGGCGGCAAGAGCAACGATTGAGAGGACCGCGTAAAGTTCCATGTTGTGAAGTCTGGGATTGAATGACAGTCCCGACACCCTTCATCTATATATCTACCCCTGATGATTGATTGATATATGTGTCACGTTATCACACATAACACTTCTCAGGGAGTTATTTCTATATCGACCTTCCCATTCGGGAATTAATTACAGTGGGCTATAGTCAATTAGCTCAGCAGGAAGTATACGGTGTAAGTCATAATTATTATTATTGATTTATTACAGTTTGAAAGGCTTTAAATTATTTATTTTAGATGACGTTTGTAATGAGTCGAAATCTAAATGAAAATATCTATGAATCAATGTTTTGTTTTCTCATAAAATTAATCCTAAATGAAATCAATATAACGTTTCATTATTCGTTTGGTGTTAGGAATATTTTAATAACTTTCTTTATGAACAAGACTATCACTTGCACTGACTATTAATGTCCTTGTTCTGTATTAAAGACCATGGGAGTATGACATTGTTACGACTGAATAAAGACAAAATGTCATTTTGGGATAGGGACGCTGTCAAATGTTCCGAAACTTAACTGACAGGCAAAAGAAAGTATATACCTCAAAATTGAATTTGACAAAACAATTAGAAACGTTGTCAAAACGCTATCAGGCTGAAAACAGTCACCGAAACACAGCAAACTGTTCCCAGTATCATATACATAACTATGGAATAACCATTTCGTGTTTGTTACATGGTTAACCAACAACCAACATGGCTGTTTACTTTCTTTGCCCGGTAGTTTATAAGCACACAGTAACACCCTCCAATGAATATGTGTGTGCATGCTATTTTCTGGCTCTCCTTGTCACAAAAAATGTTCATTTCATCGATTGACTTGACACAATTTACATTTTTCAATTTGTGAAGCCCAGAATTTCATACATACGTGATGAATTTCCGATACCCTCAAGTGAAATCAAATACATATTTGTATTTTCTTGACCAAGGCAGAACATGAAGACCCGTAAGAAATAAATAATAAATATATTTGTATTTTGTTTGTCAAATAACATGTTTATTTCACCGAGAGACCTGACAAAGTTGATATTTTCAGAATAACGTCACGTGTTAACTGTTGACTTTGTCGTCAGCAGATGAGATAAACATGTTATTTGACAAAGAGATATTCTATTCATTATACAAATTGCTACGGATCTTCATGATATTCTTTGTAAACCACATTGTCATTGAAACAGACTGAAAGTAGATCCGGCATATCGAGTTATTTCACAGGTCGGATATTGGTTTTATATTTTGAGAGGAAAGCTATTTCCTCACTACATCCACAATAAATGAGAATATTTGAAATACATTTAAACATAAACTAGATTAATATTAATAAACGTAATCAATTATGTCTGTTATGCCAACATGGCGTCTGTTAATTATACCCCGAGGGACTGGAGCGAACTCCGGCGCAGTGGTGACTCAGCATAACACCACTGCCACAGGCTAATTTGCATATCACGTGACCGGACTTTTCGCTTGTTTGTAAACAAACACGCTTTTTCAGAAATCAGTGTAGAACGGACTAATGCAAGTATTTGGGGGCGCTTTACATATTGTTTTGCATAACTATATAGATATGCTACTTCAACTGCGACAGTGAGTTGCATGACAATATATATTTATGCATCAAAGTGACCGTGTCGCAAGCTCTCCGTTGGGCTTCGATGACAGCACGTGGAGCCGTACAACCAATGTAAACATAGGATAACTACGCAAAAACAAGTAGATTTTTACGTATTTGCATACTTTTTCAATGAAAGTTTACCATTCTTTGACATTTGTTTTTGAAAATGTGTAGACTTGTCAAACATGAAACGGATGAAAAGCATATGCAATATCTTGAATGGACTGTGAAAGATGTGACGAATCGTCACATGGCGCTGGCCTGTGGCAGAGGTACTATGCTGGCTGGCTGCCGGCCGCATGGAACTCTGGGTAGGAGAGTGGGACTGGAGCCTCGGGCGAGACGACACAACGCAGAAGACAGTGAACAAAATGCACATTGCAAGATAAAATAAAACGATGAAAATGTGTTCGCCATTCATTTACACATGCAGGTCGATGACGTCATCATATTTTTAATGATACCTGTGACCATTAAAGGTTCGTCTTAACCTGTCATCGTGTTTACGTCAAGCTCATACACCTGTCAATCAAACGAGGTTGCCCCGGGCAACTGACAGTGACGCATGCTCTCGTATAAATATTGTATTACATCTTCACAAGAAAGGATGGGTTTTATACCGTGCAAACATCCGCTTCTGCATCATATTTTGGAAGTTTAGATTTAACATTTTTAACGACCTTGATGACACTTCGTATTTCTAGATAATAAAATTTAGGTACGCTCCGAAAGTGTGATTTAACAATAAATGTGGTTATCACTTCCGGGTTAAAGCTCATTCTATCAAGTTATTTCCGGAGCGTCTGACTGTAGTAGACTGGACGGTTCATGTGCCCGATACAAGAAGACCAAACAACAACTATGTGTTCAAGATACGAAGAACGTGTGCGAACTCTTAGACGTGTATCGAGTATTTCCATCAGGAAAACCTAAAGCTATGGCCTTCACCTGTCCATGCAAGACCGGCAACGGACAGTTCGACATACCTCTGGGGGCGATGGGTACGTGAGACAGTATATGACGAATTATCATGTTGTTTAACGCCGCACTCACCAATGTTCATGTCATATGACGGCGGCCTGTCCAAAATCGAATCTGGACCAGACAGACTAATGATTTTAAAATATGAGCAACGATCCACACCTCCGTAGCACACTGCCACCATGTCACCGAGCCTTACCCCGTCCATGTAGTCGCCTCTTACACACAAGGTTACTGGGGATCTATTCTAAACCTGAATCTCCATCAGGCGAATTATTGGACGATCTCTTCTGAACGAGTTTACACAAAATGTGAAATTATCATAGTAATATTATCACATGTCATTTTAGAATGTTAAGTATGTTGTAGTGTATTAAAATGAGCTAGCGTATATGAAATGGCAAGTTTGAAAATCAGTATATATTTACTTCAGAGAAATGAGTTATGTTTACTGTTAGACACGTTCGGGTCGAAAACAGGCCATGGTTGACACTGTCGCCTAAAATCGCCACAATTCTTTTTTCTTAAACTTGGGTGCTTTAGACGTAATTGGATCGACCTCGCAAGATCGTCCTGATTTTGACTTGGGTGATCCTTGGGTTACACCAATGTGGTCAACGACAATAAGATTACATTGTTTGTATTTAATAGAATGAGTGAATCTTGTTTTACAACGCAGTCAGTATATGTTCGAGTCTGGGCCGCAGAAACCAGTGTTTGATAGCATGAGCAACGATTGACATTGGAGTATGGTGACACTCAATCAGCCAGGTCATCTCTTGTGTACTCGAAATATACATCTTTTGACTTAAAACATTCACTGCTGATTTTAATATCAATCTGTTTCTTTTTCAGGTAACTGCAAGTAAATTGATCTCAACAAATAAACTTCTTTCTAAATCCCCGCCTCTACCAGGTCTATAATAGCGCTCACATTAACAAACGAGACACTACTATTTAATTTGTGTGTATGGAGACCACGCCTCGTTATTATGCTAAGATAGCAAGGTTTTGCCTGTTAGTCAACGTGTATCGACCGCCTTCGTGGTGTATTGGATAGAGCGTCTGTTCGGAGAGCGAAAGGTCCGGGGTTCGATCCCCGGCCCCGCTCTACCAATAGACGTTAAGGGATGGTACCTAATGGTACCCTGCCTGACACTAGGCCTTAAGCGGATAAAACAAGGACTGGTCTTCTCGGCGTCAGTATACTGTGTCTGAGTGGAGTATTCATGATAAACTGCAGCATGGTATCTCAGTGGGCTAGCACTATAAAACCGGCACTAGTACAAACAGACTGACGCACACACAGACACACATACACACGTGCAAGGCGATGTTAAACCCCATTTCACCTCATCTCCACTTGACACACTCTACGTCATGGGCAGAGAAAATAAATGAAATGCTCATGTAGAACACGCACCCATGTGGTGTCTGTCCGTCTTCTCGGTATCTTGGGTCTCCTTTCACGTCTTTAATGAAAGTGCCAATGTTTGAAACTACGATGTGAGAGCTGAGGTACGCATTATTTTCGAGACGTTGCGGACATTCCATATGATGAGCATACACCCTCGTTGATTGAAGTCAACAACAAACTATGTATGTTAATAACCTGCAGTGGCTGAAAAGTTCCAAGTTTAACTATACCAAGGCTGGACCAAACACACAACCAGACAGCATGTCCCTGCAGGCGTGACTACATATTCTCTGTTGGCGACTATGGACAAAATTGGCTACCGCGCTGTCATCGAGTATCTGCCACCGTTTGAGGTGGGGAGCGGGGTACAAGAGTGGAGGTGAGAGACTGGAAGATGGCCCAAGAGCTGGATGACTTTCAACTGCCACCACAATGGCAAATGTTGATAAAATACATATTTTCTCAGAAAGTCCACTTCTCGAAATGGAACTTGGCACTGCACCTCTCCTTTTGGTATAGAAATCGTACCCCCAATTGGAAAATAATCCATGAAGTTTTTTTTAAGTTATAGGTCGCACAAATTTTAAAGTTAATATATATTCTAAGTTTAAAACATGAAAATCATATTTTTTCAGAAAACACACATATCAAAATTTAACTTTGCGCTTCACCTCTTCTGTTAGTATGGAAACTGTTCCCTAAATCTGAAAATAATCCATGAAGTAGTTTTCTAGTTATAGGTCGCTCAAATGTTTCAGTTAAAAGATTCGAAGAAAAAACATCAAAAATAGCTGTATATTTTCAGAAAATCCAAATATTGAAAACAAACTTAGCACATCACCAAAATTAACAATTGTCCGCTAGACACGCATGTGGTCCTTGCTGGGTTGTGTGCCGTAGGTGGTAATATGTTACATTCATGATGCCATAGCCGTAAATTAATAATAGACAAACAAGAGACAAGTGTGATGTGCATGATTTATTACAGGATGGGGTGTATAATGGTCGACAACAGTCTCTAT